AATTAAAGTCAATTAATATTCATGTCCAAATGACTTGATCACGTGACCAAAATTGACCAAATTTCGGTACCCGAAGATAAAAAATTGTATACCGAAAGTGGTCAGTAATAAAAATCTAGAAAAATAATATTTGAATAGAAGACATAATTTGCTACAAATTTGCAATTAACAAAATTCGGCTAAGTTGTCATCTTCGGGTATTATGGCAATCTTTAAAAAAAATGTACAGTACATGAAATGTAACACCAGTATAACATACATGTAAATGTAAGTAAGTAACGGTAAATCGGTAAGTTGTGGCCACAATGTTATGACCTATCTAGTCAGTACCGCATACCTATATGCTATTTTCTCCCGAAGTTTGGTCCCGAAATACCCGAAAAACCTATATTTCCTATACATTAAAAACACATACAATACAATAAAATGTTGTAATCACGGGACGGGCCATATTGACCCGAAAACATTAATATAGACAATAATGTCCAACAGACAACTTGTTCGCCATCCAAATACTGTCCATAATATGTTGGTACGGATGTTGTCCAATGTCCGTAACCCGAGTTATACTGACTTGCCGAGATATACCGTCCCGACGATTCGATGGCTGGCCAAGTGATTTGAGTGTCTGATTCGGTGGCTAACCAATAGCCAATCATACACTTCCAATCTTGACTGCGGGCGGTTAACCTGTACCGAGTTATCGGCAATTTTTGTTTTCGGCGGCGGCAATACCTATGAATTACTAGATGATGGCTTTGCGGCCCAGGTAGTGACCACAATGTCGTGACATATCTGGTCAGTACCGCACACCTATTTGATACCTCATATTTAAAATTCATTCCAATCGATGATCATTTTCTGGTCAAAATTACCGATATACCGTTTCTCCTATACATACTAGAAAATACTGTATTAATATTACTAAACTGGTCAGTTTGACCCGAAGACATGATTGTAGACAATTATGTCCAATAGACAACTTGTTGGCCATCCGAATACGAACAATAATTTGGTGATCTTATTGTTGTCCGATGTCCGCTACCCGAGTTATAACGGCCCGAAGGTAAATCTTCGTGAGCTTCTGGCCGGTAAACGGGTCCAAGGCCTGACTTTATTTTTCAATATAAGGATCATATATGGATGGCCAACAATGTGATAGTGTCAAATTTTCCCGCCGGTCCAACGTTGGTCACTTATCGGGAATTAAACATGTCATATTTTTTCAGGTACAGGTTTATTTTAATTTTTATAAAAAAATATGGCAAGAAATTCGAGTTTCATTATTTTTATAATTTAATCATATACTACATAACTTAACAGTCATTTTGACTTAAAAATAATTTCAATCATTAATAATAAAATAATAATAAAATAAATATTAAATATATTTCATTTTTAATTTTTATGTATTAATATGGCAAGAAATTTGAGTTCTATTATTTTTCAACAAAAATTTTAATTTTATCTAAATCTCAATCTAAATCTAATTTTATTTTATTGAATTGGTCAAACTGTTAGCCGCAACTGATATCATAACAATAATGGCGACGACAATAGTAGTATTGAATTACGTATTCTGTAAGAATAAGTGAGTCAGTTTGATACAATATCAAAGTAGTAAAGCTCAGCTTATCTGATGTCACACGGTACACTGGTTAGTTAATACAGAATATTTATATATATAAATTACATTAAATATAATTAATTATTATTATATTTTTTTCAATTTTCAACCAAAAATTTTCATTAATAATTTTAGATTTTTTTGTTGTTGAATTAATAGATAATATAATAAAAAATCTCATATAAATCTCATATCTCTAATAATACACAATGAAATTAAAACGATGACTATTATATGAATATACAGTATATATATATATATATATAAACAAATGCTATTTGATTAATTAAATCGATTAAATTAATTGATATTGTTATTGATTTTAATCACCAAATGATTGATATACAATGTTAATGTTAAACTATTAATTATTTATTATTATTATTATTTTTGTTGTTGTTATATAGCCTATCCTTAAGTCATCGATGATTATATTGATAATTAATTTGATCTGAGTTTTCCTCAATTATAATAATGATTTTCTGATAACTTCTTTATATTATAAAGTTTTTATTATTATTATTATTATTATTAATCATATATATATGTAATGTGATATTATAATTATTTTAAATATTATATATATGATATATAAATTTGTTGTCAATATAAACAAATATGAGGAAGGGTAGGGTGGAAACGGGAGCTTTCTAATTGTACTGTACTTATTGGGTATACTAGAGGGGACAGGGCTACTAAAAAATTATTTGTTGTCTTTTTCAACAAAAAAAAACACAACAGTAATTACCGCATAAAACAAACAAATAATTTAATTGTTTCGTTCGGGTCTCTCTCTCTCTCTCTCTCTCTCTCTCTCTCTCTCTCTCTCTCTCTCTCTCTCTCTAGCCGTGTGACACGTTTGACCAAAAAATATATAAATAAAAATAGTTTAATACATCAAAAAATTGCTAAATCCGGAAATTAAGATCTCTGGTACTCAAACAACAATATAACATTTTTATTTTTTATAAATCAATCCACGGGTTAGTTGTATACAGTATGTGTGTGTGTGTGTGTGTGTGTGTGTGTGTGTGTGTGTGTATGTGCGATTATATGACATCAAAAAATTATTATATATACAGTATATATATATATAAATAAAAATTGTAATTTTCCAAAAAAATAATAAAATAATAAGATAAGTAATAATTATATTAACAAACTTTTATATATATATATAGTCTTATAGTATTATTTTATTTTAAACATGAAAATCAAAAGCATGACTATTAAACAAAAATAATAACAAAATTTATTTTTATTTTAGTTTTTCATTTAAATCTATCAGTTTATTATTATTGTTGTTGTTGTTGTTGATAATGAGTTTTTAGTTTAATAAATAAAAAAAATATTGTACAGTAATATACATTATATTAACCCTATCTATATATACAGTATATAATAACATGCGTTTCCTTAAATTACTCACAAGTTTTGTAATTTTATATCTAAAATAAATCTCTTATACACTGTAGTGTAATATCGATATCTATGTTTCTCTCATTAATTAAATTATATATATATATATTAAAAAACATAGATTGAAAAAAATAATGGGGAAATGTTTTCTCACTGGTTATTATTATTTTATACCTGTATATATATATATAATTTATATATATAACAAAATTATTTTATATGACATATTTGATAGATTTGAAGTAATAGTAGTTCACTGGAGTCGATCCAATTTGAAGGCCAGACAAATATAATTTTATTTTTTTAAAAAACTTATATATAAAATATAACAACAATTTGGGGTTTTTTTTAAAAAAAAGATTAAATATCATCACAAAAAAACCTAACAAAAATTGTTCATGATATTTAATATATTATTCAATGGGTTATATGTAATATATGTTTTTTTTAGTTTTTAAAAAAATAATATAACGATTAAAAATTAATAGAGTTATAATACTAGTATATTATAATTAAATAACTTAATCTGTTATTAATTAATTAAATTATTTTAACAACAATTTCAAAAACTAACCAGCGTTACCTTTAAAAAAAGCTTAATTGAAATTTAATTTAAAAACTTTAATAATAATGAAATATGTTGTACAATACATTAATGTCAATATATATACGGTATATATTTAACAACAATAAAAAAATATGGAAAAATCGTTTCAATTTTTATGATTAATATCATAGATAAGTAAGTTTAGTCACAAAACTTATTACAACAAACAAGTTTAAACATTTTTGTCTAACCATTTAGCGTATCATATAAATATATATATATTTTTTAGTTTTGTTGTTTGGTAACTGTATTATAATTGATGTTAATTATTATTGAATGGAAATCAATAATAATTATGGAAAAAAATGATTATCTAAACAAAACAAAAAAACTTAACTAAACTAAATAAATGTTCATTAGTGTAATTACAACAATAAAACTAAACAAAAATAATATATATATAAACGACAATAATAATAATTATTGAAAACAAAATAACATAGTTTAAAAAATAAATATTGTAGTATATTGTATTATATGATTTTTATTGTCAATGAAAATAATAATAAAGATTGTTTAAATTATAATTATTTTTATTATTATTATTATTTTTTGAAACTATTATACTAGTATATTGATATTTTAATACTTTCTCTCTCACTATATACAGGTGCTTATAATTGCATACAAATTGTGAAATTTTTTTTTTTAGAAAAATATATTCAAAAATTTTAAATTTTTAGTAACTTTAAATTTTTTTAAAACATAGTAAAAATTATTTGAATATTTATTTATTTTGTTGTTGATGATGAACTTTTTTTGAAATTATTATTTATTTTTATTGTATTTTTTACACAGTTATATCTAATAGCTTTGTAATGTGTGTGTGTGTGTATATATAAAATATTTTTTATAATACATCATAAATTATATAATTAAAAATAATTATTTTTTTATAAACTTGTATGTGTGTGAAATACATTAATTATTTTTAATTATTGTAATAATTCTAGTAAACAAACAAATAAAAAATTTATTTTTTATTTTGGTAATCGGGAGGGCTATTACTACCGGTACATACTATCAAATGGTCAAACAAACAAAACAATAAATTAAAAAAAAATAATCTCTAAAATAATAATCTCTAAAATAAAAACAATAAAATTTATAAATAATAATTTCACTATTAATTAAACTAAATAAATCAAAATTACTTTACAATAACTTATAAATTTGATTTTTATAAAAATTTATTTAGTATATTAAATATATGATATAAACTTTGAAATTAGCGCACATGTATAGCGAGAGAGAGAGAGAGAGTATACACTGTATTAATACATACAAACCTATTGGATATGACATAAATGGATATAAATTACTGTATAATTACTATACAGAGTCTACAGTATTATTGTATACATAAAGTGAGTGTTATTTTTAAAGGCAAATGTGATAACAAACTGTATTTTAAACGATAAAACAAAAACAATTCAAACGATATATAAAATAATAAAAATAATTGAAAGCAATGTATGAGTTGTTCACTAAAATAAGTGATCAGTTTTTGTGATAATCAAAACAACAACAAAATAATATTAAGACACGTGTGTCTGAACCGTACCGATAAAATTCAGTGACCACTTTTTCACTGATGACAATGAGCGAACTAATGTCACCGATGATTGACCACTTGTTGACGGCCAACGGCTGCGGCGGTGATGACGACGACTTTATGGCCGACAACATGCTTACCGACGATGACTTAGGTTTTTGTTGTTGTCTTTGATTTTTAATGTCAATTCGCTTATCATTTTGCATCTCATCTTATCAGATGTCGACTTAGATCCGTGTCTATTGGCCGACCTGTTGGCCACCGATTTTAATGGCAATCATTCGCTGATACAGACAACGACGCCGACAACAATGGAGCAGACATTGATGTTGATGACCACCAATGCTCAAGACATGATGTGTAGTACAATGTCAGCGCCAGATACTCCTCCGTCAAGCGACCGCTCAACGCCACCCAACTTCGACGATCTGCTTATGACAGCCACACAACCAACGATCAAACCATTGCCACCGCCACAGTCGATACCGTTGCTGCCGACATCGCACGACATGATCTCCATTCAAAATGGCCACCAACAGCAGCCGTTGGCCAGCCAACTGACACTCATACCTGCGGCCATCAATTTATGTCATATTGCCTGTCCATTATCGCCACTGTCGCCGCCAGCCGTTATCACCACCAGCACTACTCAGCCGTTACATTCGCCTACATTGGCCATCAATTCGTCGTCAAACGACAACAATAATATGAAACTATTGTTAACAAACAATATCATCAACAATAACAGGTCTTCGACAATAAAATCAAGCAAATCATCATCAGTTGAATTGAGTAGTCAATTGAAGAGAGAGGCAAGAAAATTGCGTAACAGAGAGGCGGCCACTATATCGAGGAAACGCCAGAAAGAGTACGTACAGTCACTGGAGAACAGTGTTAACGGATTGATTCAGGAAAACTCGCGACTCAAGAGTGACAACGATTGTCTAAGAAAACGATTGGCCGAATTGGAGAACAATTGCAATACAATTAACAGCAAAAAAGATTATATGTTTGTCGAAAGCAATTGCAAGTGTCGGTTGTCGTCATCATCGTTGACATCCACTTCGGGTTCAAACAAAAAGGCAGCGCTCAGCCTATTAGCCGTTGTTTTTATGTTAGGTCTCAATTTGGCGCCATTTAGTGGTATTCTTATTACAACCAATACTGTGGGTGAAACAAACAGAAGATTAGACGGACCCAGACATGGACCGAGTCGTTCATTACTGTGGGACTCAGCCGCCGATGACGGCAATACTATTGATTCAGATATCGTTACGCTCAACAATACCGGAAAATATGCAAACAATAGCCGCCAGTCGTATACCAATTGCAAGACATTATATATTAATCAAACAGAATCCATACGATTGGCCACTGATTTAAGAGATTGGATGTCAAGAGTGGAAATGGAAAAGCAAGTGGTTTTCAATTACAAGAAGAAAAGATTGATGTCTCAATTGAAGAGCAATACTAATCATAACAATAATGATAATAAACTGAAGAATCGTTTCAATAAACCGATTCCATTGGCTAGACTTAAGGCATGGATTCAAAAGCGAACCGAAAGTAGCGGTGTTTTCAACGATCTAAACGACTATACAATTGATGACTACTATTATAATTACGATAAACGAAACGCTAAACTACCGCAAATCAATTACGATGACCTATTGGCGGCCATTCATCGACGTGACGATACATTCTATCTGTTGTCTTATTCATCGAAAGATCATCTGATAATACCGGCAATCATTAGACAAAACACTACTTCCAGTACTACTAGTGGTGGTAATAGTGATATCAGACCCAGATTTTCACTGTTAATGCCATTGATCTCTACATTGAATGCATCGACAATTCGCGGAACAAATATTACATACAATCAGATGTCGATTATGCAAATTGATTGTCAAGTGATTAATACGAAAATGGTTTTATTCAATAGTAAAACAACTAATGGCAAGACATCATCATCGGATCAATTGATGGACATCAGAAACCGTAACAACAATAGTAATACTAATAATAATATTACCGCTAAACCTATCGGTGCCCGCAATAAGACTTTAAACAACAATATTACCCAAAACTGAGTGTGCAATACATAGAGAAAGAGTAGAGAAGCAAACTAACAAAACAAAAAAAGTTTTTATTTAAATTATATTTACATTTACTTTATTTTTTTTACGTAAATTATATTTTCTTTCATTTATTTAATATATATATTATATTTTTGTGTTAATTTAATAATATATTGTATTTACAATTTATTTAGTATTTTATTTTTTGTTTTTTTCCTTATATTTTGTGAAATGGTATTTAATTATTATTATTATAAATGTTATTATATTTTTGACATTTATTACACATTTTGTTTGTATTCAACATTTTCTAGTCTCTGAAAAATCAACAAAAAAAATTTGATAACAAGTGTATAATTTTTTTTGATTATTTAATTTTGTATTGATTTTCATTTGTGTTTGTGTTTATTTTTTTGGTATAAATATATATATATATATTATAAAAAAAAACTTTAAAAAATAAGTTTATATTATTTATAAAAAAAAAATTATATTTAATTTTGACTTAATTTAATAAAATTGAAACCAATTTAATTGGTAGTGTTGTTAATGTTTGTGATGGCATACATGAAATAAAATTTTAAAAAGTTTCTACACATTAGATCTTAATGGGACTCCTAAAGGGACGGCGATCCCAACTAATTGATCCACTCGTATGGCTCAACAGTGAGAGGAGGGAGAGGCGGAATGGATGTGTCTGAAAGTGATAAAGGTATATAAAAATAACCAAAATTTTAGTCATTAAAAAATAATAATATCAGTGTTTTTTAAAATATATTTTAATTTAATGTCAATTAATTACCATATAATATGATAGATACGTATATAAATAGATTAATTATTCGTTATTAAGTTTAACTGTAGTATATTTATTGACCACTTTCAGTAAATAAATATATTTAATTTTTTTTTTTAAATAATATAAAAGTTTTAAATATATAGTTGAAATAATAATAAAAATAAATTTTAGAGCAATATTTTTATAATTTTTTTTAAAAATTTTGTTTTGAAAACTTAAAAATAGTTTTATAGATTATATCACTTCACTTGTCGTCGTCATTGTCTCTTGAAATTGTTGTTTAGTTTGAACTCTTCAGACACACACACACACCGACACCAACAGTGGATAATCACTTCAACTGTTTGATTGAGTGATCTGTGAAATCAAATGTTCAGTTTGTGTAAGAAATTATGTCAATGGATTTGCTGTGGTTGTTGTTGTGGTGTAAGACAGACAAAGACACGGAAGAAACACAAGAGGAAAACACAACTATCGCCGACAACACGAACAACCAGTACAGACAAAGGAATTCGGAGATCACGGGTGCCTCAGGTGGTGATCAAGTCGTTTAGCGAATTGTTAGACGAGAAAGAAATACTCGAACTGATACCAGAAGACAAAGATGTGGGCAAAGATGCCATTGAATATCTTCGGCGAAGAGGATTCGATCTATCGATGAACGATACGAACCGATTGGGCTCCGGTACCTATGCTGTTGTCTATAAGGCTTGGTATAGAGGACGCAGTCTAACGGGTACTGAGAATACAACGATTGCTTGCAAAGTAATCAAAGACAAGAAACAGTTGTCGGATAGACAACCATATCATCCGTTAGACAAATTGAGAACTGAATTAGCATTTTTGGCTTCGCTTAAGTCAAGCGAATTCATAGTCAAACCCATCAAATACTTTGTGAGCAATCGTCAAGAGAAACGTGAAGATCACATCAGAGCCTATGTCTTCATGGAGTTTGCATCGGGCGGTTCACTGAAGACACTGATAAAAACTACCGGCAAACCAATGGATGAGCTGACAGCCAAACACTATTTCGGACAGATTGTCAGAGGGGTTAGATTTTTACATAAGAACGGTATTGCGCACCGGGATCTCAAAACGGATAATATATTGATGTTTCCAGCGATGGTCGACAATGAAACACCGTTTGTATGTAAAATCAGCGATTTCGGTACCACACGGATTGGCTATGAAAACAATCAGTTTATCATGAAAAACGATTATGTCGGTACCCGACAATTTATGGCACCCGAAATTCTGGCCTGTAATCCTGTATTTCAATCAAAACCGGCTTACGATGTGTTTGTTGCCGACTGTTGGGCACTCGGAGTCATACTCTATGTTATGATTGTCGGCGGAAGTTATCCGTTTAGAATACCCAACAAACGTCGGTCAACATTAGTGTCAGCCATTAGATGCCAAAAGCAACAGTTGTACGACTGGCCGGACAATTATCGACAACAGCAACAGTCGCCGCCACTAACCAAACCTTGTATTGAACTGATCCGACGTATACTAATAGCTGATACAAATCTTAGACTAAGCATTGACGAGATAGTGGCGTCCGAGTGGCTGATCGGAGAGACAACACTTTCAGATAGTTTGGCCGTCGGGTCCGACAGAATGACTGACAGATAGATAGATAGATAGATAGATAGATAGACTACTATATCGATAGGTGTTATCAGTAATTATTATTCTCTAAAAAATATCATTTATATACTGTATATACCGTGGGGTATATATCCATAAACTAATTAAATGTTTAATTGAAAATATTTTTTTTAAATGTTTTAATTTTATTGATATTTATTTATTTATTCTTATCTTAATAAAAGTAATAATAATAATAATAATAATAATAGCTAATAAATTAATTATTAGTCTATTTAACAAAATAAATATTAATAAAGTTTTTAATTTTATTTAAATTATATTTCATTGAATATATTATATTTTTTCTGTTCATTTAAAAATATATTTACATTTAATTATTTTATTTTCTTATATTTTGTAAATTATATGACAAACACACCGGCGAACTATATCATCAAATGTTTGGGTTTTTTTAAATAAATAAATAAATGCACTAAAAATACAAATATATGTTTTTTAAAACTTTTTTTATATAAATATATATTTTTTTTAAATTGACATCTAATGTAAATGTATAATATGTTATGTAATATTACAGTACTTACTGTACATAAACTTTCAATACAATAGTAGTACTAATGTTTACAAAACAGTGTTTTTATTTTATTTATATACCAATTGATTGAATCATCAAAACAAACAAACATTTCAATCAATCAATTGATTTTGTTTGTCATCAGTACAACAACAACAACRACAACAACAGCTGATCCACACACACACACACACAAGACTAGATGCAAATGATGAACATCGAGGCCCTGGAGGCCGACGCCCGTCAAACGGCACTCAAACACGTATCAAATATGCTTCAGAGACCGGATCAGCTGGAAAAAGTAGATCAATACAAGAAACGAGTTGTCCGTAAAATGGTAAGCATATATATATATATATCATATACCATAGTTTCCAGTGATGGTTAGATCCAATCCAATCCATGCTAATATTGATACCTAATTTTAATAGACATCCGTTGAGGGTATGCTAAAGACGGCAATGCAGACACAGTTGGACGGCGTCCGGACCGGACTAATACATTTGCAAACATCCCAACAGGACATCGATGAAATCAAACGTACGCTAAAAGAAGTAGAAGAAACGTTTCCAGTGGTTCCCAATTTAGTTGAGAAGTTAAAATCGGTTCGCGAAGAATCGATGAAACATTCGCAATATGTGGCAGCCATGGATAATCTTAAGCATATATTCAATGTACCCGAAAGTATACTCAAGACTCGGGAGGCCATAGCCGATGGTAAGCTGTTGATAGCTCATCAGTATTTGACTGATTTGGAGAATTCGCGCGACGACCTACTGTTTGAATTGCATCGATTGCCGGCCACATCAATGGCCGATAAGAATCTATTGAAACATTACTATTCAGAAGTGGAAAAACTATCGGAAGAATTGGGCAAACAGTTGTGGCTAATCATTAGACTAACACTGAACTCAGTACGCAAAGAACCATCGATTATAGTGACTGCGCTGAGGATTATTGAACGCGAAGAAAAAGCCGACGAATTGGCACTGAAACGATCGGATACTTCGGGTTTTATGGCCATTGGACGGCCAAAACAGTGGCGCAAACGCGTGTTTGAGATACTGGAAGAAGCAATCTATGAACGTATTGCTGGCAATCAGTTTCACGACAGACACCAGAATAAGATGTGGTTAGTCTTGCATCTGGAAGTTACTCGACTGTTGTTTATCGAAGATCTTCGTGTGGTCAAGAATGCATGTGTTCCCTGTTTTCCTCCCAGTTATGATATTGTCAACAAAATGCTTTATTTATACCACAAGTGTTTGAGCGCACACCTACACGAAATGGCCAACCAGTTGGAGGGCAATGAATACGTAACAGTACTGAATTGGGTTCAAGCTTACGATGGACCCGAACTCATGGGTCACAGAGATCTGGATTTTGATATTAAATCCAGAAATTTTGAACCACTTTTATCGAAACCATTGGTCGACGAACTAACTAATAAATATCTGTCGACTGTCGAAAAAAATTATAAAGAATGGCTAAGCAATACCATTGCCCGTGAGGTCAAAGATTGGGACAGTAGTAATCAGCCCGAGTGTGATGAGTCCCGTCACTATCAGACAACTACACCTGTTATTGTCTTCCAGATGATTGATCAACACGTATGACATATAAAAGACACATTTTTTATTATGTATTTATTATTTTTATGTTTGTATTAAAATTTAGCTTCAAGTGGCCCGAACAGTGACCAGACATTTGGTCAATCGGGTTCTAATCATAAGTATGGATCACTTGTCGACATTTGCCAAACAATACAAAGACGCTGTCAAACGGTATGCAAAGTCTCACTTCGAGAATCGCAATCAACTGTTCACTCCTAATATGGTTTGTTGTTGTCATTCATACTAATTATAATAATAATGATATTATCATTGAAAAAAAGACAAATTATTTAATTAATTTTGTGTTAATTTATTAATTTTTATATATAAATATAGATTGCAATCACTAATAATTGTTTGAGTTTTATTGAAATTGCAATGAATTTCAAACAAGAGTACAAAAGTGGCGATTCAACCGAATTGGAGGCAAACAGAGTGTTTGATAATGTGGTCAAATCTTTTGAAGAACTTAAAGAAGAAAGGTTTGTATTTTTGTAATTAAAGATATTTTGATTTTGGATCAGTTGTTGAATGTGATTGAATTACCGGTAATTTATTTTACTGTATATAAAAAAGTATCGGACATTTACTTTACGAGATATTCCTCGACGTCGACCGGGAAATCAATAAAGTTGGTACTCAGGAGTGGTTCGACTCGAAGATCAGTGTCATTGAAAACATTTGTCTTACTCTTGAAGACTATTTTCGTGACTATGTCTATCTTAAAGAAAAAAACTCGGATCGACTTAAAGAAGAACTACAAAACAAATTAGCCAAAGGATACATAACAGCTATTTTACTCAAGTATTGCTATAATTTAAATAAAAAAATAAATAAATAATTTACCGGTAATTGTTAATTTTTCGGATAATTATTAAATATTGAACAGAAAAATGCAATTAAGAAATCAAAGTCAAAGAGAATTGTTTGCCAAAAAGTTTATCAGAGAAGCAGAGATATTGAAGGCAGCCATCGCTAAATTACCGACAAAGATGTCCACAAATATTGTCGTTAGTATTCAATTAAACAATGGATTAGCTTTTAATTTATAACAAAATTGAATTAATATATAAATTTTTTTAATTACTGAAAAAAAACTTATAGAAAAATTCTCCATTTGATTGTTTGCCACTTTTGGCTGAGTTTTTAAAGCTAAAAGACTTAAGTATGCTATTCCTCGAAGTATCGGTACGTGTAGTAGTAGTTGTAGTAATTTTTACCAACAAATAAAAAAATGCTTACAATTTCATTATAGGGTTTGGTTAAGAAATATCCCGACATCAAAGTGGAACACTTGACGGCACTGTTATCGCTGAGAGAGGACATGTTGAAGACAAATGTCAAAAAGGTTTGACACCAATTGAATTTTGATTATATGTATAAATCATTTTTATATATCTTCTATAGCAAGTCGAGGACATGATGTCCGACTACGAGATAACCAGTGATGAGAAAACTATTTTCTCGAAAATAACACTCAATTGATGACATAATAACAACTGTTAAACGAATGATAATAGACAAATGAAAACAAACAAAAAATTAATTTAAATTTTATAAATAATTTATTTATTATATTTGATATTTTAATTATAATTAAACAAACAAATCATTTATATATATATTTATTATATAGATTTATATAAACAAACAAAAAAATAATAATCAATTTTTGTGATAATAATCAATTGTATCAATGAATTGATGGTAATAATCGAGTGATAATATCGCCTTAAAACACATGTGTGTCTGTGGCTAACGGGCGTCAAAGACAATCACTGGACAAGAAGTAGTAGAAGAATCAATGGATCAATTAGAAAGTGATCGACAATATGATAGTTAAATAATACATACATCTCTTGGTTCGCTTCTTATACATTATTCTGTAACCACATTCGCGACAACGGATCGGATCTTTAGACTTGATTTCGTTGTCGTGATGACACTCTTTAAGACATTGATGACAATCAAGAAGAAGACAATTATGGGATTAAATGTTAGTTAAAACGTGATAATTACGGGCAGACATCACTTACCGGCACAAATGTAGACCATCGGCTGTTTCGGCTGAACCGCTGGCGGTTGGCTTTGCGACTGATTATCCATCAATGGGCGGACAACTAACTAAATTGTTGGATCAATTGATTTGATTGATGTAAACAATTATTGTCACTTCAAATCAATTAAAACAAACAAATAGTCATCACATGTGATAACAAATACTATACATAATAGAAACCAGACTTCAAACCCATAGGTTTTTAAGCATAGATTTTTCAATACAACAACAAAAATCAAAATATACTCTATAATACAGTTGCCCCTTAGCTATATTACTTGCCTGCATAACAATCGATGGCTATCACAGTATTATCATAGGATTTGAAGCAATGCTTTTTAACACTTTCACTATTAATACTGTATAATAATAAATGTACATTAAATATATTGCAGTGTTTTGATTGGCTGACAGCGGCAGCCAATCAGTCCATTGCATCACTGCTTTTAAAAGGCGATCACAAAAACAGTTTCAGTTGTGTTGTTGTTGTTGTCATTCAGTATTATCTGTGAATCAGACTGTGATTGTCATCAATGGCTTAAAAACAAGAAAAAAAAGTTTTTGAATTAACTCATAAAACCAAAGATCCAAACCATATGTGATGTGATTTGTCTTTTTTGCGGCGATTTTACTTAAACTAAATGATTCAAAGATATCCAAAGACGCAGAAAACATGACCACCGAAGTTGACGATACCGACGATGACGGCATTTACATTGTGGACACGACCGATGCCAACGGCTTCGACATTGTCGGCGAATTGGCTGTCCATGACTGCTGGCATATAATTAATAAGATACTCGAATATCTGCCGGTTCGGACCATACGGGCCATGTGCTGCGTGTCCACCGGTTGGCTTACGGCTGTCGTACTGTCGCCTCGGGCCAATCGGCGACGGCTACGGCACGTCAAGAAAGTACGCCGATTGCGGACAAGTGTCGGCCAAGTAATTAGCTATTTAATGATTATTTTAATTAATAAAATTAATAATTATTTTTTTTGTGGTAACCCTCCCTATAGGAGAATTGGCCAATAAAACGGAAGACACCGGAGAGTAGTGGTAGTCGTAGAAGAGCTTTCGGTGATATTAGAAATACGACTACAAGAAGTGGTTCGAATACTCCAACGACGACAATGACCTCAAATAATACTAACAATAGATTGTCGACTATTAGATGACCAAAAAAAAGTATTTGAATTCATAAAAAAAAGATTATTTTTTTGAATTCAAACCAAACAAACAAATGAAAACATTTGTAAATATAATTTTAATGCGGTTTTTATCTTATCTTAAGAAAACACTTAACACTTGCAACACATATATCTATATATATTTAATATTGAAATCAATGGATTATATATTTAATATATCCGTTATATACTGTAATATATATCATATCATATCTCATACATTTTTATAGGAAAATCAAATTATTTTAATTTCATATATAAAACATTAATTTAAATATCATTTATTACTGTTATTATTATTATTATTCACATATTTTATAGTAATATAACTAATTTCTTCTAAATATGGATTCATATACGCAATTAAAACATCTTTTCGTACACTTTTGCCGAGTCGGCCATACATTTGTACGACTAAATCATTATTTAGTTGTAATAAACTACCGGTGCGGCAGATAATCATAAATTTCGAATGTACACCAATCGGATCCGATTGGTAGCACAAGAAATCGCAACCAAATTTAATGCCATCAGTTATGTAATAGTTTTTATTCCACAAATCTTTGAACACTTGATACCTGAGCTCTGACTTAGCCGTCACTACCGGAAACAAGATGTTATTGTCGTCAACAATCTTTGACAATCGGCCATCAAATGGACAATCGGTTAAGAGTTTTGTCGAACAATTATCGGGTGTAATATCGGGTATTTTTGCCAATTCTTGTTTAATGATCTCATCTTTTAATTCGTCATCATTTAAGTGTCTATACTGTTCGGCAAATTTTTTAATTTTTCCCGAAACTATTTTGTCGGACATTTCTAGGATTTGTTTTTGTCGATCGGATTTAAATTGTTGTCGATTTTGTTCACAAAAATCAGTTTTGAGTTTAGCATAAAAATCTTTTACTTCCGCATCCACTCGTGTATCAAATTCGACAACAACGGCAACTTTATTGTCGACCAACAATCTGGTCTCTTCGGGCATCAATAGCAATGGTAGTCCTAATTCAGAGTTTTGTTGTCCACAATCAGGTATTGATCCGATAAACGAACCGACAATACGATAATGTTTACGTAAGATTAGCACATCTAATGGTATATACAAACAAAAAATAAAAATAATTCATCACAAAATTAGTTGACATCACATCCATGGCGAACAAAGACAATATAATAATGGCTTACCATTAGGTTTCCAAACAACCACTTTGTGATTACAATATATCAAATTAATCATATTTTACACACTATTTATTAATTAACTAAATTATATAATAATTATAATAAACTAATTATCAACAAAAAAGTCTCAAATATAAAAACACTTGATGACCAAACAAATAAAAAAAGTGACCACTAATTCGGTAAACTGCGGCCACTGAAAATATATTTAGACCACCAAACTTCTAGCCCCAGCTAGCTTTGCCTACACCCGATAACTTGTTATAGTCGGCCAATAGTCGCCACTGATGTCTAGTAATTTTGTATTGTTTAAGATTACCGCGCGATCGGGAACTGATTATACAGCGATTGTTCAGATGCTTGATATTGGAATCACGAGGAAGACAACACTCTTGTTCAAAGGCCGACTCCTATAATGGGATACAAAGAGATCAGTTTCAAGTGACACTTCAAAAAAAAAATTACTTCAAAGACAAACAAAACAAACCCTTATATTGGATGGCATTAACTTTGACTTCCGTATCGTATACAATATGGTTCGGGTCGGGAAAAAACGGGAAAAGATATACCGACGCCGTAGGTCTCTAAGCATACGCCAGTCCTGCCATTTCAGGGTAGTCTGTCTCTCGAAGGACGGCACCGACGGATCAGTTACTTGTCTTTTGCGGCTAATTTTTGTATCGTAAACCGAACCGGTACCGTTGATCGGGTAATGTGGGGGCAGATTTGCCCACTGGGGAAATGTATGGCCACTACGGATACCGATAGACAACCAATTACTAGTACTACTACTAATACTACTACTACTTGATGACCAACTATTCAAAAACAATCGGTTTAATAGTCCGGTCATTAGTCGCATGTTTTTGTGGATACAGTAGTCATACAACACTTACTGTAATAATAATAATAATAATATTGAACTAAAAATCATAACTTTTATTTCAAAATACATTAATAACGACTAATAGGTTTTACTACAGTATACTATTCAACCGTCACCTCAACTATGACCCCATATACACACATACAGTCAGTACAAGTGATGACCATTAGAGAGTTAAGGGGACAGTTAGGCGACTATTATTTTAGGCATATACCTGTGTGTCAATACATGTCAAACAATACCCAAACTACTGACCCTTTAATAAGGTTTGGTTAGTATCCAAGTCATTGATGTTATTACAAAGTCTTCTACAACACTGGAGAAACTCCTCAGTGATGTCTCTACTGTCGATACATTAATATACCAACCAATGGTAATCACTTAGACAACTACCAGTTCCCCTGGTGGTCATGACGTCACTTGCGGTCTATGAGATCTAATAAAAGGATCGACATATTATAGGGTAGACCTCTTCCAGTAGTTGCGACTCTTAGTGTTCACATCACATGTAAGTCTATTAAAAAAAAAGTCTTCATTTAAATTATTGCTCTTTTATTTCAAATACTTATTATTGTTATTATTGTTCGTAAAATTATTTAAATTAATTAATTAATTATTTAACTATTATTTTTAACATTTAACTATCGATTGTCGGCATAAAAAAAACTAGTGATTAGTTTAGTTGTCATTTAATTTTTAATAATTTTTTTTAAAAATGTTTTGTGAAATGTGTTGCCGGCGTTGTCTGTAGTATTGTATGCCTTTCCGTTAACCCCAATGTCTATGCTGTTATTATATCGATTATCTGGCCAGTGATCTGGCCTCCCCTCAAGTTCAAGGTGACCGTCGGCAAAAGTGACAGTTTAGTTGGCCAGACCCGGGGCAGACCATATTGTTTAGCGCATAGCCCTATATATTTAGTATAGTCTATATGTGTTGTTAAAACGTTTTGGTCAATGCGTTTAAAGCCACGACAGCACATATACATAGAGAGAGAGAGAGAGATAGTTAGACAGGCATTGCCAGCGCAGGCATGTAATGCCTTTCCAGCAACAGTAGTAGTAGTAGTAATAGTATACTGTATCAGCAGCACCAGCACTGTTAGCTTTTTAAGTCCTGTCCTCCATTTTTCACCAGTCATTTCCGCTTTTGTATTGTGTTTAAGTAGTAGTTGTGGCGAAAGCATTGCACCGGCATTACTGTACACTTGTCACTGATCTATCTATTTGTTTGATTATAACCTAAATTGTAGGTATTTTCTAACCCCTTCTTTATAATCTATTGACACCCGATACTGGCCAACACACTGGACAAGTGTTTAGTCGGCAATTAGTTTATCGGTGTTTAGTTTAGGTCTTTACAAATGAAACTTTTTGTCAATTTTGTTGATCACTACCTTTGATAACACATTTCTTTATTGATGACAACTATCTATTCAATTGTCTTAAGATCTAATGTCTTCTTTTTATATTTTCAATATCATCTACAGATTAGAGTTGATCTAATAATTGCTGACCAAATCAATTAATTACAACCAAAACAATGGGAAAAGAGAAGACTCATATCAATTGTGTCGTCATCGGACACGTCGACTCCGGTAAGTCGACCACTACCGGCCACTTGATCTACAAGTGCGGTGGTATTGACAAACGAACCATCGAAAAGTTCGAGAAGGAAGCCCAGGAGGTTTGTAATTTTTTTTTTTTTTTGAAAACTGGTTTTTATATTCAATTGTCTAACCAAACTATTACTGTTTCCGGCGCACCTATAGATGGGTAAGGGATCGTTCAAGTATGCCTGGGTGTTGGACAAACTGAAAGCCGAACGCGAGAGAGGTATTACCATCGACATCACTCTCTGGAAGTTCGAGACACCGAAGTACTACGTTACCGTTATCGATGCTCCCGGTCACAGAGATTTCATTAAGAACATGATTACCGGTACCTCTCAGGCCGATGTGGCCGTATTGATTGTAGCCGCCGGTACCGGTGAGTTCGAAGCCGGTATCTCCAAGAACGGCCAAACCCGAGAACACGCACTGTTGGCTTTCACACTCGGTGTCAAACAATTGATTGTTGGCGTCAACAAAATGGACACCACTGAACCCCCGTTCAGCCAGTCTCGATTCGAAGAAATCCAAAAGGAGGTCTCAGCTTACGTCAAGAAGATTGGTTACAATCCGGCAACCGTTCCGTTTGTGCCGATTTCCGGCTGGAATGGAGACAACATGTTGGAGGCATCGACTAACATGCCCTGGTTTAAGGGATGGAACATCGAGCGCAAGGGTGCCAAAGCCGACGGCAAGACATTGTTGGCCGCTTTGGATGCCATGGAGCCGCCGTCACGACCAGTTGACAAAGCCCTGCGTCTACCACTTCAGGACGTCTACAAAATTGGCGGTATCGGAACTGTCCCAGTTGGCCGAGTCGAGACTGGTGTCCTTAAACCCGGTATGGTTGTCACCTTTGCCCCGGCCAATCTGACCACTGAGGTCAAGTCTGTTGAAATGCATCACGAGGCCCTCACCGAAGCCGTTCCCGGCGACAATGTTGGCTTCAACGTTAAGAACGTATCGGTTAAGGAGTTGCGCCGAGGCTATGTTGCCGGCGACTCTAAAGTTGATCCACCCAAGGCTACCGAAGATTTTACCGCTCAGGTAATCGTTTTGAATCATCCGGGACAGATCAGCAATGGTTATACACCAGTCCTCGACTGCCACACCGCTCACATTGCTTGCAAGTTCAAGGAGATCAAGGAAAAGATTGACAGACGAAGTGGTAAAAAGATTGAAGGTTTGTAATCATCGACAACAAGACTCGTGAGGAATGTGTTTGCTTTAATGTATTGTTTTTATATTGCGATAATTAGATTACCCGAAGGCCATCAAGTCTGGTGACGCTGCCATTGTTGAATTGGTTCCAACTAAGCCTATGTGTGTGGAAACGTTTACCGAGTTTCCCCCGTTGGGTCGTTTCGCTGTCCGCGATATGAGGCAAACTGTAGCCGTCGGTGTTATTAAATCCGTGAAACACAAAGACTTGACGGCCGGTAAAGTGACGAAAGCCGCCGAAAAGGCACAGAAAAAGAAATAACTATTACTTCTAATAACTATTATTAAAAGACTTCTAGATTTTTTTGATTTCATTAATATTTTTTTTCAAACAATTATTACGATAAAAAAAATTACAATTAAAAGCAAAAACAACGCTTTTTTCTCTGTTAGCTAATGATTATTAATAATTAATTAATACTATTATTATTATTATTGATTATTATAATTATAACACAAATATTTCGAAATTAAATGTTATTTTGAGACTAAAAACGATTTTTAAAAAAAACAAAACAGTTGTATTTGATTTCATACCGTTTATTAAATTTCATGAATTTTTTTTTAAAATTATTACCCCCACTATCACTAATACTATTGATTTGAATTTTCCCCCCATTTTCTATTTCCATTGATTTATAACTTTATATTATCGATTAAAACTTGAATTTGATTTTCATTTTTGTCGATTGATTTGATTTATTATTGATTTACTTTTTTTGTACTGTAAAATCCCATTTGATTATTATTATTGGAAAAAATAATAAATTTGATAATGAAATTTAGGTTATATTATTGAATATGTCTTATTATTATTATTATTTAAATTAATTTTTTTGAAAATTAATCAAACTTGTAATAATAACTCTGGTACCAACTTATGGTTAGCTATCCAAATATATGTACCCTATAGTTGCAATGACCTGGGTATTGGTTAGGGTAACCAATTAAAATAAAATTTGTGGCCAATTGAATATAGTGTGTGTGTGTGTGTAAGTATGTAATGGATGGTATGGATCAGTTAAAAATGGTTAAAAATCGATTTCATAGACCCAATGGATTTTAGTGTAACGTTAGATAATAAAACCAAAATTGGTTTTAAAAAATTTTAATTTTTAGCCAAATGTTTGGATCGACGATTGGTTACAAATATACAGTACTGTATAGAGAGATATATAGCTATTTCATTGAAAATAGTTGTGTCTATTTATAGACACTCTCTCACAGTCTTATCGTTTATTTGAATACAAAAAATGTCTATCAATGGCACTGACTGGCTGTCTGTCCCATCTATTTCCATCTAATCTGCCTTTTTATGACTATCGCTACAATCATATACTATTGAATCAAACTGTTGTCATAAATAGTACCGATTAGTCGGCTAATGTTGACTATGCGCTCAAATTATTATTATTTTTAATGTTTTTGTGAAAAACATTTCTCTCTTTTATATTACTAACAAAAATGCAGACATTTTACTGTCCTATGCTATCAATGACTGACTGATAGATAGATAGAGAGAGTCGACGACCCATTGGTTGTGCCAATTGATTGAATACAATATATATATATATATAGTATTGTATATATAAATTACAAGACATCGGATCCCATTATCATCAGTTAATTTTTAAATGTTGTCAAACACTAGTTGAACCATTAAATTTGTTATCGTTGTCGTCGTCGACATTACCATTACGGGGACAGTATATTATAATAGATAATACCATCGGATACCACACCAATCATTTCAATTAAAAAAAATAAGGTATTTATGGGATCAATTTCTGGTGACATATATATATATATAATCGGTTTATTCAATAGCTATTGTTGTTGTTGTTTTTGAAGAAATACCAGAAATGATTATATAATCTCTTTATTATTATTTAATTTTTTTTTTAATATGTATTCAGTTTTTTGTTTAGTCACACCAATCATCCATTTGATCGGATGATTAGGTGATAATCGTTAGTATTATATATGATATATATATTTGCTTTAGTAATGATTCTCATTGTTTTTGTTTTATTAATTACCATTTCAACAGACAATGATAATCTAAAAATCTTCACACAAAACCATACCATCTAATGATATCCAATCCGAGAGAAAGCAATGAGTCAAACAAATGTGATAATAACTTCGGGTTCAGGAAATCAGATTATTCACGTACCGGTCGGCGGCGGTGGTGGCAACAAGTCGTCAACCAATCATCGATCGGCCACTCCTATTGAGATTGTCACATCATCGTCGGCCCACATTACCATCAATAGGACAACTAATCGACTTAGCGGTGACAACAATAACCAGACTGGTTGGCAGCAGCGAAACAATGGCAACAACAACAACAACACGATCAGCAATACTAATGTACAATATTTGTCAACTAATCGTTCGCTCCAGAGTTCTTCATATACCACAAACAGCAGGAGAGCCAACAATAACAACACCGGACATAGAGATGTCTACAACAGCGAAGGTATGATCGATCAGATTATTATTATTGTCAGATGAATATGTTGATTGACATCTGATTTTTTTTTAATAGACAATAGCGAAGTAAAAGCACTTTACGTTAATCGAGAGTCAAGTGATTCGAGAGAACAGCTACTACTGCCGTCGGAAACCTATATAAAACAAGAAGATATTGACGCCGAAGAGTTTGAAGAATACGAAGATGCTATCGATAATGAGGGAGACTTTCAGAATATGGTCTATTCGAAGACACAGTACAAATGTTCCGGTTGTGGTAAAGGTTTCTGTTATACCGGTTGGTTGGACAGACACAAACTGGCCAATCCTGAGTGTCGGAACGCTCAGGCAATTCAGGCGTCACAGTATATCGAACCGGAAAACAACAACAATAGCAACAATAACTATTCGCCACAATTTGGTTCGTCGGCTGAACGAATCAGACCGAGTCTCGAGGGCCGACTACAGGAGCTATTGGTCTGTCCGAACGATGGCTGTAATTTCAAATCCCATTGGATCCAGTCGTTGAACAAACACGTGTCCAGTTCGTGCAAGTTTGTCCGCACTACAGGCGGTAGACGACAATCGGATGGTATAACCACTAGACGAGTCCAGCAACAGGTTTGCCATATCTGTAGCAAATCGTTTGCCGACACCGACCAGCATATTCTGCACATGAAGAATGTTCATCAGATAAAAATCTATTACCAATGTTCCGAATGTCGTATCAATTTTGATAACAAACGCGACTCGGAGTCGCACATCCAGGAACACCATCGTATGGGACTGTACTCTGTAAAGGAGAATATAGTGTCGACACCGATCCGTTCGAAAGCTGCTGCCGACGCCAACGGACTGACAAACGGCGGCGGCGGAGGAGGAACTCAACAGTACTGGAAGTGCGAGCTCTGCAACAAAAGCTATCTGTCGTTGCGGTCGTTTGAAATTCATCGGACGTCGTGTGAAAAGGAAATGCAGGCCTCGTTTCATATTAACGACCATTCGTCGGCGGCATCGTCACAGTCGTCCTCTCAACGCAATATCCAACGAAAGACTCCCAGTCCCCTGAAGTATACGAACTCTCCCACACAATCGCAGACATCGGACCCCGCCGTCGGCGCCAACCAAACGGCTGTCAAACACTTTAAACGTCAGCAAATCGAAGCCATTCACGACAACAACGACTTTTCCTGTCGCTATTGTTCCAAACATTTCGACAATTCCTATGCTCTGTGCAATCATCTGAGTCGTCGACCAGATTGTCGCGATTGGTATTTGAAAAATATGACACTCGAGTTGAAGAAAACCAATTCTGAACACTTGATACGGCCAACAAAACGCGGAGCATCGCGTTATGTACTAAATTCGGTTAATAACCATCACTTTAGGACAAACAATAACAATAACAACAATCACCATAATATTAATGATCCGGCGTTTGTTATACCGCGTCGTCGGCGACCAAAGCCCGGTATGGGCCGACACAAAACCTATCTGTCATCTTTGAATCCCTGGACAAACTCCGCTCGTTGTCAGCGCTGTCGTAAAGTTTTTGTCGGCAAAAATCCGACCGTTGCCTTAACCAACCATTTGCGCGGTTCGACTTGTGTTCCGGCTAAAGCCTTTCAAAAACCTGAAGTGGTTCGGTCGCGGACACTGAACAAGACGATTAAACCACCGCCACATCGTATGGCCAACAGTATCGGCAAATCGACAAACAAATCGGTTGCCGAAAATCGATTCTATTGTAAACTTTGTCCGCGCATTGAACTAAAAAATCGCATCTCACTTGGCTGTCATCTAACCATTTATCACGGCCTGCCGCAGGTTAACGTTACCACTTCCAAAGGTGACGGTTTTCGGTGTCAAAATTGTTCGCAAATATTTGAATCGAAATACTTTTATAATATCCATCGAACCGATTGTGATCTTAATTCTTCTTATGTCGGCATTGTTTCGGCCAACGAAAACGTTACAACAAATACTACTGATAGCCAAAACAAGTTGACGACAACTACCATCACCACCGCGACAGAAGCAGCAACAGTAGCCGACACTGACTCTGGTATCTATTGTCATTTGTGTGGTAAAACTGGATTTTCCAATAAAAATCTACTGAATATTCATCTAAAGTATCAGTGCGTCAAACGCCGCCAACAGCCGAACATTGGTCTCGGAAAACAACAGTTACCGAACAGAGAATTGCAACAGAAATTAATTGTCAAACAACCCATTCAAATGGCAAATCACGGCAACGAAAAGGACAACAAAACAGATGCCAATCTGACAATGTGTGACTCATGCGGAAGGGGTCCATACAATAGTTTCTATTATTTTATGGAACACAAGAAAAAGTATTGTACGGCACTGAAGGACAACAACAACGGCGCCAGCGTTAAAAACAATGTCAGACTTGTTGGCCAACCGAATCGGGCAAAGAAATCGTTTCCCGATCTATTAGCGAACAACAATAGACCATCGAATAAGACAAATAATGAATTGTTTTGTTTGAATCCAACTCTGCCGAGAGCTCGCAAAACGATGAGCTATCCTAATGTAAACTCACCGCAAGTTAGCCACGAATCAAGTGTTCCAGCAATGGATACCAACAACAACAACAATGGTATCACCAATAATGATAGCGATCACGATGTTATCATTACTGTATCCGAAATAACCAAATGTACGGTTTGTAGCGAAGACTTTGATGACGTTCTCCTATTTATTCGCCATCGATTGAGTCATATTACACAAGACATTATGCAAAGCGAATCAATCGATGCCATCGATTGCGAACTTTGTGGCGCTCGCGTTCATCACTATCAACGTATCCAACAGCATCTGATACTTCATCTGCAGAACGTTCAGATACTCAAGAAGAAGAATCTGATCGAAGTGACAAAGAAGTCACTCGAATCGAAAGAAGATGACGACTATAGCGATGAAGAAGATCCAGAAGAAGGCGACCAATTACATTGTCCGTACTGTAAGGCCGAGTATGTGTCGCGATTGGAACTGGCCAACCATATCAAGAGTACATGTCCATTTAGATACCAGTGCTCCAATTGCAATAATACCTACTTAGACAAGGCATCCTATTTGGAGCACAGAGATGAATGCAATCGAAACGCTGCGATCAATAGGATTGCGTCCAAAGCGCCGAAGTTTAAGTGCCGTAACTGTGGCCTTGAATTCCGAATCAAACAGCAACTTCTATGGCACGAACACGCGTGCGGTAAGGTTTATACATCGGACCATTCGGCAAGGGTTGAGGTATATATATAACGCTAAAATATGACAAACCGCTGATCCAGTGATTTCTTTAACTTTTATCTTTTCAAAATCGTGTTTTTGCAGGAAGTGATTGAACGAACACTATCTTGCAGTGTCTGTGGTCTTGTCAGTGATATTTACGAAAGCAAAGTCAGACACGAATCCCAATGTCTTAATAAATATTTAGCAGTCATCGGGAACAGTACCGAAGGTATGAATTATTGATTTTTTTGTGGATTAAAAACTTACCGATAATTTATTTATTTATATTTTTTTTGATGCCAGAAATCAAGTCAAACAATCCCATCATTTCGAAGCCGATTAGCGAATTGGACTTTGATTTGACGAGTCTATCAAATATATCGCAATCATCTGAAGTACCCGAAGCACTCATCAATGATCTTAAAGAAGAATTCGGTATTCGCAAAGATGTCAAAGTAATTATCAATGCATTCGATGAAGAAATTGTCAGAAAAATGAAGACCGAACTGTACTGCGAACGGGACGAATCCATACAATTGGAAGCACTGAAAGAGTCGTTCATGGCTTTGGTTCGCCGGTTAATCAAAAACGATGAACTCTTGCGCGAAATGAGTAGCGAAGAGTCTAACGCCGAACTAGTATTGTCGCGAATGCTTCGCTATTTGGGCGAAGAAGCCATCGAACACAATGGTCTGAATGAACTGAACTGTTTTCGCCAGAATCTGCAAACCTTTCTCAAGTTGACCATCAAAGACGATACACTGATACTTGCCTACAGAGATGCCGAATCGGTTGACGAAGCCATCATCAATATGTTGAACTTTGAGTGCGAACTTCATTGCTGATGATGACTGCCATTATTATCGATGATCACCACCACTACTACTACTACTTCATCCACGCGACTGATGAATAACTATACACACAGACATTCACACACACAACACACTCACTCACACAGACTAATGGCTTCAATCGACTTCAATCAATCACTTCTATTTGATCCCACACACGTGTGTGACATTATTTTATTTAATTATTATTATTAGTTTAATCTAAACTATTTTTATTTTTTATTTATAATTTACCGTAATTGACGCAAAAATGCCACAATTTTGTTTTTTATTTGATTTATTTGGCAATCATTTTATAATACTAATTTGAATTATGTCTACAAATCAAGCAAACAAAAGTTGATTTTTTTGTTTTAATTTTATCTATAATTATGAGTTACTAAAAAAAATTTATTTACAATTTATTATTATAACAATTATTTCACAATTAATTTAAAAAATGATTTTTTAAAAACCCATTTAGTAGTTATATTTAAATGTCTTTATTATTATTATAATATGTTATTATTAGTATTAATATTAATAGATTTTTTCCATTGGCTCTGATTTTATATATATTTATAAAAAAAATACAAACAAATTATAGTATTTTTAATCAATGATTTTTCGAAACAAACAAATCAATTAAATGAAACTAAAAAAAATAAATAAATTATTTATTGAAAATATCTCTCTCGTTGTGTATATGATTATTGTGTGTGTGAACTGTTATAAAGTGATTAAAAAAGTGTTTATAAATTACTTTTTTAATATATTAATAAATTATATTTATGGATAAACTACCTGTCCACTGTACATAACTGTGCAATAGATAGGTGGCGCCCATTGCATACCGGTGTCTGTGTCACACACATCACAGTATTAATATCTAAACGATTATAACTAATGTAATATCAATGGCAGTGTTGTTATAATACATTACACACACAGTGTATACATACAGTGTATTGTATTGTTATTGTGCTGACTGTCTGACAATATATACAGTAAGGTATTGTCACAACATATCCGACAAATGTATGGATCAATTGATCGACAACTGACCAACTGATTGATCGTCTCTCGGCAGCAGAAAAAAGACTATAACCATAAGCAAGAAGAAGAAGAAGAAAAAAAAGTGGTCACTTGAATAAATCTATTGATGATTTTAGAGCAAAGGTATGGCTAAACTACTATTAGATGATTGTGTCTTAATCTAACCCGACTTGACCTGACCTGACCTGATCTATCACCTCTTTTACAGTGAATCGGTGGCCGCCGTCCCGATCAGCAGCAACATCCCGATGTCCAACTGGTTTTACGATAAAAATGAATTACGACGGACGCCATCACTCGGCGACGGCATACCATCGGATACTGAACAACGATACCGACGGGAAGGTTCGCGTTTTATATTGAAAGTCGGTACTGCCATGAAACTCGGCCACGACACAATGGCCACCGGTGTTGTCTACTTTCATCGATTCTATATGCACCATTCGTTCAAATCGTTTCCCCGATATGTTACCGCTTCGTGCTGTCTGTTTCTGGCCGGTAAAGTCGAAGAGACACCGAAAAAATGCAAAGACATTATCAAAACGGCTCGTACACTGTTAACTGACCATCAGTTCAATACGTTTGGTGACGATCCGAAAGAGGAGGTCCTAACGTTAGAACGTATTGTATTGCAGACAATCCGATTTGATCTACAAGTGGATCATCCGTACGAATATCTGCTGAAGTACGCCAAATGTCTTAAGGGTGATAAAGATAAGCTCAATAAGATGGTTCAGATGGCCTGGACTTTCATCAATGATAGGTATGAATGTCACCCAAACTAGTTCTGTAGATGAATAATCTTAATCTTGATGTGTGTCTATGTGTGGACATCAGCTTAAGTACAACCATTTGTCTTCAGTGGGAACCCGAGATAATAGCCATAGCGCTAATGTTTTTGGCCGGAAAACTGTCGAAATTTGAAGTAAGCGATTGGGAGACACGACTGGCCCATCATAAGAACTGGTGGGATATGTTTGTCGAAGATATCAATATCGATGTTTTAGAAGATATTTGCCATCAAGTGCTGGATCTCTATTCGACACCATTACCCGATACACCTCAAGATTCGCCGCCAAATAGTCCGGCGCCGACCTCACAAAAGTCAGGGTCAACACCGACACCTACATCGACAACGCCTGCCATTATTGCAGGCAATAACAATCCATTGGCTGCACCTATCAATGTACCATCAGTGGTCACACATGGAATACCTCCTGGAGTGGCACCGCCTCCACCACCACCATTACAACTACATCCTTCTGTGGCGGCGGCTCAGCCTCTGCCATCACTTCAGGGCAATGCAGTCGTCAATAAACCGCAGCCGCCAATGTTCGGGTCGCAGAATCAGTCACAGAATCGCTATCGATATCCGCCACCCATTGGACAGCCGCCGATTCTTCCGCCACCGCCGCCAGTTCCACCGACACCTCCCTCATGGGATCAGTATTATCAATATCCGGGATATTCTGGTTATTAGAGACAAATTAAAACCTATTATCAGTCTATAAATATATATTTAAATCAATAAACCGGTGTTTAATATGTTTAGGCGGACCGCAAGCACCGCCCGGTGTCCACTCGTCTCTACCGCCTCCACCAGTTAACATTGGACAGCCGCCACCATTGCACTCAATGCACGGATCGGCCGCTGCTGCTGCTGCCGCCCATATGGCCGCAGTCGGTGTGATGCCACCGGTACCGCCAGTGCCGCCCGCTCATCTAGCCCAGGCCATGTCAGCGATTCCACCACATTTGACGGCACCACCGCCTCCGCCGCCCACACTTATACCCGTAATGACTGCCGGCGGCGGCAATCAATCGGCCGCCCACTTTGCAAATCAACGTAAAAAATAATTGTTTTTTTTTTATTATTTTTGTTGTTTCGGACTATTAATTATAGTTTTTAAAAAATTATTATCAAAATACTTATTATTAATTAATTAAAGCGCATAAAAACTTTTGACGACATCAACCAACCAACCAAACTGATCGATGCAATCATTCATGACTTACTTATACCTACACTACATTTGTACAGTACATACAGTATATGATAGGGAACGACATCTATATAAACATACCAGTGCTCTAAACACGATGTTTTAATATCAACAACATGTGAATCAAGCCTATCCATCAAAATCCAGTGAAGGTATTGAACATATATATTGAATATCATATATAAATGATATGCTATACGATATGATATGATATCTCTATAGTAATTATTAATTAAAAAAACATTTGCCCATAAAATTTAAATCATATATATATACACACACACAACGGTTTATAATGTTATTTCATTAAAACTAAACTAAGAAAAATTATTGAATTGTAAATTGTGTTTTTAAAAAATCAAAAAAAAAATAACTATTAAATAAATAATAACAAAATAATAATAATTGTTTGGCAAACATAATGTTAATGAGAGTGTTTGGCGGTTATAATAGACTACTTCACGCCTATCCTCTCATTACGCAATGCACGACAACCGGTAAATATTATATATATATATACCTGTATTATAATCCAATTATATTATTATCCAATATTGTAATTAATATATTTTTAAATATATATATATATATATATATATTGGTATTTCATATAATTTCATTGGTTAAAATTTTGATTGATATTAAATTATAAAAACAAAAATTATTTAACTGTTTTTAACTAATATTTGGATATTATGTGTATAAAAAAAAGTTTATATCTTATTACTGAAAACTTTGTAGTTAATCAACAACAACAAAATTAAATATATATATATATATTTAATTTTATTTTATTTTTAATTATCAGTAATTTATGATAAAATTAGATTTGACAATTTACCATTCAACACGCATCAATATATTTATAGTTATGTAATTGTATTTTTTAATTTGAAAGTTTTAATTTTTGTTAGACTATTAACTTTATAATAATACAATGTAATAATAGCTTTAAAAAAGTGATGCAATGTATAACCAAAAAAATATTACATACAATGATATATTTTTTTAAAAATTGTTAGTACGATATACTGTGTATAAATTATGTATAATATAATACATTAGTGAAATAGGAGATGAAATATATTTTTAGTGTAATATAAATATTAGTATGAATTAAATCTACAATATATTTATATACAGTAAATTAATATTTAATATATGATACCCGTAATTTTGGGAACAGGTGTTCACCAAAAAATGTACGGCACTGTCATGTATTTCCTCTACAGTCGACCCTACATTTGGTTAGGTTATATAAATGGATATAAAAAATATATGTAATTGTCATTGATGGTGGAGATTGAACAATAGGACTAAATATATAAATTTATATAAAGAATCTAAAAAATATAGTATATCTTATAATTTAATTTTAGTTTTTATGAATTTAGGCACAAATAATTTATTTTTTAATCAATAAAATGTTATATAATATGTGTTTTATAAGTTTAAATGCATGATTTTTTAAAAATATATAATTTATATTAAACAATATATAAATTATTTATATTATAATCGCACAAAAATTATTAACCATTAATTAATTAATTTTTTTAAATACAATTTTTTTGTTAAGTACAGTTAGTTTTATGTATTGAATTATTGTTTTATAGTCAGCTATTTTTGAATATATATTATCACTATTTAGATTATTTATATACAGTATCCAGATATTATATATTTAAAAATTACAAATATTTAAGTACATTATTAATCAACAAAAAAATTGCATCCAAACAAACAAAAAGTTTGTTTTAAATTGATAACTACTGTTTACGATATAATTTATAATATTTTTTTTAAAAAATATATATATAAATGCTGTTTATTATTAATTGGATATAACTTTTAATGTTAATATCATATCAATCAAAGGAATAATTTATAATAAATAAAATACACAAAAAAAATTGTCGTAAAACTGTTTAATATTAAGATAATATTGGGTTACAAAATAGGAGAGACTGGTTTTTTTTTTAAAAAAAGACAAAATAAATGTGTACAAAGTTACTATAGTTAATATATGGTTTTTGGATGTGTTATATATATGTTATACATTATGTACAGTAGTAGTGCACCGGTATGTTAAAGGGACAGGGAGGTACTCAATATTCTCAATTACTATACTCAATATTAGAGATATTGAAATCCTGTATAAATTGACATTTAGTTGACACTTGTTTGACATTTAAAAAAATAATATACTATTTTCAAATAAAATCTAATGTGAAATCTATTATTATAAACAGTCAAAATTAAATATTAAAATATTAGTGTCAAGGTACATTATTTGACTGTAATGTATTTGTGCATTAAAAAACCATTATTAACTATTTTGCAAGTTATTTTACATATCTTTTTTTTAAACAAAAATTATCTAGATCAAATGACCTAGATACTAGAAGATTTATATGTTTTATTTATATTAGTTTATTATTATATTTATATTATTTAGATTAATCAGAGGGGGTGGGTGGGAAAAAGTGTTTAGTCCACGATTTTGTTGAATTATAAATAAATTTTTAAAATAAATTTTATTAATATTTTTTTTTCATTAAATTACCGGTAAATCAATTAATTAAATTTTGTATTATTTTCATCTGATTAGGTGTCCTATTGGCCGCCGGCGATGTCATCGCCCAGAAAGGGGTTGAAAAACAAGAACAATGGAATTGGAAGCGAACGGCAAAGTTCGGTGCCTTTGGACTGCTATTTATTGTACGGTTTTATTACTAATAATAATTTCGGACTTTTTAATCATTTTTAAAAATTTTTAAAAATAGATAATTTATATTAATTGTATTCATTTTTTGTGTTTAATTAAAAATTCAATACCGTAATAATTTTTTTATATCAAAGGGACCTGTCATCAGAAATTGGTTGGTATTCTTGGAGCGTGCGTTCGGCGAGACCGGTAAGTGGACACCGATTAAGAAAGTCCTGGCCGATCAGGTAATGTGTGTTTTTTAAAAATAATTTTATTTACCGATACCGGTAATTGTTTTGTTGACACTTTTGTTGTTATTGTTTTTTTTGGTAGCTATGCTTTAATCCGGTCCTACAATTTACGGCACTACCGGTGTTGGGCGTAATGAATGGCGAAACAATGGCACAGATCAGGGCCAACATCGAGAAAAACTATGTCGACATTATGATAGCCGCGTGGAAATTGTGGCCATTTGTTGCTTTGTTTAACTTTTATTTGGTTCCACTTAACTATAGGTTTTTGAAAATTTTTAGTTTTTAGTTAATTGATTTCAATTTTTATTAATGATGTTTTTTTTGAATCAATTATTATTATTATTAGACTACCGGTGGTTGCATTGGTTTCATTAGTCTGGAATATATACTATACGTGGAAATTGGGGGAAAAAGGGGAACAAAAACATAACTAATTATATTTATATACCATATATATATAACAGTCTATTTACAGTATATATATTTTTTTGTTTATTAAATATCAGATTTTATATATTTAAAAAAAAATATAATAATTGAATGTTATACTCACAAAAAAATTATGTAAACTTCTATAAAATTAGTTAATTAATATATTTTTTATTAAATAAAAAACAAAACAAACAATTTTTTTGCTCAAACATAGTTTTTTATAAAATATTTCAAATCCTATTCATATCCGATTAGTGATGACCTCCGAAATCCCTGAATTGATTACTACTACTACTTTCCATTGAACTAATAGTAGTTTGCAAACTACCAGTCCCTTCATTATCATTATTGGTATTCATTATAATCATCTCATTATCAATAAGTTTATTGTCTTTATTAATAGTGAATGAATAAAACTATTGTTGTTGAGATACTTGACCAACAATATCATCAGTTACTGATGTATTGATATATAAAGTATATATAATGTAATTTAAATAATAAAATAATATTTTTATAATAACTTTTAAAAAATTTATACCATTTTTTTGTTATACTTTGTGGTTTCAAATCATTTACTCTAATAATTGGTTTATGAATTGGCTTCTCATTAGGTTTTAATGTAAATCTTTTTCTCATATTTTTTCTATTAATCATTAAATTATTATTTCTATTAAAATATTAAGAATATATAAAATGTATTTTTTAAATTATACTTAAATAACAACAATAATTAAACACTATATTAGTTAAAAATGTACACAGAAATACAATATTATAATTATTATTAAATAAAAGTTATAATTAATTTAAATAAAATATATTTTTATTATACTCATAAATATTTATTTAGTTTGATTTTTTTATAGAAAGTTTTAGACATAGTGTTAAATTTAATTTAAAACACACACATAATCACATTATAGAAAACTTGAAAATGTTTATTATTATTATACATAAAAAAAATTTAAATAATAATAATAATTGTTTTATTGTTATTTTTAAAGCACACCTAAACATACACCCAGATACAATTTAGTTTATATTAATAAAATTTAGATTATATATATAATAATAATGAAATTATTATTGAAATTATTAATTTATTTAAAAAAAATAATTATTAATTTTGATATGTATGTATAAAAAGCGGGTGTGTATGTGTGTGTGTGTGTGTGTGTGGGTGTGGGTRTCTAGATTGTGGGTTTATTGTTGTTGACACCCAACAATCTTAATTGCTACATTTACCATTTCTACAATGTGCAAATAGTCCACTTTTACTATCGCAATCCTCATCTGAGCTACATAACCGACCATGACAAACATCAATCATACAGGTGCTCATTATAACCATCCATACCATCATCAGCATCACGACAATTGTAAACATATTGTTGTTGTTTTTAACCATCATTTTTGTTTAAAGTTTTATAGTTGTACTGATGTAATGATTAGTTTAATTTAGTAGTTAATTAAAACACAAAAATAATTTTTTTTAAAAGTGATAAAATTTAAGTATTTAAAAATTATAGTTTTTTCAAATAGAAATAATAGATTATGTAATTATAATTAAGATTTAGTATATTTGTTTATTTTATTTTACTAAAATTAAAAAAAATATTAACTTATTGTTATACTAGACTTACTTATTATAGTAATATAAATTAAAATTATAAAAATTTACTTTTTTTGTAACGATGTCTTAACTGTAATTGATAAGAGACATCAATAAATAAGTATATATAATAAGAAAAAAAATTAGTTAAAAAATTTTAATTTTTTATTAATTAATTCTAAACTTTAATTTACATCAATAATGACGTTATTAAACATATGGGTTATAATATAATTTTTAATTAAAAAATAATTTTATTTAGTTAAGTAATAGTAATTGAAGTAAACTATAGTTTTTTTTATTAAAAAAATATTTTATTTTTCTCATTTGTAATTTAATATATTTGTAGAAACTAAATATGATTAATATATTTATTACATTTTTCAATTCTAAATAGTAATTAAAAATTAACAAAAAAAACAAATGAAAAATTATACTTTTTAAATAAATTTAAAATTTTTTAAAATATAATAAACAAAAATTATATAATTATACATAAATTGTTTAACTATAAATAAGATACCGATATCTCAATTACTAATACCCAATATTAGAGATGTTTATAATTCTGTAAAAATTGACATTTAGTTGACATTTGTTTGATATTTTTCAACAACAAAAAAATAATATAAAATTTTCAAATAAAATATGTAATTATTATAAACAGTCAAAAAATAAATATTAAAATATTAGTGTCAAGGTACATTATTTGACTGTAATGTATTGTAGAAGAGAGAGAGAGAGAGAGAGAGAGAGAGAGAGAGAGAGAGAGAGAGAGAGAGAGAGCGAGAGTATAGTATACTGTAGTATAGTATAGTACCTAAAAACCCAGTATCAACTATTTTGCTATAATATATCTTTTTTTTAAATATCTTGATCAAATGACCTAGATACTAAAATATTATGAATTATATAAATTAAATTAATAATTAACCAGGGAGGGGTGGGGTGGAGGTGTTAAATAAAAAGTTTAGTCCACGATTTATTTATTTTTTATTGGATTATAAATCAATTTTTAAGAATCTATTTTATAAAATTAATTTTATTAATAATTTTTTTTTGTTGATTAAATTAAATCAATTAATTAAATTATTTGTTATTTTTATCAGATTAGGTGTCCTATTGGCCGCCGGCGATGTCATCGCACAGAAATGGGTTGATAATCAAAGAGCAATAGTTGGGTGCCTTTGGACTGCTATTTGTTGTACGAATTTATTACTAATAATATATGATTTTTTTTGTGACAAATTTTTATATATATCTCATCAGAATATATATATATATAATGAGTTGAAATCAATAAATTAATTATGCGTTGACTTTAATGAGAGGTTTCTCGAAAATAGCCTTTAAAATAGAAAATTAAAAAATATATAAATCAAAAATAAAGTCAATGTCTAATAATTATATAGTATTATAGTATTTGTAAAATTTATTATTTATAATTTAATTTGTAATCTATATAAAAATTATTTTAATATTACTTAAATTATAAAATATTATATTATAATATAATATGTAATTGTGATAAAGTATTACTAATATAATAGTATATGACTTATATATATATAATAAATATGTCTTACATTATTAAATCTTTGTTAACTCTATTGTTAAATGTATTTGAGACACCATTACTACTACTATAATCATCATCTAATGATAACAAACGACTGCCACGACGTGAGAAGTATGGTTCAGATCCCATCAGTGATGATCTCCGAAGTCCCTGAACTGATGGTGTCTGTACACGAACTTTAGGTATCGATAAATATTGATTACTACTACCACCACCACTACTACTACCACCACTACTACTACCACTACTACTACCACCTGTACTACTGCTACTACTTTCCATTGAACTAATAGTTTGCAAACTACCAGTCCTTTCATCATTATTATTGGTATTCATTATAATCATATTATTATCAATAAGTTTATTATCTTTATTAATATTGAATGAATAAGACAATTGTTGTTGTGATACTTGACCAACAATATCATCAGTTCCTATGTATTGATATATACAATATATATATATATATATATATATATAATAATTTAAATAATAATAATAATATTCTTATAATAACTAAAAAAAATTTGTACCGTTTTTTGTTATACTTTGTGGTTTCAAATCGTTTATTCTAATAATTGGTTTATGAATTGGCTTCTCATTAGGTTTTAATGTAAATCTTTTTCTCATAATTTTTTCTATTAATTATTAAATAATATTAAGAATATATAAACATATTTATATAAAAAATATTATATTTAATTTTTATATATATATTATATGAAAATTTATTATATTTAATGAAATATCCAATATTAATGCCATTAAAAATTATTTATGTATATTATTTATAACATGTTTATCTGTTGAGTATACTATATATTATATATTTATAATGTATATTGTATTTATGCATTTTCATATATTTGCATAATTATCGGCTGAAATGTTTTTTATGAAATAAAAATAAAAATAAATAAAACTTTGTTTCCATAGATTTACAATTGATTTTCTTTTTACTAAAAAAAAAATTATTTTAATTATAATATTATAAAATGACTTAACACCTTAGCAACAATAATTGTAATGTCAAATAAATGTAAATATTTATAATATATTTGTAAATAAGTCTAAATGTTCACAAAATTAAAAAAATTAAAATATCTATGAAATTATTTATTTTTTGCTGATTTATTTTAAAAAACATTTTATATATGGTTTTTAAAGCGATATAAACTTTATAAACTATTTTTTTTTGTTGATTTAATTATTATTGAATTTTTTTTTTAATTATTGAACCGATAATAATGTGTTAATAAATGGCGAGTCATTCAATGCCCGTCTTTCGGCACATAATCGCTGGCAAAGTCTTTTGTGACTGTCTTTCGGCGATTTCAGGGCCGCAACGATCAGCAATTGGTTGAACACATCCCGTTGAGCATCACTACCGCCGATATCAATGATATCGTATCGTATTTTGTTGAGTTTGTCCACTGCATTGGCGTATCGTTCGTCGTTGAAGTCGATCATCGCTTCCAACAGCGGAACGGTTACTCTAACCCAATCATCGGAACTGACTGACGGATCAAACGATCGGACCAGTTGTTGGGCCGCTTTCGTATGATGCGACCCAAGACAGGCCATCATAAAGTGGGCGTCATTGAAACCGTAGATATGGTCGCTTAGGTGGGGCTCAATAATTGAGTAGACGGTATCCCAGTGCTCAGCGGTGGTAAACTGTTTGGGTTTGATTAGGTCCAGTCGATAGAGTAGTGACGCAGCGTCCACTATGTCCAACATTGCCCCGTTTTCGACGGCTCGGCGACCGATTTGACTATCGAATAGTTGGACAGCCTTTTCGTATTCGCCTTTTTCAATGTGAAACAGTGCCCAATGCCAGAAATTATGACAGGCCAAAAAGTTGCAAACCTCCCAGTCCTCGGTGGTCGAACTCATCAGTTGAATACCGTCATCGTTACGACTTTCCATAGTTAATACGTGAGATAATGCATGGGTAGCCCAGGCGTCGTTACGGTTGGCGTCGAGCGCCTGGATGTCGGGGGGGGGGATAAAGTTTTTTTTTAAAAAAGGAGTTGTTAAAACATGTTTTTTAAATAAAAACTAACCAATTTTGCTTCCCGTTCCGCTTTATCGTAAAACTGTGTTTCCTCCAAACCAAACGCATACATACCGTGAATATAGCTAAAAAAGTTTTTTTTAACTACCGTTCCATACAATTATTGATCATTTTTTTCAAATACCTTTTTAATGGCAGTGAACTTTGATCCCAAACCGGCAATACCCTAGCGATAGAATCACGGATTTGAGTACTTTTACCCAAATAGAAAAGGGCGTCGTGGCTGAACTTCAGGGCCTGTATGTCAGTGGGATAGTCGACCAAAATTTCCTCCCATATATTTGATGCTCCGTTCCAGTCGCCCGAAGCAAACCGATGGACAGCCTCGACATGTTTCAGTTCTCTGTCCTCAATTTGGTTTCTATGTTTTTCGGTCAATCGCAACAAATCATCCAACTGTGCCTTCAAATTGCTGTCCAAACGTACACTATTGGTCGTTCCGATCAATTCTAAGCCCAGACTAAAACTTCGGCCCAAAACTACAACAAAAATAAACTTTTTTTTAGCACCGGTTGTCCCATAAATTAATCCAAAAAAATAATAATAAAATTACTAAAATTAGGATCAGCCTTAACCATGTCGTCGCATGTTTTGGACAGTCCACCCAAATTTGGGTCGTCATACCATCCGATTAACTGTACATTTCATATCCACAAAAAAAATAAAATAAAAATAATTAATTTACCGGTAAATGTCTATAAATATTTATTATATTGGATGGTATTATACATACCTGAGTGACAGCGGCATCATATAGTTTGATAGCTGTATCCGAGGCACTGCTTTTGATTGACAGTCCCTGTGCTCTCCAGTCCTTCAAAAAAAAATTGAAACAAATCAAATAAAAACAAATTTTTTTTATTAGTTTAATAAATAAATAAACAATTTTGTTTTGTTTAGATTAATAAAATTGACATTCAATTTATTTAATATGATAGCTAATTTAATTGTATATAAATTGAGGAAATATTTTTTGTACGGATATATCATATACCGGTATATATATTTATATAATAATTAAATCATATTTATAATTAATTATATATATATAGACAATCATAAAAAATAGTATAGTATAAAATAATAATATTAAGTAATTAATATTAATTATCGATTAAATTAAATTATTAATACACAAAAAACTAACATCACTTGATCTCCAATTAGTTCTATACATAATATTTGCAAAATTAAAAATATAAAACAATAAATTGTATAATTAAATAATAAAATAATGTTATATATGTTTAAATATGAGACTAAATACTGTACTATTGAAAGTGTTTATATAAGTATTTAAATAATTTAAAAAACAAACAATCAATGATTTGTTTGGGAAGTTTCACATTTAAAAAAAATAAATCAAAAAAATATGATAATTATTGTGTATATACAGTAGTATTACGTGTACTGTATATATACCAGTAGTTGTCGGGTGAGTCTAATATAGAGTTACCAAATGTTTTCTAAAAATTTAAAAATAAATAAATAAATAATACATTTGTATTAAATTTAAATTAATAATAATAATAAAATACTTGTACTTGAAATATCTACTCTAGTATTAAATATCAAAATATTTTTTACTTTAATAAGTTTCAAATTTAGTAAAATTTAATGACTATTAAGAGTACAAATAATTATGACTAATATAATTTTACTACTTTTTTTTATAAAAAAATATATAAAACATTATGTATATTATAGTTTTTTTTCAAATTGATAATTTTGATTTTTTTTAAATAGTTGAATGTCTGTGTAATTCAGGGAAAGTTGGTCTCTCTTTAGACAATGCATACATGTCCAGGGAGTACCTAATTTGAAAAAAGTTATAATAATAATACATGTATTAATAAAACACATGTAAGTTAATACAGTATTAAAATTATATTTAAACATATATACACACAAATAATAAATATTATTTGCAGCTAAATATAGTATTATATAAAATTTTAATATATATATATATATATATATATATATATATATTAATTTTACACAATTGATTTTAATTTTGAAATTAACAAAAAAATTTCGATATTATATACAGTAGTTTATTTCCATTTCCAAATTTAAAAAAAATATATTTTGATAAAAATAAAACAATTATCAAAAATGTAATATTTTCTAACTTTTTTTTAAAAAAGTTAATCACTAACTCAATAGGTCTATAGTCTAGAATCTATCCAATGATAATAATAATGATTAAAAATTTTTTTGGGACACTTGTTATTGACTGTCCCCTCAAAAAAAAACTAAACAAAAACATTACCGTAAAATCTTAATTATAAGTCGATCTGGTGTATAGGTCGCAGGTCATTTATTGATAAAAATTATAATAATTTTGTTGTATAAGTCGCACCTCATGTATAAGTCGCACAACTTTTTAATAAACTGTAACTCATGTCATATGTAGTCAATTGTTTGTATGCATCAAAAGTGTATTGAATTGTAGCAATTGTTTGATATCATTAAACAAAATGGTAAGACATTCTTACACAACAGCGAAGAAGTTGGAAGTGATTGCTTTTGCGGAGACGAACGAAGACGGAAATAGAGGGGCTGAAAGACATTTCGGTATAAATGAGAAATTAGTCAGAGATTGGCGTAAAATTAAATCAATACTTAACAAAAAAAAACCGGAGAGGAAACCAGTGTTTTTGGCCCGAAATCGAGAGAGAAATTAAGACCTGGGTCTTAGACCAAAGAAAACAAGGATTTCGTGTAACATTAGTCAACATTAAGTTAAAAGCCAAAGAGATTGCTATCAATAAGTCGATTACGGGTTTCAAAGCCAGTGACTGTTGGTGTAACAGTTTTATGCGGAGAAACAAGTTATCGGTCAGAGCTGTGTCCAGTATTGGTCAGAAATTACCACAAAATTGGGAGCTAAAAATGGCTGAGTTTATGGCTTATATGAATAACAATAGAGATGGTGTTCAATACCAACACATCGGTAATATGGATGAAGTACCGGTTAGTTTCGATATTATTGGAAATTTCACAGTTGATTCAGTTGGTGCAAAAGAAGTTAAAATAAAATCTACCGTAAACGAGAAAAGTTTTTTCACGGTTGTGTTGTGTGTCACTGCTGATGGCGGAAAATGTGATCCTATGGTCATATTTAAACGTAAAACGATACCCAAAGAAGATTTTCCTAAAGGAATAATAGTGAAAGCAAACCCTAGCGGTTGGATGACTGAAGAAGTATTCATTGAGTGGTTGTCATTAGTTTGGAAACGAAGAAAAAACTCATTTTTCAATAAAAAATCGATTGTTATTTATGACTCAATGACAGCTCATATTACCGAAAAATCAAAATCGGAGGCTAATATGTTGTCGACTTTGGCGGTAATACCGAAAGGATTAACTAAAAAGTTACAGGCTTAACTATCAACCGGTCATTCAAATCAAAATTGAGAAAAGAGTGGGAGAAGTGGATGATTGAAGGCTATCATACATTCACTAAAAGTGGTTCAATGAGAAGAGCTTCTTATTGTGAGATCTGTCGTTGGATTAAGAAGAGTTGGGACGAAGTGTCTGTTGATTGTATCAAAAATGGCTTCAAAAAGGCCGGTATTTGTGATTACAATCAAGACGCTACTCATGAGGTGACAGACATCGAATCTGATGACAATACTAATGAAAGAGTTTCAAATGAATTGGATTTTTTGAATGCATTCAATACTGACTCTGATTCTGATTTTGAAGGATTTTAGTGATAAAAATTTTATTAAATAAATAGAAATTAATTTTTAATATTTTGAATTTTTTTTATATATAAGTCGCACCTCATGTATAAGTCGCAGGTCTATATTTTTAACCTAGATCACTTTTTTTGTTGTATAAGTCGCGACTAATACAATAGATTTTACGGTAATATTTTTTGTAACTAAGTTATAGATAGTTAATAATAATACCGTAGGTTATAGAAAAATAATTAAGTTTTATATAAGATATATATATTTATATATCTTATATTTATATATATTGTATATGAAGGTCACTAATATTGGTATTTGGAGGCTAACCAACAAATTGATGATAATGTCAGTGATATATGAATTGATATTAAATTTTTTTTTGTTTTTAATTTTATATTATTTGGTTTTGAAGGCAATCATCGCAAGTGTGTATGAAAAATACCAGCGAATGATAATAATTACAAAAAAAAACTTGTGATAATACTGTTTAAAAAAAATACAAATAAAATTATAACTATTATACAAAAAAAAACTTCATTTTAATCAAATATGCATTGATTGCCAATTCATTCAGTAAGTTGTGATATATGTAGTACTACTGTATAATAATGTATTAAAAAATATTATTCAGTGATTGAATTGCATTTGATTTAGCATTTGTTGTTTGCATACATATGTTATTAATACACTGTAGTATTGCATCCAATGTTTAGTGCAATTAAAGTGCAGTTCAATGTATAGAAAGAGAGAGAGAGAATAACAGTGTAATTGTTAACCAAAAAAAAAAAATTGTTGTCAAAACAAATATGATATAATAAAAAAATTATTTATTTTTTTTTAAAAAAAAATACAGTTAATTTATGTCAAACATCATATGATCGGCCAATTGATCCAATTGTTCCTCATCATCAATATCATCATCATTCATATATCAATGATATTTTACATAAACATTATACAAATCGATGGCCGATATTCACTGTTGTTTTTATGACATTAATTGCAGATATTATTGAAAGAGAGAGAAAAATTTGTGACCAATTAGTATCAACTCATAGTGACATCACTGGTGGTTGTGGTCATCATCAAAGTCTTCAGTAGTGTCATCAGTTCATCAGTGAAAACACTAATTGAAATATACATTCAATTCATATGCGCAAAGAATCTGCAAATTCTTGACTCTTTTATCTGTCTGTGTATTAACTCTTCATCTGTGTCTTCATAATCATCAGTGACATCATTACCAGAAGAGAAAGAGAGAGATATGGGTTTATTATCTTTGGGTAAACCATTGTCATGGGATGAGACCAAACAACACGCCGAACATGTCCGACAACACGGCATCAATCAGTTCATCAATTTGTTTAAGAATCTGAAAGACAGAAACGATAAGACACTGAAATGGGGCGATGAAGTAATAATAATAATAATAATCTTCTTTAACCATACCATCAATTGATCCTAACATTCATTGTTATTGTTTTGTTCATTTAGATCGAGTATATGATTGTCAAGTTTGACCACAAAAACAAAAAGGCAAGACTCAGTCTGAAGGCCAAACAGTTGTTGGATGTTATGGACAGTCGAGAACAACTGGAAGGTAGCAATCGTGCTGTTCTTTGGCGACCCGAATGGGGCGAATGGATGATTGAGGGGACACCGGGAAAGCCGTACGGCATCGACGAGTCTAACTATTCGGGCGGCGGATCGCTCGCCCATTTCAATGTAGTCGAGGCCAATATGAAGAGCCGCCGACAAGAGATCAATGCTTTGCTGGATGAAGACGAAGCACTTCTCTGTATTACTAGTTATCCGCGGTTTGTACGATAAAACAGAAAACTATTTAAGAAGAGACCGTTAAGTTTGTTATTAAATTTGATTTTTGTTTTTAAAATTTTTCATTTAGTTTAGGAACCGATGATTTTAGTCATCCGTTTACAAAACCTGATCCGAAAAACAGTGCAACAAGAAGTCAATTCTTGTCCGATGACGGTATGGATCAAGCGTTTACCATACATTTTTCAATAATTAATAATAATAATAATTGTCTTAATTAATTGTTATAGTCATCAGTAGCTATCATCCAAGGTTTAAGACAATTGCCGAAAATATTCGCGAACGTCGCGGCCGTAAAGTCATCATAAATGTACCCATTTTTAAGGACTCGAAAACAGTTGATCCGTTCAACGAAACGTTCGACGATGAAGAATCAGATTCGGCATCGAAGACCGATCATCTATACTTGGATGGCATGGGTTTCGGTATGGGCTGCGCCTGTCTTCAGGTAACATTCCAGGCGTCGAACATCAATGAGGCCCGTGTTCTCTACGACCAGTTGACACCTATGTGTCCGATTGCTATGGCCCTGAGCGCCGCCTCGCCCATACACCGGGGCTATCTGGTCGACCGCGACTGTCGATGGGGTATCATCTCGGCCTCGGTTGACGACCGAACCAAGGAAGAGCTCGGCGAAGAACCGCTGAATCACAATATGTTTCGTATAACGAAATCCCGTTACGACTCAATCGACTCGTATCTGTGCGAAGCTAACGACAAATATAACGACATTTTGCTAACCTATCAGAAGTGTTACTATCAGCAGATGATCGACGCCGGTGTCGACCCGATGCTGGCCAAGCATATCGCCCATCTGTTTATCAGAGATCCGATTGTTGTCTATAAGGAAAAGTTGGACCAAAACGATGAGATCGAGACCGACCATTTCGAGGTTAGCATTTGTTACTTCAACTATGGTAACTGTGGGTACATTAAGTTTACGGGTAATATTTACAGAACATACAGTCGACTAATTGGCAGACAATGCGATTCAAGCCACCGCCGCCCCAGTCGGGTATCGGCTGGCGGGTCGAATTTCGGCCAATGGAAATCCAGATGACCGAATTTGAAAACGCCGCTTACGTTGTGTTCATTGTTTTGTTGACCAGAGTTATACTGTCGTTCAAATTAAATCTATTGATTCCCATTTCAAAGGTAATAGTCATTCATATCAATTCGTGGTATTTAATCCCATTTGAAATATTGGAAACTAATTTCAATCAATTGATCCAATCTAATAGGTCGATGAAAATATGATCGAAGCTCAGAAACGTGATGCCGTCAAGAGATCAAAGTTTTGGTTTCGAAAAGACATTATCAGTTTGAGATCACCGCCCGAAGCGGCCAAATGTGTGGAAGCGACCGGTTGTTGTTCGGATAATTGTTGCGAAAAATCTGATTCAGAAACGACACCGTTTGATGAGTCGTGTGTACTGATGTCGATCAATGAGATTATCAATGGAAAGGGTCAACAATTTCCCGGTTTAGTACCATTACTCAAACACTACCTGAGCAGTATTGAACTGGATGTCGATACCCAGTGTACTATTCAACAGTATCTCAATTTGATTGCCAATCGAGCTTCGGGTAAACTGAAGACAACTGCTCAATGGATTCGGGATTATGTCAGTCAACATCCGGACTATAAACACGACTCTATAGTCAACGATACGATTAATTATGATCTACTGATGACATGCAATCGTATACAAAAAGGAGAGCTTAACCCTCGGGAACTGGTCGGTGATAATCCCCGAACTAAAACCAATTTATAACACATTTGTTTTTTTAATTATAAATTTTTAATTTTACATAATTATTATTAGCGAAATTAACTAATCAATTATTTTTTAAAAGAAACTAAACTATTCATTAATTAAGTTTTTATTATTATTATTAACATTGAATAGATTATTATCAAGGTGTTATATATTTATATTTATACCAATAGCATTCCAGTTACGGTAAAATTGATAATGTTATGGTTATTTGATAAATAAATTTATAAATATATATATATATATATATATATATAAAAGTTAAGTACTGTTATGTTAAGCACACAATTTGTATGGTAACTAAAAAAATTTTTGTTTGTTGAGTGCAAATTGATTTTTAATAATTACTAATTAATTTAAAAATAATAATATAAGTTATTAATCAGATTTTGTTTGTGACCAAAAAAAAGATGATTAAAGAAAAATAATTTTATATAGACTTTAAACAACAATTTGTGTTTTGTTTCTCATTATTTTATTGTAAAAAAAAATTTACAACAAATATTAATTCAATTCAATAGATTTCAAGTCATAATCAAAAGATTTTTTAATCAAAAAGACCGAAACCCATGTCGTCGTCTTCTTCCTCTTCGGACTCTTCCTTTTTCTCCTCCTTCTTGGGTGAGCCACCTTTAGCCGCGGCGGCAGCTGCCGGAGCGGCGGCCACTGCAAACTTTGACGGATCTTTCAAGTACTCTTTGGCCCGATCGGCAGCCGCAAAGTTGATATCGGTTTCCACTGCAACGGCAATCAAGTTCTTCAAACCGTTGACAATCGAATGAGGAGCCGAAGCCATTGTCGGATAGCCGATCGACAGTGAAACAGCGGCCACATTGCGTACACCGGCCAAAAACTTTGAGCGCAAATCTTCGGGTGTAATATCGAGAATAGCCGGATCGAAAACGGTACCCGAATCGTACACTTGGCGTATGATTAGACCGTAAGTAAACGGCGAGATGTTCAACATGTTCAACAGTGTAGCCTCGGAGGCGCCAACTTTCTCATCCTTTTTGATCAAATGGATTTCGTTGATGATCTCAATGGTTCCCTTCGAGATCTTAGTGGGAATCGACAGCGCCTGGAAAAAGGATGTCTTTTCGGGTCCCAAACCGGTATTCTGTGCCGGTATGAACACATCGATCGGAGCGATAGCACCGGCTCGGGCCGGAGCACTAACTTTGTTGTCGAGAATCTTATCCCTGACATCGACTAACTCCAAGTTAGTGAAGACAAAGCCAACGTTCGACTTAATGTGTGGCAACAACTTCTCGAGCGACGGATTGTTCTCCAGATGACCTCTGATGGCCTTTCGGATCATCGTATTCTTGCCCATCAATAGGACAGCGTCTTCGCGCAACGAGTGGCGGATCTGTTGCATCTGTTTGGAGCCGACATTGTCGACACCGACGATAAAACATTTCGGATACTCATCGAGAAGTTGCTAAACATATATAAAACCAAAAAAAATCATTAGTCAATAATCGGGTTAAAATTGATGGCCAGTGATGGCCAACAACCGAAACACCACTTACCGTCAACTTAAGGAAATAGTTGGCTTTCCACGTGGACTTGTCCTCCCTGACCATCTTTGGAAGTGATACAAGGATTCAGTTAGAGTTTAAGGACAAATCAAGAGTTAAAGAGGTTTTTAAAGCGTTGGGTTAACTATGAAATCAATTAAAATTAAAAATAATTAATTAATTATTTAAGTCAAGAGAGAGACAGACTTACGGCTTACTAAGCGATCCAACAGTTTGTGTGATATTATTGACGGAAAAGGATGTCTTTGAGAGACAACACAACCAAAACATGTGACCAAACAATATGTATGTGTTTTTAGTGGAGTCACACGTGACTGATGTCTGAAACACGTTGTCTATGAATAGGTTCTGACAGTCAGTCAGTTCTTCAGTGACTTATTTTTTTCTTCAGTTGATCCGTGCGATTGATTTTCGAAGAGACGACAAATGTCTGAATACTTGCTATGGTTTGCCAATCAATACAATGATTTCAGAGTTTCGGTGATTATTATTAACTTTTTTTTTGTATTTTTTTAATAAATATTTTATTTTGGTTTTTCTTCTGCAGGAGTTTGAAAGTTTGTGTTCACTTTTGGCCATCGATTTCTTGTACAGCGAACAGCCGTCCGATAAGGTCTGTGATTAGTCAATACATCCGATCAAATGATTTCTTTATTTTGTTTCTTATTATTCTTCTTCTACTACTACTTCTTCATCTTCTTTAGCCATTCATAATATTCCGAAGCAATGCCACTGATAGACAACTGAAACAATTGATGTCGCGGACAGTGTTGGCCCGCAATATCTACGAACTGTGGATCAATTCGGATCAATTGACCAAATTCTACGATGACCTACGCCAGTGTCCGCGCTGTCGATTACCGCAATATCGGAACAGTTCGTTTAGGATCTATGTGGACGCCTATAATAAAAAGTTGTCGTTAGCGGACAAAATCGAAAAGATCGAAACAATCGGATTTTTACCATTTGAAGGACCGATTGATTTGCGGACACCCGATCATAGTTTTCATCTGTTTGAATACTATGGCAGCGATTCAAATATAATACCTGAGGAACCAATTCAGATCTTATTCGGTAGACATCTATACAAAAGTAATCGAAAAGTTTGCGCAAAATTGTCGCTAAAAACGAGAAAATTTATCGCCAATACATCAATGGAACCGCTATTAGGTTTATTGATGACAAACATTGCTAGAATTACTGCCAATGATTTAGTACTGGATCCGTTTGTTGGATCCGGTAGTCTATTAGTTGCCGCAGCTTATTGTGGTGCCTATGTTTTTGGTACTGATATTGATTATAAACTAATCCATGGACTGACCAAACCGTCCAGAGCTGGCGTCAAACAGAGAGACGAAGACGAAAGTATTTTAGCTAATCTAAAGCAATACGGATTACAAGACAAGTATATCGATGTTGTGGCCGCCGACGCGTCGCTACCGATTTGGCGAAAAGAAAAACGTTTATCCATTGACGCCATCATTACTGATCCGCCGTACGGTAAACGTGAATCTCGGGAACGTATTGGCACCGAAAAACAGTATAAAATACCGGATGAACTGATCGATGGCCACATTCCAGCAAAAGTTGAATACAATTTGTGTGATATTTTCAGTGATTTACTCAGTTTTAGTGCTTTTCATTTGAAAATCGGCGGACGACTAGTATTTTGGGTGCCATTAGACAAACAAAATAATAAAACCAATTTCGATATTACCACCGATTGTCATCCATGTCTTAAAGTGATATCAATTAGTGAACAACAATTATCGACATATATGTCAAGGATTTTAATATGTGTCGAAAAGTTCAGAGAAGAAGAACTAGAAGAATACAGTGAAGTAATAGTAGTTAATAATAGAGAAGATGTTCATTAAAAATACCAAAATATAGATATAAATTGTATATAAATTAAAAAAACAAAACAAATATATTAATTATCATTCAATTAATTAATATCTTAAGTGCTATTTGAGGTGATCTGCAAATTGGCTAACATTCCTTCCATAGCGACAATTCGGTTTTCATCGTCGGACGAGTTGTCTTTATAGAGTCTACTGATCTGATTGGATGCCCAACTGGCTATACGTAAGTTTTCACGTTTTTTCTGCGAAGTAGTTTTCGGCAATGAGGCCACACTGTTGGCCGCCAACAGTAGCCCATAGAGTGCACGCAAATTGTTTGGATTCAATCGCAACGCCTGCGAGAAGTAGGTTCGCGACAGTTCCAGACTTTCGGTAGTATTGATAGTGTACTGAATGGCTGCATATCGTTCGTGGTATAGATGATTGTGTGGATTGGCTAAAATCAATTCCTCCACACAATAGGCGGCTTTGTTGTACTCTTGTTCTTCGACATACAGATCTGATAATTGAAGCCAAGCTTCGGTATCGTTCATAAACTTCTTGAGATAATCGCATAGCTCTTTGATGGCTTCGCCGATACGCCTTTCGGCCAACAGTATAGCTATTTGGCGTTTGTATAGCAATGAATTGGATTCGTCTTTTTCGATCATCTGTTCGTAGGCTTGAAAGGCGTCTTCAAATCGTTCTCTTAGTTCATACTTTGCCATTATCTTCAGTCGTCTGACACGTGAACTATTGGCAAACTTGGTGTCCAACTGTTGCAGACAGTCTTTGATTAGTTCGTTGTCGTGCAGATCGATGGCAGCGATGCAGACCTGTTCCAGAACTTGCCATTCTGTTGATATGATAAGTAAGTGGATGACAATCACCAATCAATTAATTGATTTGAAGGACATTATMGCAGATCAATCAATCTTATAATTATTGTTAACTTACTTTCATCGCCAAGAGTTGATCCAAAATCCATGTTTAGCCAAATATCTCGTACAGTCTCCGAGTTTCTAACATTATCTTCTCTCCACTTTTGTAGCAATTGCTTGGCCTCTGGAAGTGATGATATCAATGAAGAAGAAGAAGAAAAAGTTACCATTAATTAGGTCTACAATTATGATGCCATCAATGGTATCAAAAACATTGTCTATATTTGTATATACAAACCAATTTTGGTCATTTTGGACACATTTTGGGCAGACATCGGATCCGCAGACATATTATATATATGTTTAAAATTAATTATTATTTTTTGATTAAAAAATAAAAAAAACAATTTATAAAATCAATTGAAAATTAAATTAATTTAATTCAATTCAACCAAAAAAAACTAATCAAACAATTTGTTGAATCACTTGTTGTTGTTATATATAACTGCAGTAAATGATTGACATATAAAACACATTACAATACAGACTATAGTATACTATAAAACACTTGATTTTATTTTATTTTTTAAGTCTATTTTATTATTAAATAAAATATTATTTAATATTATTATTATTATTACAGTAAAAGTCACTCACAAATCAATATAACGTTAAATACTTGTATTTATTTTCCTTTAATAAAAACCTAAACAAATAGGTTCACAACTAACGTATAGTTAGTAAAACAAAAAATGGGGGGTTTATTACAGGGGGGTAAATACAGACTAAAAATATATTAATAATTATAAATATGGGTTAAAAGGGGTACAAGTTTTCTATGTTTTAAGTGTGTATTATGTTATGTATGTATGAGTTAATACAAACACTGCTGTTTGCTGTTTAAAGTTGTCGAGTTGTCGTCAAAGTTATTCATATATAACGTTAATACTTATGTTGTTGTGGTTTTTAGTACCCCTTTCAACAACAAAACAAACAAATAATTATTTTTTCTTTAAATATATATATATATAAATAAAATAAATTTAATGTCTATTTAGATACATAAAAATTATTTGACAAATAAATATAATATATATATAATTTTAATTAAACAATAAAATAATTTAAACACATTTTTTTGATAATTAATTATTTTTTAATATCAATAGATATTATTATTATTACAATTCAATAATATATTCAATAAATTTAATACTGTATTGAATGACATCATAACCGGCGTCTCATTCACAACAAGTGTTACGTTTGTGTCCAATAAACTGAATGTTTGTTTGATTGACTGATTTGTTGTGTTGTTTTGGATCCAAAAAAAACCGATAATTTTTTAGACCAATTGGTTGGACAACACTATCGGGTATTTAATTGATTAATAACTTTGGTTGTCAATCAACCGTACGGACCAATTGATGGACACAACAATACATATTGATTTGAATTGTCTGCTGTTGTGATTGCAATCTTGTGTTTGAAACGACTGAAGAGAACTTAACGATTGAAGAGTGGATTGTTTTGTCGATTTAGAAGAAGAAGAATAATAATAATAATAATTATATCAAGAAATGGAAGCGATTAGCGAATCGTCGGATCAATTGGTCAAAAGTGTCGACTGCTATACAAGTCGTCCGTTAATACTTCACGGCTATATCGGACCGTTTGTCTCAATTTATGTCATATTGATCTACAATTGGCTCAGCTATTACTCGCAACAGGACTCGTCCCAAGAGATCTGGTTCATAGCCGTCGCACTGGTAGTTGTCGTCCAGATATTAGCCTATCTGTTCAGCCATTGGTCTGTTCATTGCAAAAGTTTCTTTGCGTTCACCAAAGTATGTATTCATATTTGATCCAATCGTATCCAACGACTTTGACTAACAACATATGTTTCAAATTTATATTGCTTTAGACATCTGGTCCCGGGTCGGCCACATTTGTCAAAGTGGTTCCCACACCGAACAATGGGTCGCCAGAGATGGTACGTTTGCATCACACAGCCATCACTGACACCGGTGGTGACAATAAGGATGGCGGCGAAGAGATATGGTTTACATTTCAAAAAACAAAATATGTTTACGATTTTGAATCGAAACGATTTCATGTCCTATCGTTTCCGATAAATTTGGAGATCACAGCCTACCAGAACTGGAAGGGCTATCAGGACGACCAGGAGTTGGCCGGAATTGAGCGGCGATTTGGTCGAAACAATCTGGATATGGAAGTACCCGAGTTTATCGAACTGTTCCGCGAAAGGGCTACCGCACCGTTCTTTGTGTTTCAGCTGTTCTGTGTTGGCTTATGGTGTTTGGACGAGTTCTGGTACTACAGTGTCTTTACTTTGGTAATGTTGGTGGCATTTGAGTGTGTCTTAGTTCAACAACAGTTGAGAAATTTATCGGAAATCAGAAAAATGGGAACCAAACCGTATTCGATACAAGTCTACCGAAACAGGAAATGGAGAGCCATTCAGACTAATGAATTAGTTGCCGGCGATATTGTCTCAATTGTTCGATCGCAGGACGAAAATCTGGTTCCCTGTGATTTGCTTCTCATACGCGGCTCCTGTATTGTTGACGAGTCGATGCTGACGGGCGAATCGGTACCCCAGATGAAAGAACCAATCGAATCGATTACCGAAAACAGAAATTTCGATATCGATAGTGACGGCCGATTGCATATGCTCTACGGCGGAACCAAAGTTCTACAGCACACGGCACCGGTAAAGTTGGCCACTGGACTGAGAGGTTTGTTAACCATTGATGTTAAAATTGTTATCCAAATTTTTTTAATGGTTATCTCTTTCTATGATATGTACGACAATAGCTGGTGATAATGGATGTGTTGGCTATGTTTTGCGTACCGGTTTCAACACATCGCAGGGCAAACTGTTGCGGACAATACTCTACGGCGTCAAGAGAGTGACTGCAAATAATTTGGAAACATTTGCGTTCATATTGTTTCTGTTGATCTTCGCGATCGCTGCCGCCACTTATGTCTGGATTAAAGGAACCGAAGATCCCAAACGCAACCGATATAAGTTGTTCCTCGAGTGTACACTCATATTGACATCAGTGGTACCGCCAGAGCTGCCAATTGAGCTCTCATTAGCTGTCAATACATCACTGCTGTCGCTCTCAAAATTATGTTTGTTTTTAAGTCAATTATATTATATTATCACATGTTTTAAGATATTTATATTTCTTTTAATTAGTTATCTATTGTACGGAACCCTTTCGCATACCATTCGGTGGCAAAGTCGATGTCTGTTGTTTTGACAAAACTGGAACACTAACCAGCAATGATTTGGTTGTCGAAGGTGTGGCCGGTATTAAAGACAAAGAAAAAGTTTGTCCACTCAGCGATGTACCCCTGGATACGATTCAGATATTGGCGACCTGTCACGCATTGGTTCAACTAGAAGATGGCTTAGTTGGCGATCCGCTCGAAAAGTCTACACTGAATGCTATCGAATGGATGCTAACGAAAGCCGATGCAGTGATACCAAAGAAAGGCAAATCACCGGGTCTTAAGATATTTCATAGATTTCACTTTTCAAGTGCTCTCAAGAGAATGTCGGTTATTGCCAGCTATTCGGCGCCAAATTCTTCGGATATCATCTATTTTTCGGCAGTAAAAGGAGCGCCAGAGATATTAAAACCAATGGTTTGTTTGGTTTTTTAAAAAAAAAAGTTATTTCATATTATTATAATTTTTATTACTAACTTACCGGTAGTTTTCAAAAGTTCCCGATAATTACGATGACGTCTACATTGAAATGTCTCGAAGAGGTACCAGAGTTCTGGCGTTGGGCCGGAAAACACTGGGAATGCTATCCCATCAACAAGTGATTAGATTATTATTATTATTACATTAATACTGATAATGTGTGTTATTATAATGTTTTTTTAAATTATCATTATTTTTAAGGTCAGAGATATGAACCGAAATGATATCGAAAAGAACTTAGAATTTGGCGGCTTTTTGGTAATTTCGTGTCCACTCAAACCCGACTCGAAATCTGTTATGAAAGAGATAATTAGTTCACAACATCACGTATGTTTGATTTGATATGTTTTGAGTGGTTTTTAAAAAAATTAATTTATCTGTAATTAATTATTTTAATAGACTGTTATGATTACCGGCGACGCACCGCTTACCGCCTGTCATGTGGCCAAAGAGTTACACTTTGTGTCGAAAAAGAAGGAGACATTGATTTTGACCCCTATTGACAATCAAAGTAAACAATCGTTTATAATATTAATTATTTTTAAAAAATTTAGATTTAAATTACCGATAAAATTTCAATTCAATTCACTACAGATGACTATCAATGGATATCGATTAACGAAAAGACAAAACTCGATTGCATTCCCAAAGATTTGAAACAATTTTTCAATTCCTACGAACTCTGTATTACCGGCGATGCACTTAACTATTTGATTGGCAAAGATCTGAAATTTTTTAAGAAACTATTACCACATATCAGAGTTTTTGCCAGAGTTGCGCCCAAACAAAAGGTATTTAATTGCCGTTACATCAAAAGTTATAAATAAAATATATATATATTTTTTATTAAATTAAGGAAATCATTATAACTTCATTGAGAAGTTTAGGATTTAACACATTAATGACAGGTAATAATAATAATAATAATAATAATTTAATATATTTAAGTGACATTCGGTAATATACTAATTGATTGATTACGGTAATAGGTGACGGAACCAATGATGTCGGAGCTCTAAAGCACGCACACGTAGGAGTGGCACTGTTAGCCAATGCACCGCTACAGGCATCCGATATACCAAAGCCGAAAAAGGCGACGTCGTCGTCGACGACCAACGACTCGAGTGAAATGAGCAATAATATACCGCGCAATCGGATGAGAGGTCGACCGCACTCGGAACGTAACTCGGGAACTGGATCGAGCACACGGCCACAGAATCGGGCAGCCGATACCCAACAGCAATTGCAGCGAATGATACAGGAAATGGAGGAACAGGACAAAGCAACAGTTGTCAAACTGGGCGACGCTAGTATTGCCGCACCGTTTACATCAAAATTGTCGTCAATTCAATGCGGTTTGTAGTTTAGTTTATTAAAAAAAGATGATTTTTTTAGTGTGCAATTTTGTTTTGATAATTATTTATTTATTTTGTTTGTTGGKCCCCCCCCCCCCCCCTATTAGTTTGTCATATCATCAAACAAGGTAGATGTACACTGGTTACGACACTACAAATGTTCAAAATACTGGCCCTCAACGCACTAATACTTGCCTACAGTCAGTCCGTACTATACTTGGATGGCATCAAGTTTAGCGATGGACAGGCCACTCTACAGGGTTTACTACTGGCCGGTTGTTTCCTATTTATATCGAGATCACGGGTTTGTTTGTCTGATTGATTACACCTAAAGTTTTATAATATAAATTGAGATTAAATTTATATATATATAATATATTTGTTGTTTTGTTTAAAATACATATAGCCATTAACCACACTATCCTCTCGGCGACCATTGCCCAACATATTCAACATTTATACGATTCTTACAGTTTTATTACAATTTGCGGTCCATTTTTGTACACTAATCTATTTGGTTAACGAAGCAAAAGTTCGGTCTCCGAAAGCGGACGAAAAGTTTGCTGATTTAGACGCCGAGTTCAAAGCATCTATCATTAACTCAACTGTTTATATCATATCTATATCACTGCAAGTGTCGACATTTGCTGTTAACTATAAGGTTTGTCGATAACACACAAAAAATATATGTTTAAAAAAAGTTAATCTAATTTATTAATATAAATGTTTTTTTGACCACACATTTGTTTCCATTAGGGCCATCCGTTTATGGAAAGTTTGACTGAAAATAAGCCCTTACTCTATAGTATTATCGGCTCATTTGTGGCAGTTATCTGTTTGGTAACCGGTTTATTACCCGATCTGTCCAATCAGTTCGGTATTGTTGAGTTCTCATTAGATGTAAGTGTTTTTTTACTTCAAATTAATAAAATAAAAACCCGTAAATAAAAAAAAAGTAATACTATATTTTAACCACAAAACAAAAAAATTATCTAATAGTTTCAAAAAGTGCTACTATCGGTGCTGGCCATGGATCTGATCTGTGCATTAGCCGTGGACAGGATTCTCGAGTTTCTCTTTGGTAGAGCAAAGTTAAAAAGTCTTTAATAATAATGTATTGTTTTTTAAAATTTTTAATTAAATTATAGTTTAGTTTTTTTTAATTGATAATTTAAGTTTATTTTCTAAATGATTCCTCGTCTTTAATTTATATAAAAAACATTTTTTTAGTTGTAATTTATTATTATTATTATTATATTAATTTAATTGATATTTTTTTTAATTCAAATATTTATATAATACATCTAAAGATTTGTATTGTATGTATATATTCTGTTATATAGAATATATATCTATATATATTTATTAGTGAAATAAATAATAATAATTTAAAATAAAATAAATATTAATAGTTATTTTGTTAATTATTTTTTTAAAAATTTAAAAAATATTTATAATTTATTGCCTGATTATTTTTGCTTAAAAAATAAACTTAAATATAAATTTGTATTAATAAAATTGTCAATTTAATTAAACAAATGTGTAATTTTTATGTTGACAAACAAACAAAAAAAATGCTTGAGGGGGCACCCGGGTTTGAACCGGGGACCTCTCGATCTGCAGTCGAATGCTCTACCACTGAGCTATACCCCCATATGATGAGTACTATAGGCATATCATAGGCTAAACATCACTAATAAAGTCCTTGAAAATTATTTCAATAATAATAATATTAATATACAAAACTTGTATTGTATTGACTTTTTTTGTTGAGTAGTATTAATATAGTGAAAGTTATGTAGTTTTTAATATCAGATATTTAATAGCATATAATAATAATGTATTACTAGATGTATTACAATCAATGTTTTATATACAGTGTATATACCTGTACAGTAAAAATACATTTTACACTCAAATGGTTATAATTATTGATATTATTGTAAACTTTACTAAAATTTTCAATATTTGTGATAAAATTTTCAATATAAAAGTTAGGATAAGTTTTGAAATATAAAAAAAATATTTAAGAGTTATTAATCAAAAAATAAATAATAGTCTACTATTTATAGTAAACCATAATTATATTATATAACTACAGTAGTATTTGAAAACATAAATATTTATTTTTTAAAAATTTTATTAAATTTTAGTTTAGTATAACTAACACTATGTTTTCATAAATAATAATTATTTTTATTTATTTAAATTTATTAAATTTATGGATTTATGAATATTTAGATAATATATATGTATGTAAACAACAATTGTCGCCACAAATAATATAAATCTTGTTAAATATTTTCAATAGTATTAGTATTAGTAGTCATCACTTATGATGAGAGGAGCTGAGCATCACTTAAGGCGTGTGTAATAATAATAATAATAAATAGCGTTTAGAGTATGGAGTTTAGGTATTATAACAATAATACAAAAACATAAACACAAATAATAGAAATATATTTCACAATTTTCATGTAATATCATATATATATATATATTTGTGATCATAAATTGTTCAAATGGATAATTTTTGAATTATTTTTATTGATAACAATAATTATATTATGAAATGCATTATGTATTAATACAGTTATGAAAATAGTAATTTTGATTTTGATTATCAATATCTATGTACATGTATCCGACTTATATACAGGTAAAACACATTTTATTATATATATATATATATATATATATTATAATTACTAATTATAACTAATATATAACTAATAAAATAATTATTACTAATTATAAATATATATAAATTTATATATATCTAAATTCATAGATATCTAAATAAATAATTTGTTATTTTTTAATTGATAATTAATTAATTTGTTAATTTTTTCAGCTGAGGGAGTGCCCCATCAGTACGACCTGACAGTAATTAGTACATCCAATCTGTCGTGTTATACCTGTTCAACAATTGACGACATCGGCTGCAAAGTTATCAACGAAAGCTATTATTACTACAATAACAAATACAGTACCTATAATACCCGTTACTATGGATCAAAGTGTGGATCAGATCAACCCTATTGTCAGGTCCAGCGTTTGGACGCTAAGATTAACCTAACACATCACGACTACAAATTCTGGGCCATTCAACGCAAGTGTGCCAAAGAGTGTAGTGATGGATGTTTTGTTTTAGGTATGAGCCCAACAACAACAACAAAATAGCATACTATACCACTACCTAGACATCCCCCCCCCCCCCCCCCGGTGTTAAGCCAATTAATAGGTTTACCCTTTAGATCCATAGATTCATATAATAATTGTTGGAATAGTTTATCCATTTTTTTATTATATTTTTTACAACAAATTTAATAGTGAATACAGAATATCAAAAAAAAAATAATTACAATATTTTTACTTATCATTAGTATTATTAATTGAATTTTTTGTAATTAGTAGTTAATTAAATAGTAGGATAACTAATCCAGTATATTATTATTATTAATTTATTTTTATGATTAAGATGTTTGTTTGTTTTTTTTGTATTTAATAAGTCATTTTTATTTATTATTTTTTTTGTTGATAAATTTAACCAAAATATAATTGTTTAATAATTTTTTATTTATTACAATTTAATTATTAATCAATTAATTTTATTTTTTGTTTTTTCATTAAAAAAAATAGGAGAACGACATAAACTGAGTTTATGTACCACTTGTTGTAAATCCAATTATTGTAATATTGGTAATACTGGCGATACAATTGCTTATTTAAATATCTTTCTTATGGCTATTCTTTTAATTTTATCAATTTATTTGTAAATTAATTTTAATAAATCATTGTGTGTTTTTTAAATAAATAAATAAAATATGCAATAAAATTAATTATTATTTATTTTATTTATAAGTACAAACTGTGTTAATTTGTTGAAACAAATTAATAATTTTTCCCAGATTGAAATTTATCATTTTTATATGCATTATTATTATTTATATATTGATAATTAAAAAATTATAATTATCAATAATTAACTATAATTATTATTATTAATTTTATCAAATTTATAATGACCCAGAGCACATTTCTATAGGTATACTTGACGTCAATTAAAAAAACAATAGCACTAAAAATTAATATGTAAAGTGTTAACAGTTAATTTACATTATTACTTAAATTATAAAAAAAACAAATTAATTATAAATATTTTTCTAAAAAATATTATTATTTATTATGCATATTTAATTAAAATGTCAATATAATTTGTTTCAACAATAACAACAACAAAATTATCAAGGCTATAAATCTAAATTTTTATGAATTTTTTTATAATTATAATAATTTCTATTTTTTAAAAATAAGTATATTAATAATAAATATCTACAATATATAATTTTTAGATACATAATTTAAATACAAATTCATACCATAAGTTATATATTATCGACTACTAACTTATTGTAGTTATTAAAAAAAGCTAACTGTGCTTGAGTTAAAATACAGTATGCCATGCACCCACCTAACTAATAATTACAATCAAATATTTATAATTGATTACAAATATTCATTTTTTAAAATACATACCTAAATCACACACATTTTAAAAAATAAAATTATTATTATTATTATAATAAATTAAATTTTTGATAAATCATCAAAAAAATAATATTATTAATTTTAAAATTAATTATATATTAAACAGAAAATAAAGAGAAAAAAATTAAAAATAAATATATAAACAAACAAAAATTAATAAATAAATTTCACACAATTTTATAAATAGTTTGCTAAAAGCATAGTTATTATTATTATTATTGAATTATGTTGATTACATTTAATTGCTTACAAAAAAATTGTTATATATTTTGTTTTATATATATATATATATAAAGTGTTGTTAGGTGTGGTTTTTATACCAAAAAAATAAAAAATAAAATAAATTATTATAAAGTTATGTGAAGTCGCGCTATAATAATAATAATAAATACTAAAACAAATATTATTAATGAGTTATATATATAATTAAAAAATCAATTCACGTTATTGACCTATTAATCTAATAGCTGTTTGGGCTTAAAATTTTAAAAAAATTATTTATAATAATCTATTGCTATTGAATATCAAATCAATTTTATTTTAGTTTTTAAATAGTTGTATAATATTTATAATCACAAGGCATTAATTAATTTCATTGATAATATATAATAAAAATTTTTTAAAAAATTAAAATGATGTATAAATAGTTGATAACTTTATATTATTGCAATTATTATTATTATTATTATTATTATTATTATAAAATTGTATTAATTATTAAATACAATACAATACATTATACAATATTATTATATGCAAAATATTATTACTATTATTAACATAAAATGTACATGTACTTTTTTAAAAAAAATATCATATTTAATATAAATATTTATGTTAATATATATAGTATTATTTTCTATTTAAAAATTAAGCTAGCTAAAAATTTGTATACAAAATATAACTAGCTAAACTGTTGATAATAAAATCAAAATTAGCATGCTAAATAATTCATGTTACTTATCAAAAGATTTAGTTAATTAATTCAATTAAAAACTGTATTCAATTAAAATACAATAATTGAAGTGTATATTAGTTGTGAACAGTTAAGTGAAACATTAGGTGATCCGACACTCATGAGTAACAGTTATGACGACAAAAGTCTAACCTTAAAAATAAAAATTAAAAAAAAACAACTAAAACCTATCCTAACGTCACGACTGTCGTCAATACTGTATTCAAAAATCTAATGGTAAGTACTATCTATGTATGTGTTTGTATTGTATTGTATAGCTAAATGGTATGTCTATTGGATGTCATGATGGGATGGTTATATAGGATAGTATGGACGTTGACGATGATGATGATGATTGTGTGCTATACTACGGGCCACAAGATTTGTAAAATGAAAAATAAGGGGTGAAAAAGCCCCACCAATAACATAAGTAACCACATGAGTGGCATTAATGATCATCACTTTTTTGTTGGTTAATAACTATTCAATTGGATAAACTATATAAATGTAATAAATGTTAATTAAGTTATAGTTATTTATAACTTTAATAACATATTCATAAATGTACATATGTTTAGAATATTTAATAAACATTTATGTTATATTGTGCTATTAGTATATATTAACAAAATTAAGCTAGCTAAAAAATTTGTATACATAATATAATCGGCTAAACTGTTGTTAATAAAATTTAAATTAGCATGCTAACTAATTATTACAATTAAAACAAAGTTATTGTTAATTAATTAAATTAGAAACTGTTTTCAATAAAAATACCAATAATTGAAGGGTTTATTAGTCGAACAGTTTTATTCAATTATTAGGTGATCCGACACTCATGAGTAACAGTTATGATGACCAGACAAACAACCCAACTGTTCACAAGTCTAACCAAACAACGATACGTCCCGACGTATACTATATATATATATATATCAAAATCTAATGGGTAAGTACTGTGTGTGTGTTTTGTGTGTATTGTATAGATGAGCTAATTGGGCACCAAATGGCACTAACCTAACCATTCATATTGGTTTAGTGATGCGATGAACAATTGTATGGGCCTTTAAACAGGCCACAAGAAATGCAATTGAAAAAATTAGGGGTGTAAAAGCCCCGCAATAATACAATTAACTACATGAGTGACCCATTAAAATGATCACCACTTTTTTTTGGGGGGTGGGAGGAGGGCATCACTACTACTATAAACTATTTAGCTATTTGGGTATATTCCTAACCTTACAGTTCAATAGTCCAGTAACTGGACTCCAGTCTCTCTCTCCTCCACTCTATAACTATGAGTGACTTAATATTCATCACTTTTTTCCGACTTTTTTACATTTATTATATATTATATAACATATTTATATTATACTATTGACTGATTGATTGTATGGTTAAATAAATACTTTTTACAGCAAACTATTATATGAATTATTATAATTGTCAACAAATTTGTTATTTAAAAAAAAACTTTAAAATAATTTAATTGTATAATTTTTGAAATAAAATAAAACAATTAATAACTTTATTAAACACTGATATTTTTGTACCTATATATTATATAAAGTATAATCCCGTACTTTACTTATGATAATAATTTTAAAAATAGTAAATTTAATATTATTTACTAAGATTACTAATAAATAAATATAAATAAATATTAAATTAAAATAGTATATTTTATTTATTTATTTTTTAGTAACAAGTCTACACCTAGATTATTTATATGTATGTGTTTAAAAAAAAATTTAAATAATCTAGAATCTAGATTAAATTTTTTATATAGAAAAAATATGATTAACTAAAACGTATAGTATAAAAATTTTAATTTAATAATAATATACATATCCTAAATGATCCTGGGGCAAATTAATAGGAGGTTATTGTAAATTAAATTAATTAAACTATTATCAATGAAAAATCTAAATAATTGTTTGGTATATTGATATGTTAAATAGAGGGTGGGCTAGGCATCTCTAGACCCCCCCCCTAAATATAACTCATAGTTAGTGACTTTCAGATGATTATAAGATTTTTATGTGTGTCTATAACTTAGTAATATATTACTAATAATTTAACTTGATGAATAAATTTTAATAATAATAATAATAAACTTTAGTTAGTGTTTTAGTATAGTTTTGAATAATTTATTAATATAAAATTTTAGTTTAACAAAAAAATAGTTGAAAATAAAAATTTATTATTATGCATGATATTACACAAAAAAAACATAAAATTTAATGAAAATTTATAACAACAAAAATTAATCTAAAGATTAATATGAAATTTATGATAAAAATTGGATTATAATTATATAAATACTGTGTGTACTGTATATGATATAATAAACTTGTTATATAATAATTTTGAACATAAAAACACTAATAATAATGAAAAAATTCAATGACCAACATTAATATCAAACAAGTCGGCGGTAGTATAGTTATTGAGGAACTGGTGGCTACAACGCTATCCGGGGTTATCATTGGGATAGTAGTCGGAGGAGGAGGAGGAGTGGTGGTCGTCGTCGGTATAACCCTGTCCTTACAGCCCAGTAGTCTATTCCATGGCTTCCATTCAGAGCACTGGGAAAATAATAATAATAATTTTTGAATTGACCAAAATTAACAAACAAACAAAACTAAAATTAATATATAATTATTAATTAATCTAAAACTAACAGATTTGCCATTAATTAGTTCACAATAAGTGTCATCACTTTTGATGATATAGACAGCCATTTGGTTGTCGCCGCTCAGTGGCCACGAAAAGGCGTCGACAACATCAATGGGAAAGTATTTTTCGTTATAATAGTTGCCGGCCTTTCGTACAAATGTGTCGTTTTTGGTGCTAAAGTAGTGGATCTAATAATACCATCAAAAGCATAGTTACAAAAAATAAAACAAATTATGACAATTGGTTGGACGGATCAGTTAGTATGTGATAATACTATATCACTTACTTTCATGTGTTCGGTACTATAATTACGATCAGCTTCGAGACCGACAAGTATCGGGTCATTGGTGTCGCCGTTATGAAAGACGGCGGCAAAGCCGTGCTCTTTGGGCAGTTCGTCCCAATAGAAGCCGACTTCGGTGGCCGCATACATCATCTGCGACTTGTTGACCGGATTTTCATACCACGACCACCAAAACATACCGCCAAACTTGTAGATTCTGTTTACTACTTTCGTATGACCGGCCAATACGGTCACCAGTCGTTGATTTTCGCGTACCGGATGCAAGAACTCGTAGTCAGTCATCCGACCGCTGGGACTGACCTGAATCTTATCGGGAAAACCAGTCAAATCCCAGTAGTCTGACTCGCGAAACAATCGTACCGTCCGATTGGGAAACCGATCGATTGAATATATGGGCAAACTTTGACATAACTTTTGTTTTAAAATATTTATTGCATACCAAACAAATAGACAAATCAATCAATCAATTAAATTGTTTTTTTATCGTGAAATTAATTATATATATGATATATATATATTGGTTACCGAGCTCTGGCTATTTGGTTGACAATTGATAACATTAGATGTGATAATAATAATAAATACCAATGAAATTATAGTCAAACAGTTACTACTACTACTAATTTTAATTGATGTCAACAACAGGTAAGTCATAATTTCTTATTTACAATAAATTTATCAAATTATGGTTAATATTTATAAAAAAAACAGTAGACAACCAAAATCCTACTGAATTATGAAATTTGATTTAAAAATTTAATTATTTAAACTTTTAGTGTATTTAATCCTAATAACTTTAAGACATTTGTTTTGTTTGTTTGTTTGTTTGTTTGTTTGTTTGTTTGTTTGTTTGTATGTGTGCACACTTCCTCAACAACCATTTTTTAATTCAAAGCTAAAAATATATTGTTATATTTTCAATTTTAATTTAAAGCAATATTATTTCTATGGGAAATTTTAAATGATTATTGAGCTCAGGTAGGTTTTAGGGACAGGTAGGCTGGTGTCGTGTAATTACACTTTGCTATATTATATGAGTTACAGGGCACCGGGAGGTAAGCTACCTGTGCTAAATTTTTGCAAAATTTTCTCAAATGCAAAAATTTTCAATTTGTGTTAAAATTTTCAATTTTAATTTAAAGCAATGTTATTTCTATGGGAAATTTTAAATGATTATTGAGCTCAGGTAGGTTTTAGGGACAGGTAGGCTGGTGTCGTCTAATTACACTTTGCTATATTATATGAGTTACAGGGCACCGGGAGGTAAGCTACCTGTGCTAAATTTTTGCAAAATTTTCTCAAATGCAAAAATTTTCAATTTGTGTTAAAATTTTCAATTTTAATTTAAAGCAATGTTATTTCTATGGGAAATTTTAAATTTTTGTTGAGCTCAGGTAGGTTTTAGGGACAGGTAGGCTGGTGTGTCGTGTAATTACACTTTGCTATATTGTGTGAGTTTATGGCACATGTTAGCTACATGTGTTAAATTTCAGTAAATTTTTTTCAAATGCAAATTTTTTTTCGCAAAAATTAAATTTTCAATTTTTATTAAAATTATTTAAATATATATAAAAACTAAAATTTCTCAAAAGTTTAGTCGAATTAATGTGTATTGGTTCAGTAGTTTTGTTACATTAGGTTATGTAGTAGTTGTATAAACAAATTAAGTCTCATTCAAATTACTTATAGTAAATATTTTTAAATTAGTAAAAGAATTGCACGGCTATACATGTTGCTCGGGACAAACTAGTAATAATTATAATAATAGCGCGTGAATTGTAATTAAAACTATACTAATAATAATAATAAATTTTAATTAATTGCGCGCTCCTCTAAAAATAAAAATCTAATAATAAAAAATTTAGTATTCATTATAATAAATACATTTTATTTTGTTAATTAAAATTTTATTGTAAATTTCAATACAGTATTAATTTTTAAAATAATTGCAATTTTTATTCATTTATAACTTATTTAAAAATTAACATACATTTCAATATTATACTACAAATAAATTAGATATGCTTTTGATATATTTAAAAGTTATTAAAATTGAAAAAATAAATCCACTTTAGTTAGTTAGTAAAGAGAGAGAGAGAGAGAGAGATCAAACTTATTTAGGTTAGCAGTCAATCAATAATTGTTACAATAATATCATTAAAATCTTAGACAATTAATATTAAATTTATTTAAAAATTTAATTATGTAAATAAAACAAAACAAAAAAATCTAGATATAATATTTATCCGATGGGCAATTTTGTTTTATTTTTGTGTCAATAAATTGAAATAAATACAAATAATAGACAATTTGTAAAAATTAATTTTTCCAATTTATTTTTATCAATACTATGCAAACTATACATACATATACTGTTAATATTGAAAATATAATTTGTCACTAGGTTAGTTTTTTTTATATAAAACAATTAAAAAAATTAGTTTAATGATGATAATGATTAGATAATACAGTAAATGATATCAAAAATGATAATACAGTATTACAATAAAAAAAACTAATTGAAATATATTTTCAAAAAAAAATATATATTTAAGTTACAAAAAAAATTTTGTTGAATATAAATTAAGAACATTTTTTTATTTAAAAAAATCTATATATATTTATTTTCTATAAATATAATGATTTAATTTCTAATTAAACAAAACAGAAAATATTTTTAATTTTATCCAAAAAAAACTAATAATAAAACAAAATATTTAAATTACAAACAAAACACAGACAAAACTATTACAGTATTTATGTCACACATAAAAAACTAACAAAAAAACTAAAAATTAATTGTAATCTTCTTTTAAGTTGATTTATAGAGAAGTATTGTTAGATCTTTGTATAGCATTCTTACATAAGACGCCTAAAGTTGACGGAAAAAAATATCAAAAAATTAAATTAAATTAATTTATACATAAAAAACACACACAAATAACTATATGAATAAATTATATATAAATAATTTTTATAGTCAACAACAACAACAACACAACTATCCTCACATCCCATTCCACCCTTGATATCCCCATCCCTCTGCCTTACCTTTGAATGTGTGACACATGAGCCCCAATTGCGACCAACTATACAATGCCAGGTCGGTTGGTATAACTGATCAAAGTCTTGTTTAATACTTTCTGCGATGTGCTTCTCCGTTGTATGAACTTTGATGGCATGACTGGTACTCTGGATGGCCGCCCTTTGCATCTGCTGAGGCATATCTGCCGCCTGTATCTTCAACTCTGGCCATTGTTGTTGTTGTTGTTGCTGTTCCTCTTCGTCTTCTTCGATGATTTCGCCGTCGACAACACCACCACCACTGACACCGACACCATTAGCAATACCTCCGACACCATTGCTAATGGAGAAGCGTTTCTCTCTTTCTTTATGTGCATTTAATGCACGAATTTTCGGACTATTATTATTATGTTATGAATGTGTGTTAATAAAAACATTAGAAATATATTTTTTATGAATTAAATCAATTATCTTATGCTTTTCAATAATAAATGTATGCTATTATTTAAAAAATGAAAGTTTAAAAAAATCAATTGTCTACAAAAAACTGATGATTTGTTGTTGTTGGTATAAACAGGATATGTGGGGAACGGGTTAGTCATAAAGTGTTTCAACACTTTATTCAGGTATGAAATTGATTATTAAAAAAAAAATTTTAATAAAAATAAGACATCAATGAATCAAATAGTTTACACATTTGTAAAAATCGATAACAAAAAAAAATTTATACTCTACTAAAACTTCATGAAAATATTTTAATATATTTTTAGATTTTTTATGAAAATTCTCTATAATAATAATGTTTAAAATGATTTTGTTTAACGATATTGAATATCAATTAAATTGATTAAAAAAACAAGATTAAAGCATTGCATATATTAAAATTATATTATCACACATAATTGTATAGTATTATCATTATTATTAGTTTTTATTATTTATGTAGAAATAAAAACATTATTATAATAATATTAATATTAATATTAATATTATTGAACATTTTTTTATAAGTCACGTAAAATGTTTTTCTAAATGTAAAAATTGAACGTAGATTTTAATTAATATATAATTTTTATTTATACAGAATATATACGTTTGAATATATTGATAATTACCGCATAAATTACTATTAAAGTTATGTTACAATAAAATTCAGTATTTATTAAATTATTGCATAACTGGCTTAAAAAAACAAAAAACAAATAAACGTGAAATTTTTTTCCGATAAAAATCTGATTGCAAACGAAACTATTAAATTGATTTAATAGGCAAACATGTTATACATATAAAAAACAAAACAAAAAATAATAATATCATTTTGTTGATGATAAGTATCAAATTAAATGTTAATTTTTTGTTTTTTTTTTTAATGATATAATAGTCTATAATAGTTTAAACTTATTTATTTTAGCGACTATATATATATATATATATGACTATTCAGATTAAATCAAATCAAATAAAAAGATTATTATATTTAATTTTTATTAGTCGATAAGCAACAAGTTTTTTTGATAAATTAATTTTTTTTTGATAAAACTAATAAATAATTTTTTTTAATTGGATTTAAATTCAAAAAATACTTACGTATAAGTAGGCGATTGTTTAAAAAAGTCATCGATATCTTTGACTTGTGTTTTATCACTTGAATAATCACTGCTTCCGATTGAATCTATCAATCGATAAATAAAATCAAAAAATAATTGTAATAATAATAATACCAAAAATAAATAACATATTTATATAAAACTACTATTAAATACCTCTTCGGACTCGTCTATAGTAAGAAACGGCACAAATCACTGAATAGACTCTTAAAGCGGTGAGAAAACCGACAATTACTGAGACAAAGACATCGGTAGCTCCAGAGCTGGACTGATATTATATTTTGATAATTAATTTAATTTTTCAAAAAATATATAAATGATTTGCAATTATAATTGATAAACAACAACAAAAAAAAACTTGTTTTATTAATCATAATTTATTTTCTCTTATGAATAAATAAATACCTTAAGTGTAGCTAATCTTAGGGCTGCAAAGCCGACCATTTGATCGCTTTCGGTAATCGAGTCGGGAATTCGCATATCTTTGGGAAAATAATGATCTCTCAAAGCATACTATAATTTTCAATTTGTTTGATATATATAAAAAAATAAGTGGGAAAATAACAACAACAAAAATTTCAATTATTAAACCAATGTTTTTATGTAATTATTTGTTGTGTTGTATACCATAATCACCCGAACCATCACAAAGCCAGCACTGGCCGCAATATCTACGGCGGCAAATACGGCCAATAATAATACCGATTTGAGCGATACATCTCTCTAATAATAATAATTATTATTATAAATATATATTTAATCAAATTATAATTTTGTTTTACTAATTTAAATGATTGGCTGTTATTATGCTAATTTTTAAATTTATTTTTAGTAAATAACATTGAAAAATAATGCTATAATAAAATTTTAATAGTGTATACTTAATAAAAAAATTATACAATTAAAATAATACTTAAAAATAAAACTATTTATAATATATATATAATTTTTGTGACATTCCCAGATGTCAATTGATAGTATAATTATTTATTATATTTTTTCGAGGGTTGAAATTATTTATTTGCTTAATAATAAATAGATAAATAGATAAATTGCTAATAATTTTATGCATTTATTAAAATTTATTTTTATAAAAAATAATTAATCAGATAATTTAGCTTTTAGTAAAAAAAAATGATTTGATTACAAATAAATTTGGAATTTTTTTAAAATAAAAAAAATCTGTTAATTATAGGACACATTTTTCCCAAACTTAATAAATAAATTAAAAATAATTCAAAATTGTACACCTGTTTGCATTAGTAGTAAACCATTGATTGGATAATTTAATGGATTGATATATATTAATATAAATTGATATTATATACAATATATTATATGAAATTGATAGTATAATTGTTTATTTAATTTATATACTGTATAGATATAACAACTACTGTAATAATTATATACCGGTATATATATAATCCACAGTAGGCACTAAACATGTAATTTATTTTTTTAATAAGATTTAATGCAATGGATTTTAATTAAATTCACATTCAGTTAGAAAAATTTTATAATTTATTAATTAATTATAATTTATAAAATGTGTGTATGTTTTGCAATCGGCATATGATTTTTCAACTATCAAATAAATAGCTTATCATTGAATATTTATGACAGAAAAATAAAACATTAAGAGAGAGATTATCATTAAAGTTTTTTTTCCTGCTTTTTTGATATTATTTTTATTTATTTTTTTTAATACTGACATTAATACTACATTTGTTTGAAAATTGTTTTATTTTTGTTGTTTATTTATTTTCATAATAATAATAATTGACTTGTATTTTTCATAACAATATACATTATATTAAAAATAATAATAGACAACAAAAAAAATAAAAAAAATATTTATTATGCATGCATTTTGTTGTTGTTGTTATTGTAAATATAAGTGTCATAATTAATAACTATAATAAAATATGATAATACTGTAATAATAATAATGTTTTAAGATATCACTTACACTAGTATGAGTTTCATTGACAGCATATGCCATCCAGGTCCAACTATAACACACATTAATTAAAAATATGTACATACATTATTAATAATTATATATATACAGTATCATATATTAATTATTCAAATTGCATCAAACAATTTTAATTATCATTTTTTTTGTTATTGTGTTGCTAACTATCTATCTTATTATTTAAATAGTACACACACACACACACATATATATATATATATATATATTATATAAATATATATAGACTTACATACACACCATTAAATAATTAAGCAAACAAAAAAATGTTAATCAATCATCAAAATTTACAATAATTATTAATATATGATACCTTCAAATAATAAATACATACATACCTTATAATATAGACTAATACAAAAATAAGGCTAAGTATGAGTGTAGTCCGCGCCGACATCAACTCAACTGTGGTTTTTCAGATAAATATATTTATATTTAGAAAAAAATAAAATAAAACAATAACTTATTAATTGTCACAAATGATTAATTAAAAACAAAAATTTGGGTCGAATTTGGGGTTTTTATTATTCATTTTCTTTATTCATATAATAATTTTTGTTTTATATATATTGTATTTTTTTATTATTATTATTTATTTATTTATATATTTATTTCTATTTTTGGGTTACAATCATCATCTCTCTAATAGTTTGCCGAAATAAATCTATAGTTAAACATAATAATACATTTTCTAATAAAAATAACAATATTATTGTTATTATTATTACATTATTATCCATAATATTAGTGTCTTTCTCTCTCTCTCTCTCTCTCTCTCTCTCTCTTTCTGTATAATAGTTTATCTAAATTTAAAATACTTAATAATACTTAATAAGTTTTAGTATCTCCTAAACAAATGTTATTTTACTGTATTAACAAACAAAACATTGAGACTACAAAAAAAAGTTTTTATTTTATTAAAAAAAACTTTTTATGTATTAAATAAATTATTTGTTTAAAAATGTATTTTTATAATCTAAAAGACAAACCGATTAGCGTTTCGATGTCTTGTTTGAAGTTTTCAAGATTTATGATAACATTTTGCTGTTGTATTGTTGTTATCGCTGCTGTTATACTTGTCTTTGGATTATTAATATTATTGTTATTATTATTATTATCACTACTATTGAGCCCTTTTAGTATGTTTTTGTTGATCCAATCATTTGAAACAAATTTTAAATAACCGACTTCTCTATCGACTTCATATAATTTTCCAGTCAATAGTATTAATGCTAGAAATGATAATCCCTTTTTGAAAAAAAAAAAAATGCAAACATTATATAAATAATAATTTTTTAAATTTTGTAAAAACTAAATAAACATTTAAGTATTATAATCAGAGTTAGCAGACAACATGTCTCTATATACTAAAAAGATTATAATACATTAAAATAAAAGATTACACACAAAAAATTTAATACCTAAACATACAGTTTATTTAAATATGCATCACATCATGTAGAAAAAATGGCGCCAAAGTAAAAAAATTAGGTAAAAATTTTAACCTTTACAATTGCATAGAGCATCAAAAATAAAATTTAATAAATCATTAGTTTGATCTGAATCACTTGATACCCCACATGATTATAGTTGACTTTATTTTTTGTACTAAATCATTTTATACGACACACGATTATAGTTGAATGTCACGTGATTTTCTATAGCCACACATTACATGTGAATCACTATAGTCGTGTGTCGTATAAAATGATTTAGTATAAAAAATAAAGTCAACTATAATCATGTGGGGTATCAAGTGATTCAGATCAAACTATTGATTTATTAAATTTTATTTTTGATGCTCTATGCAATTGTAAAGGTTAAAATTTTTACCTAATTTTTTTTACTTTGGCGCCATTTTTTCTGTTCCTGAAGAGATATCAAAATTTAAATAGTGATTTCTTATACCTGTTTTGGATGCTTTATTCAAATCTATACTCAAAAATTTTTACCTAAAAATTTTTTACCTTGGCCGCCATTTTCTATATCTTATGCTATGCTCTGACAAAATATCAAAATTTCAATACTGATCCCCATGTCTCATTTTTGATGCTTTATTTCTGAAAATATTTTTTGTGTGTAGTTTATAATATGCAACGTACTTTATCCCTCTACTCCGCAACCCAACGAACACCGATTATAATTTATATTTATATATTGTATATTAATATTAAATCTATTTTTTTAATGACAATGTACTGTATATTTAATGTTTTTTTAAGTAATAATGTACTAAAAATAATACACACAGCAAATGATTGTTTGCATCATTAAACTAAAAAATTTATAAATTATACTAAATTACAATATTTTGGCAATAATAGTAATTTTCAATGATTTTTTCAAAAAAAAATTTTACAGCAAAAATTATTTTATTATTAATTTATTTTTATCAAACAAATTAATAAATTAAATATATGTTTTTAATCAAATCTAATTAAATCTCTCTGAATATTTGATTTATAATTTAGGATAAAATTTTATTTTATAAATTAATAAATACTTTTACAGAGTTTTATCCTTTAGAATTCAAATAAATAAATTAATGTAGAATTAAATAGTAATATAAATTTTTTTTTAAAAAATTAAAAACTATTAGAAGAAAAAATAATTTTAAAATTTTAATAAAATAACATATTTAGCAAAGAAAAACTTTTTGTTGTTGAATACAATTCACATAAAAACATTTTTGATTAACTTTTAAGTTAAAATATTTAACAATATATACAACAAATATTGCTATTAAATAATATTTTTTAGTATTATTATTATTATTAATATTAGCACATCAGTTATGTTAGTTTATTTACAGTATATTATATAATATAACTTATTATTTATTAGCTAATATATCAATATTTGAAAAACCATAACACAATTATCTATAGAAGAAAAAATTTATTTAAATAAAATAAAAAGTTTAACAAATAATTATATTTATTTTGAAATTAATGAATGATAGAAATCCATTGGCCTTTACAATACATTACAAGTGTTTTTTTTATAAACAAAATATAATATAAAATACAGTAAAATAAGTTATTATAGTATTATTTATGCCCTAAAAAACATACTTTCAATTTTTTATTATCGCTTAAAATGTCAAAATCGTAATTTTTAATGCTTTTCACACAATTATAAAAATCTATGTTAAATATAAAATTAATAGATATATATACAGTAAAAAAGTATATATGATTTAATTTAAATTGTTTTTTAACTGACGACAACAAGTTATCAATTATTTGTATCAATCAGTTTAATACACAACAAAAATAAATAATAAGATTATTTAATTTAATTGATTATAAAAAATATTGTTTGAGTAGTTTTTTATGATATATATATATAATTAAAGTTATTTTCATGTCAAGTATACTTAAGTTTTATGATTTTATATTTTTTTTTGGAGCTAAAAGCTCTCAATAAATAAATAAATAAAGTTATCAACAACAATAACAAAAATTATTTAAATAAATATAATAAAAATATATATAATAAAAGTTAATTTTCAATTAATTAAAATAATAATAATCTTAATTATATAATTAATTAATATATAATTTTAATTTTTTACATATAATAGACATATAGTATATCTATAGACTTACAATAGATAATGTTCTCCACGATTGTAACCGATTTCTAACTAAATGTATTTTATTTAATCCATCCAAAACTGATGGATAACTGGTAATCATATTTATCCAACAAAAAAAAATTTTTTGGGATGTATTTTACACACACACACACACACACAATAAATATCACACACTTAAGTATAACAAAACAGTAGCAATAATTTAAAATTAGTCATTGACTAAAAAAAATAAATAAATATTGTTTGTCTATCATTCAAACAAAAATTTTTGTTTTGTGTCCACACAAATCATATATCAATACATTGCTATATTAATAGCATAGTTAGTAGTTAGTTATAAGTCACTTATCATTTTTTATTTGCCAAACAAATCACTAGTTTGAGTGATAAAATACAAATTGCAAAAATTTATTTGAGAAAAACATTATAATATTAATATGTATTTCAATTACATCACACATCTCATTCATTTATACAGTACATCGAGAGACACCAAAACCTTGAGTTTTTATTCAATAATAAATAAAACAAATTTGAGTCAAATATTAATATATTATAAGTAACTATTTATTCAATTATTCAGTCAGTCAGTCAAATATAACTAAAATAATTTTGTTGAATAAAATTATAAAAATTCTTAGAGAGCAATCATATCATTAAAAATAATTATTAATATTTATTGAAAATAACAAAATATTTATAATATATTAAAAAATTATATTAAATATTAAAAATATTTTAATTTTATTAAAAGAGAGAGTATTTATTATTTTTTGTTACTTTTAACAAAATTAAAACAAAATATACACATAAAAAAACACTTTTCACTTTTAGCACTGGAAAGTTGTCATCATTTTTTGAGCAAAAAAACTATTTGGTATTTGAAAAAAAACTATATAACAAAACTTTTTTTCAAATAAAAAATTTTTCTGGCGATAAAAAACTTTTGCCGCTTATGTAGGACATTACGCTCCGGGCGTTTATCAGTATATATATATACAGTATATTTTTAAAAGGTGTTATTACAGGTATATATATATAAAGTTTTGCTTTTAACATATAAGTACTTAACGTTTTTTTATAATAATAATAATTTCAGATAATATTTTCATATGATATTTGTCGCGTATCAATGTTTTTTTATTAGTTTTTTTTGTTAATATTATAATTATCAATAACAGCAACAACAACAACAACAACATCAAAAAAACTATTTAAAAATAGATTATCATATATAAAATAATTATGTGGTTAAAACCAAACAAAACAACAATGTTTTTATTTGTATGCATAATATTTTTATATTAATATTAGCGAAAGTTTAGTGTCAGTATCTCTAGTATGTAGTGATAAAATGAAACTAAAATATTGTTATTATTTTTTATATATGATATATACAAATAAAAAAATACAACAAGACTTGATTTACAACTATTATATTATATATGATATTATTATGTCGTAAATACTCAACAGTTTTGCTTCAAACTATATAATATACTAATAATGAGAATATACTGTACTCTTCATTATATTACATAAAATGTTTTTTTTTGTTGATTATTATACTAAACATTTTGTATGTTATTATTATCATTATTTATAATTTCCATTATTATTTAGTTATGTTGTATAGATTGTACAATAAAAATATTATTTTATTGTTGTTTTATTAATCTCTACAGGAATTAAATATATAAATTGAAATAAATATAATAAAGAAAATATAGTAATAATAATAATAATAATAATAAAAAAGAGATTTAAAATCAATTTTGTAGAAAAATATTTTTCTCTCTCTCTCTCTTATAAAAAGTAATTGAAGGCTTTTGCCAAACCAACAAACAGTTAGTTTTCTTTTATTAGTTAACTATTATAAAGTATTTTTTTAGTATTATTATTATTATTATTTTACTATAATATAATATCAGAGATTTTTAATTCCTAAAAACTAAATGCAAAATAAATAAAAATTTTATTTAAATAATAATAATAATCAGATTCCAATGAAATCGATCAATTACTATTTAGTTTTTTTATTATTTGAAAAAATATTTATTTTTTTTAATTAATATCGCATAAGTGTTATCGCTATATAATTTAAATTGTAATATAACTTAAAAAATTGTATAATGAAAATAATTATAAGATTGATATTTTAAATAAATTTTGTATTATTGTATCTAATATACATATATTTGAATAAATAAATTCATAATTGAATGAATAAACAACAACAAAAAAGGCTATAAAATTCTCAATGTTTTTAAATATTATTAAATAAATAATTAATACAAATAATGTAATAAATAATTTAATTTAAAGCAATGTTATCTACTGTATTAACAAAATTTATAATTCAATTTAATTCAGATTACATACACTATTAAAACTATGTTATTAAATAATAACATGTTTTTAATTTTATATTTGTTAATTATTTAAATTTATTAATAATATTAAATTGAATTAATATTTTTATATTTTATTTACTCGTTTTTATGGACACACACACACATTCACTATTCAATAGTTATCCAAAAAATATTACTAGTTATGTATAAAAAAATTATTTTTAATTATCAATTACTGATTTAGTCTATCGATAATTTATTAGCTATTAATTATTAATGGTATGCTTGCATTTATAACATATATTTAAATAGAAAATTATCACATATTTTCATATTTTTATATTTTATATAACATTGCAAATGTGTACACACAAAATAAATTGAACATTAATTTTTATTACTTTGCAAATAATTAATTTTTTACTATTTAAAAAAAAGAAGTATATTTAGGTTATATCTATATAGTAGTAGTTCATACAAATGACTAAATAGTTATTGAAAAATATATATAATATTTATGAAATAATTTTTATAAAAAATAAGTAAATTAATTAAATTTTTATAAAAGTCATACAATTTCCAATATTCTGCACTCAGTTATCCTAATAGTTGTGTAAACGTTGATTGCCGTCGATTTGTCAAATATTTTATCCCATAAATTGAATGTAGATTTTTTCTTAGGTTTATTATTAGTGTTATTTAAATTATTTCTATTAATAATACTATTTCGGTGACACTTATTGTTGGCAATGGCCTCACAATTGGGAACACTGCCGATACCGAAGCGCCGGTAGCTATAGATATTGCTCATACGGCTACCATTCCTCAGCAGATTCATCTGAGCCGAGTGCTCGTAAAATATATTGCCGTCGCTTATCATAATTATAATAATACAAAATATATATTATATATATTTATATATATATTTAGAAATACATTTTAAATAAAAAAATTTATTAGTTAATTTTTTACAAACAAAATATTTTTAAAAAATAACAATTGATTTTATTTATTATTTAAAGTCAGACATAAATAATACAAACAATTTTCACAATAAAACATTATTACTGAGACTAATACATAAATATTTCAAAAATCTTTTTAAACTAATAAATAGTTTTTTTTCACAATATTTCGCATATATTATTATTATTATTATTTGCAACAAAGTTTAATAGATATATTTAGAGATAGAGAGAGACTAAACACTAACTACAGTAAAACTGACTAAAAAATAAGTTACTTAAAGCTTAACTTAAAAAACTATTATATAATTATTAGGTTTAGTAAAAAATCAGTTGATATTATTAGTCGAAAAAAGGTTTGCATTGATCTTAATACTAATAATAATTGAAAACTAAATAATAACAACAAAAATTTAAAACAAAATCATCTTTTATTTAAATTGTTTAACTATGCTTAACAAAAATATTAGACACACACACACACACACACACACACACACACACACACACACACACACATACATACATACATACATACATACATACATACATATACACACACAATATGAAGTCATGCGACAATTTTTTAAAATTTTGTTTATTGTCATTAATTATTTGTTTTTCACTGTACATATGCCAACAATTTAATTGTCTTTATTATTTATTTATTTGAAGATCATTTAATAAATTAAATGAAGCTTTTAATATAATTATTTAATTTTTTAATAGTTATTTTTTTGAATAGTTATATACTGTATATGCATTGTATATGACAATGAAAAAATAAACAACAAATTTTGTTATGGTTAATTTAATTTATTAGATATTGCACACAATTATCCTATGTGTGTGTGTGTGTGTGTGTGTGTGTGTGTGTGTGTGTATGTGTGTGTATGTGTGTGTGTGTGTGTGTGTGTGTGTGTGTGTGTGTGTATGTGTGTGTGTGTGTGTGTGTGTGTGTGTGTGTGTGTGTGTGTGTGTGTGTGTGTGTGTGTGTGTGTGTGTGTGTGTGTGTGTGTGTGTGTGTGTGTGTGTGTGTGTGTGTGTGTGTGTGTGTGTGTGTGTGTGTGTGTGTGTGTGTGTGTGTGTGTGTGTGTGTGTGTGTGTGTGTGTGTGTGTGTGTGTGTGTGTGTGTGTGTGTGTGTGTGTGTGTGTGTGTGTGTGTGTGTGTGTGTGTGTGTGTGTGTGTGTGTGTGTGTGTGTGTGTGTGTGTGTGTGTGTGTGTGTGTGTGTGTGTGTGTGTGTGTGTGAGTGTGATTCATAGTAAAAATAAATATATTAAATTATTTATTATTTTAAATGTCTATAATTATGCAAAATTATCTAATTTTGCATACATTTTGTTTGGCAATTTATTTTTTTAATACTATATATTTATGAATATATTTATTTACAATCAATAATATATTGTATAGTATGGTAATTAACTTTTTGTTTATAAAGAGTTAAATCATGTTTATATAGTATTTTAATAATAATTTGGTTTGATTTATTGTTTTTATATCTAATTTAAATTATAGTACAAATACAGTTTAATCAATATTTAGGGTTTAATTAGTTGTTTTATAATTATAGTCTACGATAAAACCCATTTTTAGCCACTTTTATGGTATTAAAATCCAAATTTGAATTATTAAGGTTTTAGTTTAGGACAAAATTGCTTTAATAATTAATTTCTAATATATTATTAAAATTAGATTAATTTGTTTTTATTTTTTAATATTTCAATCTAATTTTTCTACATATTCATATAGTGTGCAATAATTTTATTTATTTTTACTATTATAATTTTTTTTATTCATAATTACAAAATAATTTTATAATATTATTTTGTGTGTCTAATAGTTTGATATTTTAATTTGGTATTTATTAATAGTCAACAACAAAAAAAAATAAAATAAAGTCAAAACTATTGAATAAACTTGAAAACTAACCAATGTAAAAATATATAAACTAGCACAAATTTTAATAATTAGTTACTGTATGAGTTTATTAGGAATCATTGTTTGATATATCATATAAATAAATATTATAAAGTTATTATTATAGAATATTTAGTTAAATTTGTTACATTATATAAGTTAACATAAAGTTATTAAAGATATTGAATAACTGGTAGTATTAATCGCTTACAATATTAATTGGATACTATTTTTTTAAACACGTGTTAAATCATGCACACGTGCATTGTTTGAAACATTTATTTTTTAAAAATCAATCAATTTTATTTTTTGAATCCAAAATTATTAGCAATTAGTTAAATGTTTTACAAAAAAAAATGTTAAATAATAACTAAAAATATCAAATGAAAAAATAAACAGAAATCAAATAAATATAATATTATTATTTTTTATTTAATAGTTTTGATATTTATTTAAACAAACAACAAAATTATTATTTTTTAAAAACTATAAACAACAACAAAAATCAAATAAATTAGTTTTCAATGCAATAATTTATTTATAATATTTAGTTATTAGTTTTTAGATATTATTGTCGCGCGACATAACCTAACATAAAACTTAAAGTAAAAATATATTTAGAAATAAGTTATATTCTATAGAATAGACACAAAAAATATATCTGAAATATTATAAATCAAAATAGCAAATATGACAAAAGTCATGGACAGTAGTATTAGTAGTGACTTAATGTGTTGCATATGTATGGATGATGACGACCAGCCAAACAATTTGATGACCGGCCAGTGCTTGTGTCGGGGCAGTCAACAGTACGTACACTTTGACTGTTTGAAACAATGGATCGAAGTCTCGGGACGGCTATCGTGTACTGTATGCGGATCGGCCTATCGTAACCTAGTGGTCACCCGACGGGCCAAATCGTTTCTATCGTTTTTAAAGCACCAGTGGCAAATTGCACTGTTACTAATATTAAGTGGACTGGCAGTTTGCTTATGGAGCTTCAATTTGTTTGGGATCGTATGGAAAGCCAACAAACTTGGACTAGAATTCTATACAATTGTTATCATTTGTTTATTATTAATCGTATGCATTGTTTTTGGTGTTTGGTTAGCCGTAAGTGATTATAGTAATTGGAAATTAACTAATCAGACAATACAAGTGATACAACAGAAACAACAATTAATATAATGTGACAACAAATCAATTATAATAATAATAATTATTATTTTTGAAAAATCAAATCAACTCTATAAGCATTTAGTATGGTTTCTATTAATAATATAATATACTGTAATATAATATCTATAATTTTTATAAAATATATTTAATATTTTTTGTGATATGTAAATATAATTTATTTTGAATCCAAAATTATTTTAATTATAGTTAAAATGTTTTGCAAAATTAAATAATAACTAAAAATTTAATATTATTTTTTCTGTAATAGTTTTATATCCTATTTTGGTATTTATTTAAACAAACATAAATTAAACCAACATTTTTTCTGCACGTTTATTGTTTGTACTTTACTGTTTAAACTTACATTACATTTAACAATACCCGTATTAAAAAACACGTATAAAATCATTCACACATGCATTGTTTCAAACATTAATTTCAAAAAAATCAAATCATTGATAAATGTTATAAAATTAATTTATTGCCAAAAATCAATTGCGATCTAATAAATACAATATCACTATAGATTATAAGTAATATAAGTACAACTAAAACGAAAAGTTATGAAAACAAACAGTGACCTAATGTGTTGCATATGTATGGATGACGACCAGCCAAACAATCTGATGACCGGCCAGTGCTTGTGTCGGGGCAGTCAACAGTACGTACACAATGGATCAAAGTCTCCGGTCGACTATCGTGTACTGTATGCGGAACATCCTATCGTAACCTAGTGGTCACCCGACGGGCCAAAGCGTTTCTATGGTTTTTCATAGACCACTATCTATTTTTACTGTCATGTCTAGTAATATGTCTAGTATTTGGATACTGGAACTACCTGTTCTCTTTGGCTCTAATCAAAATCAATGATATTGATAAACTTTTGAAAATTATTATACTGTTTATACTTGATTTAGTATTAGTTGTTATATTTGTTTTAAGTATTTCGATAGCCATTTGTAAATATAGGTATTGGCGACTAAATAATCAGATAATACAAGTGGTACAACAGTTAAACAACAATTTCAATAATAGGACAACAAATCAATTATAATTATTTATTTATTTTTTAAAAAAATCAAAATCTACTGTATAAGCATTTAGTATATGGTATCAAATATCTATATATTAGTTTATATGTAAATAATATATGTATAAATTAATTATATATAATTTTATGAATCCAAAATTAATGCAATTAGTTAAAAAAAATTTTAGATAAAAAAATATGTTGAATAATAATTAAAAATTTGAATACAGAATTCAAATAAATTTAATTTAATATTAATATTAAATTTTGTTGTTGTAATTGTTTGATATCTTAATTTAGTATTTATTAATAGTCAACAACAAAATAAAATCAACAATTTTTGTCATTGCTTAAACTATTGTATAAACTTGAGTCTCACTAAAAACTAACCTTTATTATAAAATCAATTACATATATACTGTATATATATTAATATATATAAACTAGGAGAAATTAAATTATTAGTTAAAACTAATCACTCTTTAATTACACTCGTTGTTTGATATATGAGTTTAAAAGTTATTATTTTTTTAAAATATTTATATCTTTAGTTAAATTTGTTACGTTAGATAAGTTAACATAAAGTTATCATAATATACAGAATAACAATAGTTTTCAATAATCACTAGTTATAAACCTTACAATAATAATTGAATACTATTTTTTTAAACACGTGTAAAAGCATACATAATGTACTCACACATGCATTGTTTGAAATATTAATTTTAAAAAAAAATCAATCAATCAAATAGCAAATATTGTACAAATAAATCAAAAGTCATGGACAGTAGTATTAGTAGTGACCTAATGTGTTGCATATGTATGGATGACGACCAGCCAAACAATTTGATGACCGGCCAGTGCTTGTGTCGGGGCAGTCAACAGTACGTACACTTTGACTGTTTGAAACAATGGATCAAAGTCTCGGGTCGACTATCGTGTACTGTATGCGGAACGGCCTATCATAACCTAGTGGTCACCCGACGGGCCAAATCGTTTCTATCGTTTTTAAAGCACCAGTGGATAATTGTCATGTCATGTCTGCTAATAGGACTGGTATTTTGCTTATGGAACTATCAGTTATCATTGGCTGTCATAAAAATGTTGAAAACTAACAAATTTGGATTATTTCATGTGATTGCAATGATTTTCATTAATTTAGTAGTAATCATATCATTTAGTTTTATTATTTGGTTAGTCATTGATAAATATATGTATTGGCGACTAAATAATATGATACTACGAGTACAACAGTTAAACAACAATTTCAATAATGGGACTACAAATCAATTATAATTATTTTTATAAAATCAAATCTACAGTATATGGTGTCAAATACGATATATTAAATTAGTTTCTAATACAATATAATATATCTATAAATTATATATCAGTTTTTTTTTATTGAATCCTAAAATTATTTCATTTACAGTTTAAATGTTTACAAAAAAAATGTTAACTAATAGTTATTAATTTTTTATTGAATAATAAAAAAAATGAAATTTAAATGATATTTCTTAATAATAATAATAATAATAAATTTCTTAAACTTAATTAAAGTTAATTTTACTCTCAATAAAATCAATAAAATAAGATTAATATGTATTTTAATTTATTGTTTTTTATCAGTCAATACGATAGTTGTTAGACATAATTTACTAGATCATAAAATTATCATGTTAATTTTAATATATATATAATCTAAATTAGATTAAAAAATTTATATAAATTTATATTTTATTACATAGTAGTAGTAATTTTATTATATTTAAAGGATAACTTTTTTATGTTAAAAGTGTATATTTACTACAATATAATTAGCATTTAAACAAAAAAAATAATCAATTGCAAAATCATGAGCATTATTACAAAATACTTAATTATATATAATTTTTTAATAAATATTTAAAAAGAAATATATTTTTTATAGTTTTCATGTAATTTACAAATTTATTATATATGATATATAACTGTATAAAAAACATAGACATAGACAGACAGTGAGAGAGAGAGAGAGAGAGAGAGAGAGAGAGAGAGAGAGAGAGAGAGAGAGAGAGACGGTAGGTTTGTTGACCATCAGTAATAAAATGTAATCATTTATTATTTAATAGTCGACTCCAATGGACACGTATGTGAACGTGCAATGAAAATGTGACTCTAATATTGATATAATAGGGAAACCAACAAAAAATATTTTAATATTATTACTAACTTTTTTTTTATTATTATTATATACAAAATATTATAATTAGTTATTACATTAATGCTGATTATTAGCACACAATCATACATATAAACCACAAAATTTTTATTTTTTTGGATACCTTGGAAACCATGGTTATTATAACTGTGTGTTTTGCAACTTGAAAAATATTGTACAAAAAAAATTAAATACTAAAAAGCTTTTTTTGACTAAACAAAAATATTTTTGTATTATTATTATTATAAATTTAGTTAAGTTTATTAAAAATGTAAAAAATTTTTGTTTATATTAATACAGTATTAATATGAAATAATTTAATGGTTGATATGTTGCTATTAGCATTTGTTGGACATAAATATTTTGTTAAAATAATTATAATATAAATATTAGTAATATAAATGGGGAGTCGTTTAATAGTGTTATCTAAAGAAAAATTAGATTTTTTTTGTGTGGATATAATTAACTGACTGACAAACAAACAAACCAATTGATAGTAAACAATGGTTAGGATTACAATACAAAAATTTTGTTCGTGTCTTGAATTATGGAAGGGTTGTGTATTGGCCGGAATATTCTCAATGGTAAGCAATCACTAATTTACTAATTTATTTTCAAACAAACAAACAAAACAAATAAACAATAATAACCCTAATATTCTATACTGACTTTTCATATATATACTCTATATATTAAAAAAAACATTTATTATTATTAATATAATTAATAATATTTATTATTATCAATATAATTAATATTTATTATTATTATTGTTAATATAATTAACATTTATTATTATTATTACATTTTTTAAAGGCAACAAGCATATTTGACTTATTATGGAGTATCGCTCATATGTTGGAGGAAAATAATATTTTAGTATTTTATCTATGTAAGTTTATTATTAATTTTATTTATTGAGATCTATAGTATTATATAAATACTATGTGGAAAAAATATCTGATAATATTTATTAATTGTATTATCAATATATATTTATGTCATAATTTTTTTCAAGTGTTTACTTTGGGTATTCAAAGTGTGCTATTCATTATCGCTTCCGGGCTTTTATTTGTAGGACTTGTCAAAGTATATTATTATTATTATTTTATTTTGATAATAATATTATTATATAAATTAAATGATATTATTATTATTATCTTAAGTACTAATTTTATTTTTAAAAAATAATAATAAAAACAAATCATTAACTAGAAAGCCAAATGGTTATTACTTCCGTGGATTGTTTTAGCCATTATTGATATACTCATCAATTTTCTCATATCATTTATGGAGCTAACTATAACTGTAAGCAAACAAAACAAAATAATAAAATATTTATATATTTATTTTTTAATTAATTAATATTTATTTTATAAATCAATCCCATAATAATAATAAGAGTCGGACATATGGTTCGCCGTGTATTATACCGGTTGCCGGACTGGCCGTAACCATAATGGTTTGCGCCGTTTTGGTCAGTCATATATATTTTATCATATTTTAACCCTCTTTCCTATATATATATTTTAATAAAATAAAATTTTATATTTATTTGTCTTATAGTTATATTGCTTATTATGTGTTTTCGCACAATTTTTAATATACAATGGAAAGAATATTGGTAAGTATTGTTAATAATAAATTTATATATTATTTTCTAATATAACTAATAATTATAATATATTTTGATGAATGTTTTAATGTCATGAAATAATCATTTTTTGTTAAGCAAATTATAATTACATTAATATTAATTTTTTCTTTAAATACTGTCTGTATATTCATTGGAGAATAGTTCAAATATTTTCAATAAAATTTTTAGAAGAAATTAAAATCAAATAAATTATTTGAAATAATACATTATATAGTTAGTGATTGTTTACTATTATTATAATTTATAAATACAGTAAATCTTATTGTTTAGATAGAAATAGAGTCTTATTTATAAATGTTGATAAAATTGCTGATAAATACCAGTAGTTTTCCTACTATTGACAATACTAGTAGTCTATTGTAGTATTTTTAGACACCAATAGACAAATATGTAGGATATATACTGTAGTATATTATAAACAGTATATGAAAATATTTATAAATATTGATATAAAATTTTAATACAAAAATTTAAATCGGATTACACTGTGAATTACAATTTGTAATACAATATATAGTGCAATATAATTTTATAATTTCTATAAAATGATCATGGACATATATAGTATTTTGCTCCAGCATTAATTAATTTGTCTACAAAAAAAATAAATAATTCAACTAAAAAAATCAATAACTGTATTAATAGAGTGTAGTCAGTGATCCAATACACAAAAAAAAAATAATACCTGTATTTTTTAACTAAAAATTTTTTTTTGAAACTATGACAGTTGTACAACAAGTTGTTATAAAAATCATAAAAATATATTACAATTTAACACCAAAAAACTTACACTGATCTAAATACTTTACACACCAACAACAAAATCACACAATTTGTTGTTTTGAACCCATTGTTTTTTGACAATTTGACACGGATCACCTATTAAAGTAATAGTAATAATAATACATAAATGTCAAGTTTAATTAATCAATTTTTTTATTATTATTATTAGTAGTAGTAAAAGCTTAATAACAAAAAATTATTTGACGAGAAAAAATTACACATAAAAATTTACCAATAATTTCATAGGTTTTTTTTTGTGTTCAAAATAAAAACTACCGGGTAGTCTAATAATTATTATATTGATTTTAATGCCATTAAAAAAAATTTAGGAAAAAAATATAAATATTATTAGGCGTTAATTTTGTGAAAAAGTTAATTTTTAAAATTTATTTTTCTCACTCTTTTAAACTACACCTTAATTTTTTAACAGACAAAATATTTAAAATATTTTACAACAAAATTTCTTAATCAATAAAATAAAATATATGAATAAATTTAAATACATAAATAAATCTAATTTCCTCATAAAACTACTGTATTTTTTTTGTATATAAAAATAATAATTTATTTTAGTTTAATTAAATTAATAATATAATAATAATTATTATTATTTAGTCAATTTGGATGATACAAGTGATGAGCCGCCAATTGAAAACAATAATGTACTGTCACTGCCGCAAGTGGCCACACCACGGGATGCCTGGTAAATGGGTTGGTTGGTTGGCTACCGGTGCTCTCTTAATTAAAAAAAAAATTGGTCCAGTAGGAACTGTCTAGTTAAAATGATTATATAAAAAAATAATGATGATCATGATGAAATTTTTTTGATGAAAAATTCAACAAAAACAATATAAATTGGTATAAAGCGCTACAAAACATTTTTTGGTGTTTAATATATTGTTACAAATATATTGATATAAATATATTGATATTAAACAATTTATTTGTTTGACATTTAATTTTATTATATACTGTATATCTAACATTTCAATTCAAGCTAAATTCAAACCCCCAATTGTTTTTTTAAATATATATATTATACATAATGTTATAATTTTTTCTATAAACAAAAATACATACATAAATATTTATATTTTGTATAAAAAAATATTAAAATAATTGCGTTAATATAATATAATATGATAATAATAATAATTATTATTATTATTACAAAGTTCAAATTCAAAAATAAAAATTATCTGTAATAATATAATTATTTATTTTGAAATTAATTTGTTGTAATATCAATAACTGGATTTATTTATAATAAAAATTATAAATGTTATTTGATAAATATTTTGCTATTAATTTTCTTTAAAAAAAATTCAATGAATTATTTTAATATCAAACAATAAAATTGCTGTAACAGTAAATAGTTATATAAAATAATATTGATAATAATATTATTTTTAATACAGTATTATTGTTATTAATTTTTATCTAACACAAGTGTGTTTTCAAGTATATAAATTATATAATATATCTAAAACGATACAGTTAATAAAAATTTTTCAATAATATTTACTCTAAAAATAAGTTGCATGCTGCAAATTATAATTTTATTAATACAATATATACTGTATACAATCATGGTAAGTGTAGTAAAAAAATTAATTATTTTATTTACACCATTGATAAATAATAAATGAGTTGTATGATTTAATAACACTTTATTGTTATTTTTTTAATTATCACACACATACATACACACACACATACACACAATGTGTTATTATAAATTTATTAATCATAATTATTAATAACAAGTTTAGAAGTATTAAAGTAGATTACATATACTATGCTAACAATTTTGATAATAAAATATATATATATATATATATATACTGTATATTGTACACAGTTTGATGTACAAGTGGCAATACAAATACAGTATATGACATTTATCATATATAATATAAATTATATAATTTTTCTATTACAATATATATATATATATATCAGCAATATTTAATTTTATAACGTCTATATACAGTACAATAAAATGTTATTTTCCTAATGCTAATATAATACTGCTAATAATTGCTGATTATATAACAAATTTTGTTTAAATTAATAATTTAATAATAATAATAATAAATTATTTTTTTTAAAAAAACTTTTTATTATAAGGAACTTTTATATAGCAATAAAAATCTCTAAACGGAAATCCCTATATATTGTATATTACACTTTAATATAATAATATATACAATAATAACTATACGATAATAAAACTAATTAATTGTCAAATTTAGTTAATTTAATAATTTTTTTGATGAACTATAAAAATTCATTACTACCACTACTTATACAGTATTTTGTTTTGCATACTAAAAATGTCTTAATTTTTTTTTGTGTTGTATTAGTGTTTAAAAGATAAAAGCGATACAACAACAAAATATTTATGCAATATTTATGCAATTATATTGTTTTCTCGCAAAAATTATAATAATAATTATAATTATTATATTTAGTTAACACATTCACATTCACACACACACATAGACACCAAACAAAAAAACTGGTTATCCATATATTGCAGTATATGATTGACATCAAGTGTCGCTGCCTGTCATCACACACATCATTGTCCCAATCATTTGACATTAAAATAATAACAATTTAATAATAATAACAATAATAAAACTACAATAACTTAATCAATCAATAAAAAATAAAATTTGACCCCATCTAAAATGTGCATGCTAAAATAATTTTCTATACCCCTCTCTATCTATCTCTCTCTCTCTATATATATAATATAAATATTAGTTTATCGTTTGTTTGTCAAACAGTTTGTTTATTAAACAGTATTTATACTTTATATATATATATATTGGGGTTTAAAAGATAAATAAGTTTTTATTTCAAAACATTTACTTCAAACACACTGTACTTGATTGGCACTGTTGACAGTATAGGTAAAGTACAGCAACTATTAGTTAAATAGTATAGTAATCCAACTATTTTTAGCAATTATTTCATTTTATTTTAAGTATACATTTATTAAACGCATAGCTGTGTAGTGAATAATAATAAAGAATAATACAGAAAAACATTTGCTTTTTTTAACGCTAACTCCTCTCAAATACATTAATACTCTGTTAGTAATCATAATATGTATAGTTTGATAGGATTTTATATCGCAACCTATGGCTAACTAAGCATAGCTATGGCTATAGTATTGCCAGTGTTTTAGACATATATAGTTTTAGGAGAGTTAATGTTTATTGCATAGACTGTACTGTTGTGTTGTTGTAATGTAATGTATGTGTTGTTGTGTTCACCATAGCTATAGCTATAGCACTGCTGCTGTCGTTATAATTCAGTGAATCGCATATCACAGACAAAACACAAACACATAATACATATTCACTGAGAAAAATGTTATAATATTTTTATATATCATATACTGTAGTGAAATGACAGCCTTCAAGACGCGTCTCATATCATAATAAAACAACAATTTATTATTATTCAGATTATTATTATTATTAATATTATTGTTGTTGTCTTCATCATCATCGACAACAACAACAACAACGACAGTAGTGATGACCATTCAAGTGATGATTGTATAGATCAACGACAACAACAACAACAACACTAACCAGCCATTAGTAGTGTGTGTATATGTGAAGACAACCATTTGATCCCATCAATCATTTTTTAAAAGATATATAAATCATATATCTATATATAAATACAGTGACATTGGATTTTTTAAAGTGATTTTTTTTCATCTTCAATAAGCCATGAGTTGGGGCCATGAGTTGTGGGTATGTATTGTCGTCTACTCTGATCTGATACCAAAATCCCGAGTATAGTGTGTCTTATCGTCGGTATTATCGCTATATCACTATTAATCAGTTGGTCTCTTATAGTTTAGTCAACTATTAATTCAGATAATTGTGTGATAATCTGTGTGTCAATTATCATATATATATATATGATATGATATATACATCCAATAGGATATCCAACAACAACAACAATAAAATGTGGCTATAAATTGGTTGACAATTGTTTGTTGATGTTATTGTTAAATCAATTGTTATTATAATAAATAATTGATTTAAATTAAGTGTTATATTATAATATTGAATGATTTGTATGTAATGTATATATCATATCATTTATATATTATTTAGGATATTATCGGCCAATGTATCGTCGCTTAAATTATTATTTTTAATAAAATTTTATATATAATATATTAAAATGATTCATACAGTAGTTTATATGATAGATATATCGTTATAGTAAACATATCTGTCATTTAACAAAAAATGATTATTAATTATGATTTAATAAATTAGTGTTTATTATTATTATTAGTATCATTAATAATATTAATATTAGTGTTACCCTCTTATCTCTACATTATATATATATATAACTTATACAACAATTTGATGTCTCAAAAAACCTAACTTATCATATATCAAACCAAACAAACCACACATCATAACAATGAAATGCATTGTTTTTTGTTTGTTGTTTTAATTAATTAAATATCATTTTTATTGTATTATATGTAAAAAAAAACTAAAAGTTTTTAAATCTCAACTGTCGATCAAATAATTAGCCATTAAGTAACACCTCTCATGTGTTTTGTTTCATTGAACCCATTATTATAATTATTATTATGTCAATTATTGATATATAATTTGTCGCATATTTGTGTCAAAAATAATGATAATATGTTAGAGAGAGAGAGAGAGAGAGAAAGTTAAAAGTTTTTTTTAAAAATATAATTTGGGAAAATTATTTACACAAATAAATAACAAAAAATTTTAGGGAAAAAAACTTATTTAATATAATAACAATACAGTAATGAGATTGAAAATTTCAATTTGAAATATATATTTTTTGTAATTATATAGTCTATATATATTTATTTTATTAATAGATTGATTATATATATATAAATTGTTATAAAAATGTGTGAACCAATTTTGTTTTTATTTTAATTCATATGATAGCCTAATAACTACTGTGTTTAATATATATATATCATATTACCGGTACAATTATTTAAAATGAAACAAAATCGTAACTAATATTTGACGATCAATTTTTTTTGTAAATGATAGAAAGTTTTATTTTAATTGACACTATTTCAATATATATATATTTATATATTGAATTACAATATCATATATTTACTGTAGATATCATAACAATAATAACATGAGATCTACTCTTGTATATAGTAATTAAAAAAAAAATTGAAACTAATTTTATATCAAAAAAAATTTTTATTTAAATAAAATAAAAATATTAGGATCAATACGACAACCTGTCGGTCCATACCCATCGGGGCATTGAATTTCTTGATAAATTTGGCCAATTTGTTAAGGAAAGGGCAAACATTGAGATTGAATACGCGGCCAAATTGAGACGTCTGGTCAAGAGTTACCAAATGAAGAAAAAAGACGACGAAGAGAATCAGTAATTGAATTGAATTTTTTTTTTGGACACTATTTTCACAATTGAATTGTCACTTAATTTGTTTTTTTTCTCTCTTATAATAATAACTTTAGATTAACAGTATGTAAATCGTTTAATATGATGACCCAAGAAGTGGTTGATCTGGCCGGTCAGCACGAGACGATTGCCGAGAATATGAGTGCACAGATTGTCAAAGACATTGCCACACTGTTGAAAGAGTTGAAAGACGAAAGGAAACGATATCTTCAGGAGGGGGCGAAAAATCAGACGGCACTGCAAAACCATTACAACCAGTTAGACAAAGCAAAGAAGGCGTACGAAAAGGCCTACAAAGAGGCTGAGAAAGCACAGGACAACTACCAGAAAGCCGACGCAGATCTGAATCTATCGCGAGCTGAGGTCGAAAAGGCACGAATGATAGCCAACGGCAAGAATCAGATGTGCGACGAATGTAAGACAGAATACGCGAATCTCTTGCAAAAGTCGAATGAATTGCAACGACGACACTATACGGAACTGATGCCTAAGATATTCAATCAGCTCCAGGATATGGAGGAACGGCGGTCGGCTTGTATACAGAATTTTATGAAACAAAGTGCTCATATTCATCGGCAAGTTTTCCCGATTATCAACCAGTGTCTGGACGGTGTACTCAAAGCATCGGATAGAATTGATCCGAAAGAAGATAGTCGGCAAGTGATTGAACGATTTAAATCGGGTAATAATCCGCCCGAAGATATTCCATTCGATGATCTGAGTAATCCGCGACCCGAATCCGATAATAATGGCGGTATTCCGCGGGGTGTCGGCGGCAGTACTACATTGAACTATTCGAGTTCAATCAAATCGGAAACATTGAGGAATACACTGTCGGCGGCGAGATTCAAGAAAAGGGGCGGAATTTTTGGTATATTTGCATCAAATAAGGTATTGTTTTTTTTGTTTGTTTTTGCAGTATTTTCAATACTTTTGTTTTTTTTAATTATATTAAATATATCTTTACGATTTAAATCATTTATCAATTTTTTTTAAATATTTATTTCTCTCTTTTTTCCACTGATATCTATTACTCTGACATTGGACTTAACATAACTTTTTAAAAAAAATTTCAAATTTATCAACTTTTCTCTTAATATTTATCTATTTTTGTAAGTACTTGACTATATATATATATATATATTATTGCATTAATATTATTATTAAATTTTAATTTTTATAATATTAAACATAAGTTTATTTTTTATATATCAAAAAAATTAGTCCTAACATTTAGATAACACAAATTTATAATAATGTAATACTGTATTATAAATAGTGAATAATTTTATTTATTTATTTAACAATTGCAGTCCAATATTGACGATTCAAAGGATGATTACGCAGATCTACCACCAAATCAAAGGCGAAAACGAATACAAGCGAAAATCGACCAAATCGTTAAAGATATAGCACAAGAAACAGCTGTCAGGTAATTGGGATCAGCTTTTCTTTTATTGTGTGGATGATATATATACAGAAAGAGGTAACTCAATGGTAATTATGTTGTTGTTGTTTATTGCAGAGATGGACTGATGAAAATGAAACAGGCATACGAACAAAACAGTGCATTGGGTGATCCACTGTCCGTCGAGGGACAGTTGACCGAAAATGGACACAAAATGGAAAAATTTCAAACCGAACTCAAAAGGTTTCAGAATCTTTTGGCCGAAGTAGTTGATGGAAAACCGTTTACGCCGTCGGCCCAGAAAAAGTCGTCATCGCATCGAAATAGTATATCAGAAGATTCACTGTCGAGGAGTGCATCGGAATCAAGTGTTACCATAAACAACAATACGAATAATACTACTTCTTTTACCAATAATAATAATAATTTAAATATCACTAATAATGCTATTAATAATAGTAATAATCGGTCATCAAATTCACTGCAAACAGTCATTACTAATAATCATAGCAATCATAATAATCACAACAACGATACGTCGTCTCACGATAATAACGAGTATGTTATCATTAAAATATTTTTTTATTAATATTAATAATATTGTAAATTGTTATTAATAATTAATTAACAATTTAAAAAACTTTACAAAAATTACAGTTCAAATAGTCCTGAAAGTGGGATTAGCACGAGTCACCTGAGCATCGCTGACGTCGAGTTTGTCGATGAAGTCGATGGGGTCGACGATGTCGACACATCGTTTGATGATCCACTGCCATCGTTAGGGTCAGCCAAAGCTCTCTATGCATTTGAAGGTACCGGTAGTTTTGTTTTAATTTCCATTAAACAAAGAGGTATCTTAACTAATGATATTTTGTTTGTTTGTTTTTCGGTTGAATCTGGAACTACAGCTCAAAGTGAAGGCTCAATAGCAATGGGTGAGAATGAAGAGTTCGAAGTGGTAGAGCTCGATCAGGGAGATGGTTGGACACGAGTCCGACGTATGAATGAGCCCATTGAAGAGGGTTTTGTGCCAACCAGTTATATCGAGTCCAGACTATATGACAATAACTGCTGATTGATTTTTTTAAAGTTGATTTAAGAGTGTATTTAAAAATATTTTTTAGGCCTATAATTCTAATCTAATTATATATTATTATTATTATTATTGCTTATTATTGAAGTGTTATTATTATTATTATTATTATTGAGTATATATATATATTTTTTTAAACAAACAAAAAAAAATAATCAACAATTTAATGATGATTATGATTGCATTTGTTGTTAATGAAATTTTATGTTGTTTTCTGACACACACACACACACATACATATATACATACAGTTGATCCTCTAAATATTGTTTGTGTAAATGATGTCATTAGTAGTTAATGCTCTCTTTTTTTCTCACCCTGTTGTGTGTGTGTCCATTACTTAGACAAGTACGGTAAACACCAACAAAAATATCAACTTATTATTATTATTATTATTTTGTAACGGGTCATAGTCTCAACAATTAGCGACAATAGTAGGGGGTAATGATTTTTGGTTAAAAAAAATTTTGATATCTGGTAAACGTACGTACAGTACATGTATTATTGAAAAAAATATGTGTAGAAAATATCATATTTTGTGTGTATGTATATGTGTGTGGATATTAAAAAAATATTGTATATTATATTTTTGTTTTTTTAATAACATATAATTATCGGTAAATTTACCTTGTTAAAATCTATAACACTATTGCTAGTATCACATGTATGTGTGGGTGGGTTTACCAGATATACTTAAAATTAAAACCTATTAATTTATTATCTAATTTTTATTGTTGCTAATTATTATGGCAATGGTAACGCGTTTTAAATGGCAATGTGTTTTAATTTTATTATTATTATTTTAAATATCTTAATATTTTTTTCACCATGGATAGTTTTATTGATTGATTGATTTATATGATGACCACCCATTGATTTTAGTTACATTATTATTATCAATGAGATGTGTATTTTATTTATTTTTTTCAAAAACATAGTTTATTTTTATTAAGTATTTACAGTAATATGTTTCAAATATTTTTAAAATGATATCTTAATTTATTATTATTATTATTTATAATTTTATCGGTAAATTATATACAAAATTATGTAATAGTGATTGATTTTATGAATTGAAAAAACCAACATTTGGTGCTTTAATTATTAATATTTATAAATATTATTAGTTTATATACATTTAAAAATAACAATCAAACAAACCGTGATTATATAATGCATATATAATTATAATAGTTTATTTAAAATTAATATTTATTATTGCTTGTTATGTATTTTTTTTATTGAGAAAACAAAAATTTGCTTTAATATAGTATTTTTTGAATATCATAAATATTTGAAAAAATGTTTGAGAGAAAGAGAGATAAATATTGAGTTATTATTTTATTTTACTTGAGTGCCACATATTATTATTATTATTTTTACAATTGAATTGTACATTATTATTATTAATAATTATTATTATAATCACATATTTTTTATGTAATTATAAATTATATACAAACAAACAAACAAACACAGAAAAAAACATATGAATAATTATATTTTATTTTTGCTGATGAAAAAAATTATATAAAAAAGTTAAAAATGTATATATAAAATATTTGTATGAAATATAATTTATTATTATTATTTTTATTGTTTTTTTTAATAATTTTAGATTCCTTAATTTTTTCCAAACCATATATATATAATTTTTTATTTATATGATATATATTATGTTTGGATAATTATTATTTAAATTAGCCATATATTTTTTTAGGTACTACTACTACTACTGTTGTAAATGTAATAAATGTGCAAATCTTAATAATGTGATAATCATTTTTTCCATTTTGCAAAACAATTTTTAATTAATTAAAATTAAAAAATATAATCAAAGTATAAGTCACTATTGAAAAACAAAATTATAATATCTATATAAAAAAATATATAATAATTATTATTACTATTGTTTAATATTGTAGAAAAAGGGATAATCTTAAAGCTCTACTACACTAACATAACTCAGCCGACAAATATTTGAACTGTAGATCCAGGACACTATAAAATAGTTTATATAGAGTTTATATCCTTATTGAATCTACCTGGATAACATTTATATATATAAATGGGTAAACTATAATATTAAACTTATAGTTAGTTTAAAGGGTTATTACTGTGTTGTGGAGGTGTCGGGTTTTATGAATGTCCTTTTTTTACTACTTAGTTTCTAATTGTATATAATATTATTGTCATTCAAATGTTAAATTTAAACAATAACAACAACAAAATGCTATATATATACTGTAATACTGTATTAGAAAAAATTATTTTATGATGTCTACTATTTTACCCCCCTCCCCCCCAGCTATTAGCTGCAAATTGTAATGTATATTTTAAAATGAAAATGAGAGATAATAAAGCAATTATTGTAAAATTATACAGTAATTTTCCACATTGTAATATTCTACATTATCAACATTCTACATAAAATCTACCTTGATATAAAAATTGCTACTTATAGTTATAAAAAAAATTAAATTATAAAATTACAGTGTATCAAATACAATTGGAAATTTTCTAATAATTACAAAATTAGTTTATTTTACACTTACACAGTATACATGTGTTTTATAGCATTATTTATTAAACAATTAAATTAGATTTTTTTTAAAAATCAAATAACTTCATTAAAAATTAGTCATAGCTTTTATCATAACCTATTAAAAAAGTTATTTATTTATTTTAGTAATTATTTATTAATAAATACTGTAAATACCAATGTAATCATAATAATTTATTAGCTAATTAATTATATGATATATACTGTATATACATACAGTGTATATTATACACACACAATGATGATATGGTCAATAAATAAATATATATATATATACAGTATCATAATTTGCATAGATAATAATAATTGCTATTGAAATATACGGCTATTTAACTATAGGTACCAGTATAGTAATAAATTTATGTGTGTCTATAAATAGGATGCAATTTTTATTGTAATAGTGAAAACAAAAATTGAGAGCAATAACTATATACAGTATATAATATAAGAGATAATGCATTATTAAAAAAATATATAATAATATTTTCCAATAATAATCAATCAGTTTTTTTTCTCGAGACACTATTTTTTCCGCGTGTGGTCTAAATGTCAATCGGTGTCACACTTTTATATATCATACATGTATTATATAATGCGAAAAAACTAACTAACAAAACAAAACCAAAAAAAAAGTTAATCCAAAAATAGTAACACAGCTTACGTTGTTATACGCTGTATATACAGTATTAAAAAAAAGAGGTAATAATAGGTGTATTATAACAGTTATAATAATCAGTTATATCTTTTGAACTCAATATCAGCCAATATTTTATATATTATATAGTTTTTTTGCATATCATTTTGATTGCAATACCTAATAATGATATTATAAAAATACACGCATAGAGAGAGAGAGAGAGAGAGAGAGAGATTGGGTTTGATTGGTTATATAAGAGACATACAGTATATCTTATATTATTATATATGATATATTAATATATAGGGAATTAACAACAAAATAATAATAATAATAAAAACTTGTAGTCTACATATAATTTATTTTATTATATGGGGTTTTAACCTTTTTATATATACTGTATATATTTTTGACGCTATCTATTTTACCTGAATAACTAATAGCAAATCGATTTTTTATTTAATTTTTTTTAGTTTTATTTTTTAACGTTAGCAACAAATATTTAATATATATGTATATCATATGTATATTAACCAAATATTGTAGTTATGTTCTCTCTCTCTCTCTCTCTCTCTCTCTCTCTCTCTCTCTCTCTCTCTCTCTCTCTCTCTCTCTCTCTCAAAACATAAAGTTGCTATGAATTAATATTACGGTATATATATATATAAATAATAATATATCAATAATATTGATATATTGCATGAATAGTGTATTTTTTTCAACAAAAAACTTTTATACATTATAACTAACTGTATGTTATTGACTGCCGATTGACTATGAGTTGCATTAATAGACAACAATAACAACATTTAGTATGTAATACATTGTTGTTTATATTGATATCTAAAAACAAAAACAACAAAAACATATGAAATAAAAATCAGTGTTAATATCAAATGTTCAGTCATATCATTAGTGATTATTAGTACAGTATAGGTATGATATATACTGTATATATAAAGTATTATTATTATTATTAGTGTGTAATTTGTCGATACATTTAATAATATATTTTTAAAATCTCATATCATATATGAATTGGTGTCAAATCAATAACAGACTAATAAAAGCAAATCAATTCAACAAAACTAAACTATCATTCAGTGTGTATGTGAACAACGGGTATGTCATCAGCGGATGTGACGAATCCATACATATGAGCATAAAGTAGTAGAAGAAGTCATGACGTCCAGCATCGGTGGTGCAGCAGATCTCGGATATAACAATAACAACAACATTAGCAGCCATAACATCATTGACCAGAATGTGACACACGTCGCGACCGCCATTACTAAGGCTGCCGTCAGTGCCATAGCCAACAACATCAGCAACAACAACAACGACACCACAGAACCGATCGCCAATGGCCACTACGATTGGCCAGCGAGCGGCTCGTGGATGTTCTCCAATCGCGATGTACCCATACTTATCGGTGCAGCTGCTGGTAAATGACCAAACCTTTCCACATCCTATCCTTCCTCCCGATAAAGACAACCAACAATAAAAAAAACCATTCATTAGATACTTTAAAAATACCGACCGATTATCTGTGTCTTTAATATTGTCTTTTTTTCTAAGGAGCCATTGGTCTCATCGTAATCCTGTTGTTGGCGGCCCTGATCTGGCATTGCTGTCAATACATGAATACACAGAAAACCAGTTACAGTGAGACCTAACTTCTTAATTAATGACACCTCTGTCCTAACATCCTCGACATCTCTTTCTTTTTGTGTGTCCTATCAATTGTCTCATTAGGTCTTGACGACGGTGGTAGCGATAGTCAACGTAATAGTGTCGGCAGTCGGACCTCAAACTTGTATATCAATAATCCAATGGATTCGTCGACTGGACTAATCATTGGCCAGAAGAATAGTAGTGCCATAACTCGCGAACAAACATCACTGAAGAGATCAACGACCGGATCTTCTATTAGTCATAATAATAACATTAGAGATAACAGTGCACTTCAGGTACAGATTATTATTATTATTATTATTGCTATCATATATTTCCTATAAATTATTTATTGCTGTTATCACCTGAAATTGCTTAGTAATCGTTTGACAAAAAAAATTGAGATAAAGTAATCATTATATCATATATTTTTTATTATTATTTATTTTGTAGACAAATAATACTCAAACACCTATTATTGAGTCAATTGATAGACACGGAAGACACCAACAGTTGACTGTTTGCGACAACTTATGCGCCGTCGATATTGACAAAGAAGAAGAAGAAGACGACGAAGCCGTCAACGAAGATAACGTCAACGACAATAGCAGACGACGACGACAACAATCAGTTGATACAAAATCTCTTGAGATGGAATTGAATCAGAAGAATGAGTCGATAAATAATTATCATCAAAGAAGTCATATGTATATTACAAGTAAACATAATAATACTAATATTAATAATCAAATCAATACTACCGATGATATGATCTATAAGTCAAAGAGTCTGCCGTGGAGTCAATCAAATAAACATAAATCTGTTACCATCGATGACGAAGTTCACGAGTTTGGTGCTAAGGTTTGTTTTGTATTATTATTATTTTGTATTACTTTTTTTAAAAAGTTTATATTACTGGTACTGTAATATCATTGAGGAAAGTGAGATATACCGTAAGTTAGATTAGGTGATAGATATACCTGTAGTTTTTATGGTTAAAATAATTAAACAAATTACCCGTTATAGTTAACTTTACTTAAATTGTAATAAACATATATGTAATATATTTAAATTTTTTTAAAAAAATTGCTATTATTTTGTTAATTTGTGAAACTGGTTGTGTGAAAAAAAATTAATTTTCCAACTCATGATTACCACTAGTATTTATTTTGGTGAATATAATATTAACTAATAATTTTTTTTTAAAAATTAAGTCCAAATATTATACGGTATATAAAAAATGATTTTTTGAAATTTAAATGTTAAGTCATTATTCATTATACAGTATAAATCAAATATTAATGTTAAGGTTTTTAGTTAACTATTTAGTGTTTTGTTTAATTATTATTAGTATTATTTGACCGAAAAAAAAACAAACAATTATTTTATTTTATTTTTTAGGTTAACTTCAGTAAGAAGCGAAAGAATCGGATGCGCAACGACAGCGCCGCTGCCATTGCACTGAACCGAAGCGGAGGAACCGATACCAACATAATTAAGACATCGTTAAGACATTCGCATAAAGACACCGACACTCTGGTAGATAATGAAGCCGTTGTTGTCTACGATGAAAGAACTGCCTTATAGTGTTGGGGAACGACAACAAAATATCAATAATTTAATTGTAAATTATCCTAACAGTCCTTATTTTGTGTGGTATAATAATAGTCGTAAAACACACACATAAAACATTTATTTTATATTTTATTTGACATTTAAAAAAAAAATTGTGAATAGATTTATTAATTTATTTAATTTATTGCATTAACATAATTTACATTTAATGTATTATTAATTACTAATTTTTAGTTTTATTTGTTTTCTATATATTTTCATGTTTGATGATAATAATGTTTAATAGATTGCAGGAATTTATTTTATTATATATTTTCAATGAAATACAGTTTAAAATTTAAACTTTAAATACAAGTAATAAATTATAGTCAGTATATCAGAAAAAGTGATTATTATTGTACTTTATATACAATATTTATATATAAATTATTATATATTGTCTGATAATGAGAGAAATTTTTTTTATAAAATAATTATAATATTAGTCATTTAGTAATGTTATCTTTATATTGAAAAACAACTATTGTTTACGATAACGGTATTAACAGAGTATAGTATAAACTTATATATATATATATATATATATATATATTGATTTTATGAACAATTATATACAATATACACATACCTACATACACACACACACACACACACACACACACACACACACACCTGATAGTTACAAATACATAGTTTTATATACTGTATTATTTTAAGAATTTAACTATAACTGTATTGTAATTTTATTAGCAATTAAAAACAAATAATAATAATAATAATAACATAAATGTTAATTTAATCTCAAATATTACAATATTTTATATAAAATATCTTTTATTATTTGAAATTATTTCATTAAATAGTTTCATTAAGTTTTGCGTTTATACTTAAAAAAAATAAATATTTATTTGCAACAACAAATAAAATTGATAGATTTTTTTCCAATAATAATTATTCAATAAATAATATGATATATATATTGGAGAGTTTTGTAATAATTATTATTAGAATAAAACTAGATATTTTCTAAAATGTCGAAAATAATAATAATAATATCGAAATAAAATTATATAATATAATTGGAAGTTTTAAAATTAAGATACAAAAAAAATTTTGAGGAAAAACAACTAAACTGATTGATTGACTAAATTATTTCAATTTTTATTGTATATTAGTTAAATAAATATATTGTTTAATAATAAACGTCTATATATGTTATTTAATAATTACTAGTGATATCCATATATTAATTATATTTACTGTTATAATTACATATCAATCGGATATTGTTGACCCGGTATTTGCATTATATTTACAGATATTTTCATCGGATAAATATAAATATATATTTATAAATGTTTTCAATTGATTTTACATTTTGTTTTAAATACAGTTTTTATTCAACACAATTTAAATATTATTAAAATATACTATATTACATATACTGAATATTTTGTATATATAGTATATTTATTTCTATTATTATTTTTTTTTCATTGATTATTATAACTGTTAAAAGTAAAAAATAATTATTTTATGTTAAATAATTATATTTCAAATGGTATAACATATTAATTTTTTTATTCGCCAAACAATATAATATAAAATTTGAAATCGTAATCAAAATAAATAATAAAATAAAGTTTAGTCTCAACAGTCGATTTACATTAATTTAATTGCAATTGCGAACAAAATAAAAAAAATATATAAAAAAATATAATTAATTACCGGTAATTAAAAATAATAATTGTTCACCTAGAATATATATATATATATATATATATACAGTATATACCGCATATTTTTGATTACGATTTAAAATTTTATATTATATTGTTTGGCGAATAAAAAAAATAATATGTTATACAATTCGAAATATAATTATTTAACATAAAATAATTATTTTTTACTTTAAACAGTTATAATATTCAATGAAAAATAATAATAATAGCAATAAATATAGTATATTTAATATACTGTATATACTGTATACAAAATATTCAGTATATGTATGTAATATAGTATATTTAAATAATATTTTAATTGTGTTGAATAAAAAATTGTATTTAAAACAAAATGTAAAATCAATTGAAAACATTTATAAATATATATTTATATTTATCAGATGAAAATATCTGTAAATATAATGCAAATACCGGGTCAACAATACCCGATTGGTATATATGTTGTGAAAATTTATCTAGATAATATAAATAAATGATGCTTATTTGAAATATCTTGGTCATTTTATCTGTTGTATATAAATTATTTACATGTACAATCATTATATTATTATTATTATTATTATTAGTAGTAGTAGTAGTAGTAGTAGTAGTAGTAGTAGTAGTATTGTAACAGTACATGTAGTATTACAATGATTGTAACAAAATTATATACATTCATTTATTAATATAAAAAATATATATAAATAAATAATATATAAAATTTCTATTACAAATTATTATATATTTATATATACAGGTACTGTACTGTATATATAAATATTATATAAAATGTAATAATAAAGTTATAACAAAACTATATGATAATTATTATAATAACAATTATTTCAAATATTGGCACCAAATTCACTGTCATATTATATATATATATATATATATATATATATAGAGTCTTAAACAGCGGCGATGATAGCGGCGATGCTATTAATTACAATTATCTGGTCAACAATACATTGAGTTAAAAAGTGACCAAGAGCAATGTTGTAGATAATTTTATATTGGATAAAATTGTAATTGGTCATTTTTATTAATTAAATGTATGATTTGCCAGATAATTGCAGTCGACTATCATATATATATATATTTTTTAAACAGTCGACTGTAAATTATCTGACATATAATACAATTAAATTAAAAAAATGACCAATTACAATTTTATCCAGTATAAAATTATCTACAACATTGCTCTTGGTTATTTTTTAATTCAACGTATTGTTGACCAGATAATTGTAATTAATAGCATCGCCGCCGCCGCCTCTGTTTAATACTCTCTGTATTTAAGACACTGTGTAACACTAAACTACATTACAGTATTAAATAATATAAATTTTATCCATTGAATGCTGTATTTGTAATGAAATGTCTATAGAATATTACTATAGAGAGCGCAATCATACATACAGTGTGTATACAGATATAGGTATATATGTATTAAATACATAGTATGTATTACATACTAAACTAATGGGATATTTATAATATATGTATTGTAAGCGATATTTATTAATACATACTGTACTCTATGTATAGTTTTAACACTTTTTTCTCTCTCGCATACATTATATACAGTATATTGTGTTTGTGTGTATGTATTGACTGTTTAGTGTGTTTAGTGTTTAGTGTGTCTGTCTATTGAATAATAATACAGTAGTAGTGATGACAATAATATTACCAAAAATTAATAATAATAATAATAATTGTCACCAAAATAGTTGATCCCAAACACACAAACACATTAAGGTGATACTTAACGGACCAAATTGACTCATCTGACTAAACCAATTGGCAGACAGACGGCAACATTAACCGACAAAGAGTGACGAAACCATTGTCCACAACAAATCATAATCGCATCGCCAGTACTGATGATGTCATGAATGTCGATACCAATTGGTTTTTGTGTTGGGATGTACTGTCGGGATAATCATCAACACTATCATCATTACCACCACCACTGAAGACAGGACACACATATATATGACTATACAATTTAGTTTAGTTGACTGAAGAGTCCATCCGTTTTTTTTGTTTGTTTAATACATTGTCTACATTGTTGTTGTTGTTGATCACATACTTGTCCTCCTGAGTGAAGACTATCTGTGTGTGTGTGTGTGTCCATTACATTCAAGAGGACGATGGGTCCCGAAATACATTCTCCATTGTCGTCCAGTGATGACGACCTGTATCTGAGTAGTCAAAACAATAATAATAATAATACTGCTGCTGTCGATGACGCCGGCGGTGAATACGATGATAACAGTGAGTATCCGCAACAATCGCAATCAGACGTACAGAAGCATCGCCGACATCGTGGCTCACACCGTCATCGCGACCATAAAGAGCGTAAACATCGTCGCCGGCGAAAACAGTCGTCGCGTCACCGAAAGAAGCGAAGTAGTAATCATGAAGTTGAATACGATTTTGAACCGAAACCGCAGATCAGATCATCGAAACCGTTGGTCGAATACGACCAGATCAGCGAAAACAGTGATCTTGGATCTGATCACAATAAAGAGGTTTCATATAACATACAATTTGTATAATCAATTGTTGGTCAATACCACATTTAATGATATCTCTTTTATTTTATTATCACTTAAATTCTAGGACGAGATAGAAGATGGCGAAGTCGATGACGAAGACTTGAGCAGCAATTCATTGGCGGCGAGAAGATCTCGATCACCGCCGCAACCGATGATAGAAACCTTACGTAAAGAATCGTCTCCCCAGCAATTGTTGTTAGCCTCTCGTAGAGAAACACCGCCGCAAACGGAAACGTTTCGCAAGCAGACGCCGCCACCGCCACCACAAGTATCCTCACGTAAAAAGTCTCCACTATTACCGCTACCACCATCGCGTAGTAAAAAGTCTTCACCACTGTTACCGCTTCCCTCAAAAGAGATCCAGTCTCCACCACTACAACAACAACAGGAAACCTATCGCAAAGCGACTACTCCTCCACTATTGTTAAACGTTTCCCGTAAACAAGATACACCTCCCCGATTGTCAGCCGCCCGTAAACAACAACAACAAACGCCTCCACTATTATCTCGTGACGAAACGCCTCCACCATTGGAGACCTTCACCTCTTCCTCTTCTTCACGTAAAGAAGTTATTTCTTCTCTAGAATTGACTCGTAAAGAATTATACGGCGGCGATAATAGCAACAATCAGCGGCGGTTGTCGCCGCGCGACCGAAGTCGTACTCCGCCGCCGCCACCGCAGCAGTCGCACAGTTCGTCTTCATCGTCACACTATCACCAGAAACGGTCGATGACACCGCAGAGGTCGTGGACACAGAACAAGCAGCAGCAACGACGGCAACAGTCGCCACCGCATAGCAGTCGTTCGCCGCCACCATCGCTATCTCATCATCGAATGTCGTCACCGAAATCGCCGCCGCCGTCTAAACAGAGTAGTAGTAGGCGACCGCTGACGCCTAATAGATCGCCGCCGATGTCATATCATCATCGAATGTCGTCACCTAAATCACCGAAACAACAACAACATCGACACCGTGTATCGTCGTCTCATCGGTCGTACGAGAGTTCGCGCGATCGACTATCACCTTCTGCGTCGAGTTCGCGTTCTTCTTCGAAATACTTATCTCGCTATCGGTCTTCGCGTTCCCGTTCGCCACACTCGAGAGGCGGGGGTGGGGGTGGCAGCCGATATTCGCCACCTCGTAGTAATCGGTCGCATCGCGATCAACGCCGTACACCACCGCCGCAGTCATCGTCACGTGATAGACATTATCGGCGATCCGAAAGCCGAACGCCACCTCCAAAGCGTTCACATCGTAGCTCTCGATCGTCTCATTCGCCGCGAGACGACTCACGTAATCGTAATTCAAACATTCTTCTGGACAGTAAGTTTTCGTCGACCAGTTTTGCAGCCGAACTGATGAAACGAAAGAATTTCAAAAAACAAACGCCAATGAGTGGCGGTGGTCCGTCATCTGAAGGACATACATCTTCGACGAGCACACCGACAGCGAATACGCCACTACCGCCACTAAAACAGTCGACAACACCGGTAAACCTAATGGAAATCGATGGACAATCGTTTAGTTCGACACAAAATGGTTTCGTAGCCATGAAGTCGACAACATTGCCACAGTTGCCGCTGCCAGTGATGGCATCGTCTGGTGGAACACCGACAGGGGCTACGCCGACCTCAACAACGCAACAGAACAATAAGAATCGTTTGCCAATGCCACCGCAATGCGGTACCAATATATCGGCCCTGCCGTTGCCGTGTACGTCACCAGTTGTCGATATGGACGACATGGATGACCAACAATCCGATTATTCCACACAACCGATTCTCAATCGACCAAAAATTGCCGGTAAAAAACCGTTACCTCATCGACATCAACAACAACAGCCCCGTTGTGTGGATGTGTTCGACATAATTAGTCAGATAGGAGAGGGAACTTATGGGCAGGTCTATAAAGCACGTGATACCGATGACACGTACGTGTTTTTATATTTTTTATCATTTAATAGTTTTTAATTATTTAAAATTAACTGTAATTACCGGTAATTAATTTTTTTGGACAGTATTGTTGCGCTTAAGAAAGTGCGGTTAGAAAATGAAAAGGAAGGCTTTCCCATAACAGCTGTAATTATATAATTAATTTTTTATTGATTTTTAATTGTTTAAAATTTTGCTTTATTTATTAAATTTAATTATTTTTGTTTTGTTTTCTTTGTTTCTAAAATAACAAAAAAAAGGTGAGAGAAATAAAAATTTTACGCCAACTAAATCATGCGAATATAATTAACCTCAAAGAGATAATCACCGATAAACAGGACGCTCTCGACTTTAGACGTGACAAAGGTTTTTATATTTTAATTATTAGATTTATTTAATTAACATTTTTAAAAAATTTTTTTAATCATTTTTTGTTTGTTTGTTTGTTTTTAGGCGCCTTTTATTTAGTTTTTGAATACATGGATCACGATTTAATGGGTCTATTGGAGAGCGGTTTGGTTAAGTTAAATGAGCCAAACATTGCCCATACAATGCGCCAACTATTAGATGGATTAAATTATTGTCATAAAAACAATTTTCTTCACCGAGACATCAAGTGTTCAAATATTTTAATGAATAATAAGTAAAGAGATTTTGTTTGTTTGTTTGAAATTACCGGTAATTATTTTATTATTAATATCCATACATTGTTTTCAGGGGTCAAATAAAGTTGGCTGACTTTGGTTTGGCCCGATTATTCAGCGCTGAAGACAAAATGAGGCCTTACACTAACAAAGTGATTACACTGTGGTATAGACCACCTGAGCTATTGTTAGGCGAAGAACGATACGGACCAGCTATCGATGTCTGGAGTTGCGGGTATGTGTCCCATAAAGTTATTGTTGTTGTTGTTATTGTTATTTACCGGTTTTTTGTTACTGTTATAGTTGTATTTTGGGTGAACTGTTCAAAGGGAAGCCAATATTTCAGGCAAATTCAGAGCCAATGCAATTAGAAGCCATTGCCAAATATTGTGGGGCACCCTCACCATCTAACTGGCCAGGGGTTTGTTGTTTTTATTATTTAATATTATTTAAAATGTGTTAATTTAATGTATAAAATTGTCAAACAGGTGGTCCATTTGCCGCATTGGAATTCAATGAAACTTAAGAAACAATATTCGCGGACACTTCGCGAAAATTTTGCATTTTATGCGTTAGTTATTTATTTATTTATTTTATTTGATTTATGATTTCTGTTTGGTTTAAATAATAAATTTGATCTAATTATATACAGATATTTATATTAAGTTTGAATTTATATATATATTTATAATACAATTTAAAGTTTTTATAAATTTAATTTATGCCTCTCTTTCTCCACACACACACACAGTATGCCAAAGTCAGCGCTGGATCTATTGGACGCTATGCTGTGTTTAGATCCATCCAAAAGGATTACCGCCGAACAGGCCCTTAACTGTGATTGGCTCAAGAACTTTAACAATATGACGCCACCATTGTATGTGGCAATTAAATTACAACTAATTTTATTGATATATCCAATATATCCAAAATTTTAAAACTAAATGTTATTATTAGATTACCACAAGACCAAGATTGCCATGAAATGTGGTCCAAACAGAGGAGACGCAAACTGGCCCAACAACAGGATACGACCAATAGTACGACTACTACTACTGCTGCTACTAATAATAATAGTAACAGCAATTCAAATCCAATGGTATCCAAATGACATGTTTACTACTACTACTACTCCCACTATTACTACTACACACATAAAAAAGTGAAGATTATATATATACATATATATATATATATTATATTTTTTTGATGAGAGAGAGAGAAATTTCCTCGACAAATGTTTTGTTTTATTTAATATTTTTGTTTTGAATTTGAAATAATTGATATTTTTCACCCAAAAAAATTGCGTTTTTGTGAGATAGACAAAAAAAAACATAATAACAATTAGTGATACAAAAAAAATTAGTTATCATTTTTTGATGGATGACTACAACTATATCTCTCTCACTATAAATCATATGCCGTCGAGGATTTGCACAGTGACTTAATCTCACAAAACAAATATAAATATATCCGATAACCGATTTGGACATTAAAATACAATTACCCGTAAAAATTGTAAGTTAATGATAATTTTGAAAATGATTGCCCGCGGTCCCATCATAATTGTCTGTGAAAAAAACAATTATTATGTAAATATATATAAATATTTCTTTAAACAAAAAAAACATTTAGTCACTGAACAAACAAAGTCGATGTTATTTGATAATAAAAAAATAAACAAAAAAAATAAAGTTTAGTAATTATACCACACAATTGTTGTTGTGTTTTGGATGATATGATGATAATAATAATAATAATAAAATTGGTATAATTATTGAATCCAGCGATGGCCGACCTCATGGTGTGTTTATATATAGATATTACTGATTGATAATACAATTTAATTGATTATTATTATTATTTAATTTTAATAAGTTTTCTATAATTATATGACATTTTTTTCGTTTCTTAATTTTTATAAATTATCGCAGAGTAATAATTAATAGTAATTTCTAGGAGATAATTATAAAATATATGAAATTGTGTTTTTTCGACAACAAAAATAAAATTTAAATTTTTTTAGCAATTTTATTTGCTAATTATCTACTGTACTGTATATAACGGTGTATAATTAAAATTAAATTATAACGGGTTATATTTGAAAGTTAACAACAAAAATTAAATCTTAATTATAAATTAGTTAATGTTTTGTACAAAACGATATACTGTACGGTTACCCAGTTATCTAATTTATATTATTAGACAGCTTATTATATACAGTATATATATATATATATATATTAGTTGTACTGTATTATATAATTAATTGTTAGTTTATTTTAATTGTTTGCTATCATTGAAAGCCATGAAATACCTACTGTGTATTAGATTCAATTGAGTGATCATTATATATATATATAATGTCATCAATTGATAGCAAACAAAAATAAATAAGTGAAAGTAGTTATCACTTAGATTGCAGACAATTTAAAATTTATTATTATTTTTAAATTGTAAAATAATATGTGTATTATCATTAGTATTATAGTAAGGATTTATTCAATATGTATATAAATTATATATATTTAGATATAGATATTATTGTCGTTTTCATAATAGATAATAATTATAATAAGCTTAACAATGTTTTTGTTTATCTATAATCAAAATAATTGAAAAGTTTAGTAGTTTTTTATATTGAATTTCAAAAACCATTACTGTATAACCCATGTTATCAATCAAGAAAAAATTGTTGTAAATTTTTTGCTTTCAGTCATATTTTATAATCTATATCAAAATATATATATATATAACTTTATATATATATATATATATCATTTTTAATTATCATATTTTGAGTATCAATTAAAAAAGGGTGTATATTATACACTGTATAATATTATATGTTTATACACCTTATATTTAGGTAAATGTTTTTTTACTAATAGTTAATATTCAAAGTTAATAAATGACCAAATAGTTAGTTAGTTAGTTATTTTAAATTATATTTTAACCAGTCGGCCATTGCTTACATCAATAATTATTTTAATTGAAAAAATTAATAATTATTTTTTCTAAAAAAAATAAAACATTTGAAACAAAAGTATTATATATATAAAATATATATGAATTGTTTTTTGATAAAAAAATGTTTATTAATAAATTATATTTTGTATAATTATAATAATAATAATAGCTATAACAAATATATATATGTATATATGTGTAATAAATAATTTATTTGTATAAATTATATTTATAAAAAAAACAAAAATATATATATAGATATAAAATTAACAATCAATTAAATTAATTTAATTATTTATTAATAATAATTATTTTATTTTATTTTTGTTGGTGAACTTTCCAGTGCCAGTGACATTTCATAACTACAAAAATCAATTGAGAAAAAGATAATAATTGTTTGTTACAAAAAAATAAATAAATAATTTCAATGAATTATCAGAGAATTTCAAGCAAAAAAAAGTATTACTGTATCGTATAGTAAGTTTAGATAATTTTTATTTATTAATTAAGATTTTCTAATATTTATTAATCTATATAATACTAATAATAGTATTTATACTGTATATTAAATGATAGATATCCTTGAATCAATAATTGCGTGAAGATTATTATTATTGGGGAAACAAATTGAAAAAAAACATAAACATTGCATACCATTGCTTATCGGTGATGACATCGATACCATTGGACTGGAACCAGATCCTGAAAATACGGGCCACTCGGGGAATGGTCGGCGTAAACGGTTTGTTCTTAATTGTCGGCATAAAACCTCTGCCTAATTGTTGTGTTTGTTGCTGTAGTGCCGTCAGCGATGCCATAACATTCTTCTGGAGCAACTGGATCTGCATTAAGATCTCGTATTGTTGCGAACACTTCTCAAAGTTTATTAATTTTACATCCGATTGTGACTATAATAGATGATAATAATAATAACAATTAATTAATTAAACAATTCATGGATAATAACGGATCATCCAATTGGGTCCACCAATTGATCATCAATTATATATTTAATATATATATATATATATACCTCAATATAATTAGGATAACGTGTGTTAATCATTGTGATATCAGTCAAAAATGTGCCCAAATATGGTATTGTTCCGCAAGACTCGTCTTCCAGACTAAATATTTTTTTTGATTGAAGATTAAGACATATTATAAGAAAAGTAAGTCAAATAGTCATTTACACCCCCCATCCTACCCATTGAGTGGTCAATTTGGTGGCAGACATATCATTACACCACCAGTACTACTACTACTGACCTCGCTTTAGACGTGCCCTCAATTATAAGCTGTGTGTGCCTTAACAGTGTCTGATTGTTGACATCGTCGACAATAGTGGACAACCATTTGAATGTGGATATCGATGCCCGGCTAAGTTTACTCCAGACGATTAGCTTCAAACGATAAATGGACTCATTTGTTAAGCCGGCTATTATTGCCTTTTATTAATTAATTAAAAAAAACAAACAAAATTTTAAATAGGTTTATAACAAACATTGCATAATTAAAAAATTTTTGCATAAAATTACTAATAATGCAACAAAAAAAACAAAATTTTAATTTCATTTTTACTTTTAATGAATTGAAATTTTTGATTTTCCTCAATTGATGGGCCACTTCAATCCAATGGGAGGCTACGATATGTGGGCTATTAAACAACAAATTTATTTATTATTTAGTTTATAAATTTAAATATAATAATTGTAAAACAATTATTTTTTAAAAAAAAATTATCGATACCTATGAGCTTTCAATATGGTTATGATTACATGTTTCGACAATTGGTTAAAATTTTTGATCATTGTTTCAATTTTTGATTTTTGACGCGAATTAGTGAGCAATGAATAGGGTTTTAGATATAAAAAGTTTTCCTAAAAAAAAATTAAAATTTTTATATTTTTTTAATTGACATTTTTGTTTTGTGTTTGTTTTTGTAAATAATTTTTTTAAGTGCATGATTTTTTTTATAAAAATTTAGTTATTGTTATTATTTTTCGATGATGTTATTTATTTAATTACAATTACAAATAATAATAATAATTAATTAATTGTTTACCAAATCAATTGCTGTGATTTGTTGGGCTATAAATCTTGGATCCAATTCCAGTACTGACGATGACTTGTTATGTGATTTCTGGTAATTTTAAAACAAAAAAAAATAATTATAATCAAAATATTTGAATAATTTAAACATTTATATATATTTTTAAAAAAAATAATTAAGTTTTGACAAACATATAACTAATTAGTTTTCTAATTAATTTTTGTTTAAATAATAATAATAATACCCAACAATTTATTTGGCAATTAATTTTGTAATCTTAAAAAAAAATTTTTGTATAGCTAACCAAAAATTCATTGCCAAATAATTATTTTTTTAAAAAAAGTGCAATTTTGCAAAAACAAATAATTGCTTAATTATTTTTTTGTTGTTGTTATTGTGTAAAATGTAATTTTAATTGTTTAAATATTTATCTATTATATATACTGTATTTTTTGGGAGTCAATGTTTTTTAACTACTATTTGATCAATTGCTTAAATTTTCTAAATTGTATGTCATTTGTTTGTTTTGTTATTTTTAGTTATAGTAGTATATATACAGTATATAGATATACAGTACAATGATATTTTTAAATTAATATTTATTATTTAAATAGTATCCCAAAAAATTTAGACAGCTTATGGTAATTATATAATTTAGTTAAACAATTTAGTTAAATAATTTTTTATTTTTGTACATTAATGTTAGTAGTATTTCTATCAATAATACATAATAGAGATTAATTTAATTTAAAGTCAAAAAATAAATAAATAAATTATAGTCATTATAATTAAATGTAATTCAATTGTTGACTGACACTGTCATCAATGAATATTTAATTAGCTAATTATTTTTAATTAGAGATTATTATTATTACTGTATTTTTTTATATTTATTTTATATAAATATACATTAGTGTAATAAAAATATCATTGAAAATGTTTTTATTTATCATCTTATAAATTGATTTACAACTAATTATATATCAAATTACCATGCTTAATTATTTTTTAAAAAATGACATTTAAAAATCTGATGATTTTTAAAAACATAATTAATTATTAAATTAATAGGATTTTCATTTTTTTACACACATTTATATTTAGTATCCAATATTGAAAATTAATGTTTGAAAAATTGAAATTATTTTTTTATCATGAACTACATAGTTATCAGCAAAAATTAAATATTTTAAATATTTAAATCAAATTTAATTACCGGTTGTAATGAATTTATTAGACTATATTAATAATAATTAGTTGAATGAAGGATACTATTTGTACATAAATAAAAAATTTAAATCAGAGCTCTATATAATAAAAAAAATTATTATTTGCTTAAACTATATAATTAATTTTTATAATAAAAAATAATTTAAATAATTACAGTAGTATATAGTTGACCAACATATTTATTACTGTATCAATTGATATCTATTTGTTGGTTAATATCAATATCAATATAGGTTGAAGTGACATAAAAAATTGTGTGTTTAACACATGTTTTTTTATATAAAAAAAAGTATTTTAATGTCAATTTATAAATTGATTTATTTTTTAGTTTATTTATTATTATCAATCAATTGATTAATTGTGTGGTCTCTTTAAATTTTTTTGAAATCATAAAAATTTTTGGTATCAGTGGGTCATATTATATGCTGTACTATAAAAACTAGTGCAATAAAACAAAAACTTAAATAACTTTATAGATAAATAAATACCTGATTTGATTGGAAAACATCCGGTGTTGGATCAGGTTTCATGTCTAATATATTCAGACATTTTTTATATATCCTTTCATCGATATTAGGTATCGATAATAGTTTGTCCACAAGAAGTATTGGCGACTTATTATTATTAGTATTATTATTAATAATAGTAGTATTAGACGATGAAACTGATGATGAATTAGCTGATGAACAACAACTGCCGCCACCATTGATGGAGCTATCAATTGAATCATATGTATTGTTGATTATCTGATTAGTATTATCACTGTCTTTGCCATCGTTTGTTGCGATGAATTCAGTTTTAAAATCTTCGCTATAGTTGTCTAACCAATAGTTTAGCAGAAAATTCAATTGTTTTTGACAACACAGTGACATATATTTTAAGATAACTGCTAACAGTTGTTGAGGAGGATGGTATTGTCGGTACGTGCAAAATAACACGTGCATAATGTGGGCCACATTATTGCGCTCCTCTTCGAGCACTTCCATTATCGGTGGCTTCGGCGGTGTCTGACTACTACTACCACCACTACTAATGTCGGTATTACTGTTGTTCGGTGTAACCAATAGTACATATTTGACGATATGATCCAAAGTGGCCGCTCTGATGGTCCGCGTTTGACGGGTTTCCCATTGAAGGCACTATTTTATGAAGAAATTAATAATAAAATTAATTTTTGTTTAAAAACTATGTATTCAATAGACATTGACAAACCTGTTGGTCATCAAACCAAGTGGTCGTACGTTTCGGTTGTTTCTTATTATTATTATTATTATTACCACTAGATGTGGATGAATCTGTTTGATCCGATCGGGTCACACAATCACTACTATTATTATCACTATTATTTAAATTGAGTCGATATATGTCATTATAGACACCAGAATAAGTGATTTTCTTTAAATAAATTGAATAAATAGAGTCTTCATTTGATTCTTCGCCCCAAAATTTTCTCAACTTTTTCTCGTTGTTCATCAGATTTCTTGATTCACCACTAGTTTTATCGCCAGTTTTATTATCGACACTTTTCGATGCCTTTTTGCGCGACGAACCCATTGTAGCCAACGATATGGTTGGAGTGGCCATCGGGACGGGTAGGGGTCGGGGCCTCTCTCTCTCTCTCTCTCTCTCTCTCTCTCTGGTGACGACTAAACACTAATATTATAATTTTTTGGACACTTTTTTCTTATATAAAAAATAAATAATATGTTTTCTGAATCAATCACTTAATTATTATTACAATTATTTATATATGAAGTGTGAATATATATTAATATATAAAATCAATGAATACATAGCAACGACTTATAAGTTGAGGAATGTTTGATAGAAAAAAATTAAATAATTTATAACAAAAATAATTTAATGATTTATTTGAATTTATTTCATTCATTCACCCAAAAAAAAAAAACAAAACAAAAACAAAAAAGTCTTCACCAAAATATATGGTGAATGGTATGTATGGCTCCTCTTCTACTACAAAGTACTTCTTAAGAGACCTGAGATTCTAGTTTTAACCATCAATTGGTTTCAGTTGTTGTTGTTTTGACAACAAATCATTGGCACTAATAGTATATATATTTAGTAAATATATTTTATTTAAGTTATTTGAGCACTTGTTTGTCGACAACCACTTGTTTCATAACTTTTTTTTTATTTATCTATATATATATAAATGTTTTTTGGGGTTAACTTTGCGTAACATTTAGTTTATAACAATTATTATTTAAGCCAAAGACGCACTCATTTTTCAAGCCATACATTCAATTCAAATCAACATTTTTTGCTCTCAATTATTGTCCAAAACTTTTTTTTTATTATTATTATTAAAATACTTTTAAACACTGATTTTTTATTTTAAAAAATAATTTATTTTATTTATTCAATTGTTTGCACACATTTGTCAAATAGTATTTAAAGAGATTAGATTTATATACACTATGTATATATATATATGTTTTATTTTGCTAACAAATGATATCATATATTTTTTTGACTGCACTGTATTGCATACATGAAGGTAACTATAGATATTACAGGTATTATTATTATTAAAAACAGGTATTCATATATTGTAGTCATAATAATAATGTATTTGCAATGTGTCTGTCAGTCATGAGTCATGACTCCCCACATATTGTATATATGATTTGGTATTACCTGTAATAATAATAATACCTGTATTTTGCTATGAGTTAAGACTATGGGATAAGCTTAGCATAGCGTAACTACATTAATACGATATCATATATACCTGTATATCAAATATCATATATATATAATATATATTTTACTTTATATACAGGTATATACATGTCTAATTATATGCAATAGGGTATAGACTTCACAACTTTTTTTGTTGGTTGGTTGAACCAACTTTTACTACCTGTGCTTATTATTAATATTATTATGCAAGTGCTTAAACAATTGATAATATATACATTAAACTTAACAACAATTTTAATTGAATATTTCATAACATGAATTTTAGTTTTTATTTAATTTATTATTTTTGTTGATGAATCGTTTTATTAAATTACAAAAATTATCATATTTTTATTTGATAGTAATTGTTTGTTAGTAATCATAATTTATTATTATTATTATTATTTTGATTTATTAATTTATACAGTTATTAATAGCAATACAGCAAATAATTCAGGGAAGTTTCTAACAGTACACTCAACTACAACACCAACAACAATAGGAAGTGTAACGTTGAGGACATGGGGTATATAAAAAATTTATATATAAATTGTCTTAAAATAATAATAATAAAAAACAGTTGCCTCGACTTCAATATATATATTTATACAATAATTTTATGAATGAGAAAAATATTTATTATTATTATTATTGTTAAATGTGTTACAAAAAAATTCTGTACATTAATTAATTTATTTATATATATATATATATATATTTATATATCTGAGAAAATTATTGATTTAACCTATTTTTATAGCAACAAAAAAACATTATATTTATAAATTTATATATATTATTATTGGAAACAAAAAGTTTTGTTGTTGTTGTTAACTTAAACATTACATAACATCAAAATCATTAATAAAAATATGAGATAAAGACAATTATATATTTAATATACTGTATATTTTTAAATATTTTTTTTAAAAATAAAAACAATTGCAATTTTTTTGAAAAAACATTGTTTTACTGTATTATATAACTACTATTAGTTGGATAAAATAAAATTTATTTTTTGAAATAATTAATCTTTTTTTTTACTTATACTTAATGGAAATTTGATACATTTTTAAAATTTGAGTGCTTTTTATATAATAATAAAAATTATCAAAAAAATATTCTATTATATTACATAATATTATATAACATTATATAACATTTTATAACATTATATAACATTTTATAACATTACATAATATTTTACAACATTATATAACATATTCTACTAAATATTATGTAATATATGTATAAAATTAAATTATCAACAAATAAATTAATTACTAAAAGTGGAAAATAACTTAATTTGAACTTAACTACTAAAATATTTTATGACTGACTATTTTTTGTCAATTTTATATTTTGTTATAAACTTGAGATCATTTAAAACTATAGAAAATATTGAATTATATATCAAATATCACAAAATTATCTATAGTTTTAAATGATCTCAAGTTTACTAAAAAAATATAAAATTGACAAAAAAAAATAGTCAGTCATAAAATATTTTAATAGTTTAGTTGAAATTTAATTTATTTTCAACTTTTAGTACTTAATTTTTTTTGATAATTTAATTTTATATACATATATTACAGAATATTATACTTATAGAATCTATGTTATAGATTATTATTATTATTTACATAGATATTTAAATTTATTTTGAAAAAAATCAATTCAATGACATAGCTATTGATGTCAATATAATCTCTAATTACAGGTAGTAGTAGTATAATAATAATAAAATGCTAATTAACGATTAATAATAATATTATTATTATTATTAACCATTGATAAAAAACAAAGTTAACTTGCGTTAGTGAAACAAAATTTTCTAAATATTGATATTATTAAAAACAATTTCAAATTACGTTAGTTGATTACGTTAATAATTAAAAATTATTTTCATAACATAAACTATATACAATATAAACATTTAGTAAATATATATATATATAGTTTAGAAATATAATAATTATTTAATATTATAATTGCATTAAGAGAATAGTTTTAATGAATGTATTCAAATTAATTTGATATCATTGTTATCATAATATTGTATTAATTTATAAATTTTTAAAGCTATTGTATTCATTTATATAAAATTGTTAATATCATATAACAGTTTATTTTTAGCAATTTTATTATTAATGATAATTATGATACTTTATATTTGTTTTGTGTTTATTGTTGTTGTGAATTGGATATAATGAGATAAATTATTCGTATATTTAATACAGAGATTTTGTTTGATTATTACAAATGATAATTTTTTTTTACACAGAATTACATATTATTATTATTATTTAATTATATGATAGACACACATATAAATACAGTATATACCAAATTTTATTACAGTATATATATTTATACGTACATTATATATATATGAATATATACAGTAGTAAATGACTCGTTAATATCGCAAAATATTATGTTTATGTTTAATTATATGTCCGTCGAGTAGCGACCAGAACTTCAATAGGTTTGCCCGATCCAAATGGCGCTTATTGCGGGACAGTTCGATAATTTCGACCGACCATTTGGCCACATTTGTGTCTAATTTCATTTCGTCAAACTTCAAGTGAAAGGCTTTAACTTTTGAGAAATGAAAAAAAACAAACAAAAAAATTAATACAAATAATCAAATTTAGTCATCCATTTGATGTTACGAATAAAAGTAAAGGACAGACACATACTTCGGGCAAATATCTCGACCGGGTTTCCATCCCATGGCCAGCCCTTGAACTGCCAGGCCGGTCCCTGGACAAATACGGCAACCACTCGATCCCTAAATAGTTTTAAATTTTAGTTTTTTATTATTATTATTAAACTTTTATTAAAAAAAACAATACAAACCAGTCATCGGAGGACAGTTTGAGCGGATTATCTATTATACGATAGGGAACACTCGTGCCATCCGTTTTGCGCCTCTGTATTAGTATCTCGTTTTCACGTCTCTGTTCGCCAGTCTTATGGTCGACAAACTTGAGCTCCTGGAGTATGGACTTTGCATTGTACATCGATATCAGTGATGTAGTAGTGGCCGGTATTATGATAATCGGTGTCCTAGAGGTTCGCTTCTGTAGTTTCGGTTGCGACGAACTATTACTGTGCGAATGGTGTTGCGATTGATGTATATTTGGTTTGATATCAGGTGTTGCTGTTTTCGGCTGAGCCGATCCTTCGGTTACACTTTTCAGTGTCAATCCGTGATAGGTTCCAGTGGTGTCAATTCGGAAGCCGACGGTATCATTCTTGGCAAACCTTTCCTGATCGTAACGATTGTACTGTTGTTGAGACGAAGCCGACTGTTGCTGTTGTTGTTGCTGTTGGGCCGAAGTGGCTGATGGTGTGATCTTCGGTATGCTTGAGTTTGCTATATTGGATATTCAGAGATAACACAAAACAATTGTTTTTTTAGTTAATTTAGACATTTTGCGACCAATTCATCCGACAATAATACCATTATGTCCGGCGCTTATCTGTGTATTGGGTTTTTTGTGGGAACTGTGTCCGTCCTCACGTAGTTTAATCGATTGTAAAGTCGGAAATATAGATTTTTGAAAATTCTGGCCACAAAAAAAACAATAATAATACCGTATTAAACAATTTTTTTGTGGATAATTAAAACAAAAATATTGGTTTAAAAACTAGTAGTCAGTCAAGCAGTCTGTTTGTGCACACCTTTACAGTTGATTGCAATATATTAGTCCTATTTCTCCAAATTCTTTCTTTAGTCTGTATTTCTCGGGTAAAGTTGGAGTCGTATTGAAGCAAAACCGAGTGTACATTTGGTGCACTCATTGTACCGCTAAATAAATTTTGTAAAAATTCAATTAAATTGATTACTGATAAAATGAAATTTTTTTAAAAATCATCAAAAAAGACAAATACCTCAATGAGTTTTGATTGACTTCGAGGTCGGTGTCGGCGTCAATGATTGTACTTCTCTTTTTGGCCAATCGTTTAGCCTTTAAAATTACAAATCATAACATCAGTTAACGATAAAAACAAAAAAATTTAAATCTAAAGGTAGGGTATGTTGTGGTAGAGATAAACCCCAAATCAATCAATCAATGAATTATTTGATTGCAGTCATACCTTGAGTGCAGCGATTTGATCGTTACTCATGGCATCTCTCAGTGACTTTTCGCCCGGAGCTCCCGGCAATATAGACGATGGCAACGGTTTCTTGAATTTCGGTGCATCCAATCGGGCGGCAAACTGTTTGCGTACTTTTTCCATTTCGTCCATTCGGGCCAACTTATTGGGCGTAGCTTCGGAATCGTTACCCGACAATCCATGGCCGGATAGTGTTGCCGATGCAGACGCTGCCGAAATTAATTCCGATTTCTGCAGTACAACAACAACAACCAAAAAACATACCGTTTAAAGACATGAATAAAAACAGATGTCTTTTTTCAAAAAAAAAATCGTAAACTAACTGACCAATTGTGAGGCCGAAATTGGCAGTTCAATGGGTGCGCTCTTGTCTATCGAGGCAGTGGTAGCTGTTTCGCCGCACAAATACGATAACAAGTCTTTACGATCCGGCCGTTGGACGACTGTAACAAACAAACAAACAAAAAGCCAATTGAATCAACCAATCAAATCAATCATCACAAGTGTCAGTGACCACAAACCGGGTATCTTTTCAGAGGCCGCTTGTTTGACATAAGTTGGATGTTGTAGTTGAATATTCTTCAAGAAGTAGAGAAGACATTCCAGTGTATAGTATTCTTTGGGTCCTTCGCGGGAACTGATCATCAAATCATCCAATGGTTAGAACAAGTGATTACAAACCACATACACAACACCACTGTCGATAGCGGTGGACATACCTTTCCGATGTGTACTTCAAGTAATTAGTTTTGACAGTCTTTGGCCAACAATATTCACCGAAACAGATCAGATTGTTCTTCTCGATTATCTCCTTCTTGTTTACGTTGTACTGACGCAACAGCGACAGTGGATCAGCCATTGTGTCTCAGATGGTGGTCAATACAACAACAATGACAACAACGATAACTTCTTGTAATCGGCGGGAAATCGGTGGTCAAAACCAGTGGCGCCGAAACACAATGTGTTGAGAGAGAGACAACCGATTCAATTGAAAACAAATGCTTTTTTTGATATTAATATTAAAAACATTAAAATAATAGACTGTTTTGTAAATGCATTGCAAACGCCATCCAATGCTAACAATTTTTAGCCACACTTTTGGCGCTATTTTTCAAATAAACTAAAATTTTTAGGTTTTTTTTAAATAAAAATAAAGTCATTTCATTACTTTATTATTATTATTATAATTATTGTAAATTATAATTAAATTTATTGTATATTTAATGAATTATATATATATAATTGTCGTTAAGAGTTAACAATTCATTATTTTTATTATAATTTTTTAATAATGATATAAATTATGTAAATAATTAATAAAATAAATAAAACTAATATTTATTGGGTAATAATCATTTGAGATAATCTCGTATAATATATGGTTATCGGTGTATAATTTATTGTGATTTTATTTAATAAAATAATTAAAATTTAAAAAAAATATATATATATATATATATAAATAAAATGCAATCAATTAATTAAAAAAAAACTTTTTATAAAAAAGACATAATTAAGTTGTCGTAAAATATATCACAAATCTATTTCATTGAATTCAAAAACTTTTGTTCTTCGCCACGAATCTTAAGTTTTATGTCTGACAGAGACGTCTCCTCTTTGATCTGTAAAATAAATAAAAATAAAAAAAATGAAAATAAATTATTAAATGAAAATAACATTAAATTTTTAAATAATAACAACTAAAATAGTCAAATACATCAACAATAGATGTCTTGGCGTAAGATATTTGTCCACATTTAGCGCAGGGCTTGACTGGCATTAGACTATTGAAGGTATAGCTCCGGTGTTTACATTTCTGGCATCTGAAGAACCGTTTGGTTGCCGTATGTCTGCTTAGTTTATGACGATTTTTCTTACATAAATCCGATGCCGAATGAGCCGTATATTTGCATTGTTGACAACTGACGACTTGACACTGCATTTCGAAAATATCGGACAATTTGTTTTCAATTTTTTCTTTTTTCTCCATATTATTGAAATATTTTTCCTGAGCTTCGGCTTCAGCGAAATCGCCGGCTTTTTCGTTAATCGATTTGCGACTCAAAGCTCTATCGATTAATTCGGATCTAAGTTTCTTTGCTTTCGCTTCCCGTTCATCGGCGGTTGTGTTGGCGTCGCCGTCGGTCTTATCGGTAACACTCAAATCGCAATCAATTTTCGACTTAATCCGATCGAGTGATCGCTTATTGCTTATCGGTTTAACTTTATTTGGATCAACTTTTTCAAGTGGTTTTTGTTTCAGTTTCTGAATTGCTCTCAATCTTGCATCCGATTTACGACTCAAATCAATCATTTCGCCATTTTTGTAGCCTTTGGCCATAACAGGTACCGAAAACTGTTTTAAACCCAAACTATTTGTCTCTTTTTTAGTAATCGAATTGAACACATCTTTGGCCGAAAAGGGAGTATTGCCAGACGTTTTGCTATCTGACGAGGTTTTAGTGGATTCGCTCAGCGAAAGTGCAAAATTCTTGGCCGCCTTTGATAAGGGATTTTTGATAACTTTTGATAGGGTTTTGTTTTCATTGGCTTTTTTGGCCATCAATTCTGTCGACTTCATGACTTTGGTCTCAATAATCGGCGCGTCTTTGCGTTCGCCATCCATGAAAGCGTTGGCAAAGAATGTATTATTCTTCTGAGAATTGTTTGCCAAATATTTATTGGGTTCACAATTGGAAAAATTCATCTGAATATCCGATCGACGAGAACTGAACATTTTGTAAGCATTTTTTATATGATAGTCGCAAAAGTCTTCGGTGGCCAAATTGATTAGTGCACCGCAAACTTCTCGATTTTTCTTAACGGCTCTACAAAACCCGAGATCTTTAGCTGTTCCCAATACCAACAGTTTGGAACTGTGATCGATAGTCAACGAACAGATCTCATTCTTGTTGCCGTATTTACCACTATTTTTGTTGTTATCGTCCATTTTGTTGTCCATTAGACGTGAATTCAATAGACCGACAACAGTGCCAACAGTTAGCTTCCAGTGTTCGCTGTGAACGGCGCCGAACAAGAAGAACGAAACAACATTTTTTGTCTTCAGATCACTTAACTTCCAAATTGAATAATGATTTCCATTTTTACTTGTTTTTGGCGCCATTTTGTTGACAATCACACCGATTGTCACCCAATCACCTTCGATATCGTTGGTCTGTTTATTGATGTGCGACTTAATTAAAGACATTTTGATCATCTGTCGGCCGTTCATCAGTTCCGACATTCGTTGACTCGAAACCAATGGATTTTTCAGACGAATACCGGAGAAAACGTCGCGAAGAATTGTTTCATCAGTTTTATCATTCAGTTTGTTGTTGTTTTCATTAGTCGTCTTCTTGTTTTCTGTCCAAACATTTTTCTGTCGATTTTTGTTACCTTTGTTTTCAAACAATGAAACGCTGGACAACAACGACGATGACGTCGACGACTGTTCGTTACCACTCTTTAGATTACTTTCAATCAACTGTCCCTCTCGTGTCAAATGACTGTTGTTGTCTTCAGCTAATTCGTCATCACTTATATCGCCGCCAAACACTTCCAAAACACATTTGGCTAAGAGATCATTGTTGTTGTTCTTGTTTGCAGATCCACTGGCTATGGCTTTGTCGGCGACACCGAAAATATCTGTATTGTCATCAATGAGTCTCAACACTTTTTGGCTACTCTTGTTTTGACTGTCGATGTTTGGCTGACGACAATCACCAGCGTCGCCGCCGCCGCCATCAGCTGTCTCGTTGATGGACTGACTTCCTGATTGCTCAACACTATCGCTGCCATCATCATCACCATTGATCAGATCCAAAATTTGATCGGCAAACATATCTTCATTATCATCATCGCCGACAAAATCAGTGGTAACTAACGTATTGTCCATAACTTTTTTTTGTGGATAGTTTCGCGCGCCGGATATCAACCAATTATTTGTCGGACAAAATCCAAAAACAAGAAAAGATCTTAATATCACTAGTTGTCGGGTCGGATGTAATGTCAAAATTGGTGGTCAAAAAATTTGTCGGTCATCGGCGGTCGGTCTTCACGTATGTGTTGTCTGTCTGTCTGTCTCTCTCTCTCAGAGTTGTTGTTGTGTTTTAAGCGCCAAAAAAAACTTTGTGTCAAATGTTTGTGTTTACAGTCATATAACAAGTCATACAATAAATAATGTTTTTTTTGGGGTTTATTATTGGTATTTAATAGACAAATGTGTTGATTGGCTATCAATGAATGGCAGCAATAATATCTGTTTAGTAGTAGTTATACCTGTAGTGCAGTAAACGCATACATCAAACACAATACAATACAACACTATATAACAGGTATATATTGAATGCCATTAATAATATACAGTACAGTATATATACAGTATTATATGTATTTAGGGGAGAGATTTTAAAAACTATTGAATTACCTGTACGTATAATATATACCTGTATATATATATTGAGTGCAAAAATGCAATGATTGAATGCCAAGAGAGAGAGAGAGAGAGAGAGAGAGAGAGAGAGAGAGAGAGAGAAAAGTAATATAATATTATTATTGTCACTAATTATATGTTTTTATCTTTATATATATATTGTATGTATGCATAGGTCTATTGGGTGATCCCATTGCTAAGTCTTTGCAACAAAAAAATCTCTTGGGATGTGTCGGTGAAAATGAAAATGCATTTCTTGAGAAATCCCAATGAAATCATAAAATAAAAATATTTAAAAGAAGAGAAGAAGAAAAAGTTTTCAGAAATATTTAAATATAAAAAAGATATAAATAATAATATAATAATAACTTTTTGAAATAATATCATTATATATATATATATATATATATAGTATATATATATATAAAAAGAGAGAGAGAAGATTTTTTTATTTCAATTTTATTATTTCTATGAAATAAATGATAATATGATATATCAATTAAGCAATTATTATTATTTTTGACAAACAATTTTCTGTTTAAATAGTTATATTTAAAGGTATTTAAGTAGTAATAAATTATCATAAAATATATATACATTTTTATGTCCCATTTGATAAAACTAAAAGTTTGTTATTTTCTAAAAAAAAAAGAAAATAAAAGTAATATAAAGAGATTTTAGTGTTTGTTTTAACTATACACTAGAGATACTGTATACAGATATATATCCAATAATAATACTAATAAGTAATTATAAATAAATTAGTTTTCGGACGCTCTTTGAAATACACTTTGAAAGTCAAACACACAAAAATCATTGGTTTATGTATAGTATTTTTGGTGATATTTATTTTTGTTGGGAAACTTAATGTTTAAAAACTTTTTCTCTCGTTTTTCTGATAAAAGTTTTGTCTCTCTCTTTCTCTCTCTCTCTCTCTCTCTCTCTCTCTCTCTCTCTYTCTCTCTCACTGTTGAAAATTGACTGTTATTATTATGAATGCTTAATAAGGGCTGTAAAGTGCGGTCTAATGGTAGGAACGGCTCCACTCTATTATCACAAATACATTAAAAACTTTATTTTAAAAGGAGGCGACAGACTTGAGGCTATATTTTTGCCCAAAAACGATGGCTATGTTATGTGTATGTATGTATGTGTACTCCTTTTCCAGTGCCACTGCTCTAACCGTCCCCTTATACATAGGTATAGGTATGTATATATATAGGTGATAGCAAAAGAGCCATACGTTTGTTATCGACAGACTTGCCCTTCAAATGGTTATTTCATTTTACTTTGGCTCTCCTTCTCTCTCTCTCTTCACTCTCAACAGTGGCGTTGACAATACCATTGATGCCGAAGAAGACATTTACAGTATATATATATATATAGTATCCTAAACAACAAAATCCTGATTTTTTTGCCGTCGAATTTCACATCATTTACAAACTAAAAGAAGAATTCAATAGAGAAAAGAGTTTTGTATAGCAAAGAGAGAGAGAGAGAAAAATAAAAATAAAAAATGATTTGCAAATAATTGTTGGCAACAATACACTAACCATCTCTTATATATATATATATATATATATATATATATATATATTATCCATTCATTCATTCATTTCTAGTCTTTATATTATATATATATCATAATAAATATAATAATACAAAAAATTGACAAAGACTTTGAAGATGAAAAAAGAAGAAAAAAAAAACTTTAATAATGATTATTGTATTCAATTTTTTTTAATACACAATCGAGAGTCTCTCTAATCGATGGCTCCGCCACTCACTCAGCGTCTATATGTATGTGTGTTGGCAGTGAAATCTCAGTACAGAAAAGCATTACATTAGACACTGTATCTGACAGTGCCTTAGAGAGACTATCTGGAAAAAAGCGTACCTGAAGTACCTGTTCAGGTAATCATAGGGTTCAATGCCTCCAATGCATGAGTCTATCTATCTCTCTCTCTCCTCTCTATCTGTTCCCCTCTCTTTCGAGCACTGGCTGGTGGACTGGTGGCTTGTATACTGTATATATCGTGTGTAATAGCCCAGTGCTTAAATTCCTAGGCATGTATTAGGTGGTCGATCCGGTCCAACTGCTTGGATATCACGGCCCGCATTGAGAGAGAGAGAGAGAGAGAGAGAGAGAGAGACCTATGACTGATAACACAAAATTGCAAATGGCTTGCAATGGCTTTTCTCTCATCGCTTAAGAGGAGAGAGAGAGAGAGAGAGAGAAATAACTTTTTTTTTCTTGAAACTCGAGTGACAATCAATGCCTTTCCGGACACAACTTTTTTTTAACAAATATATACATATATACTGAATATATAGTATATATATATACAAAAAATATATAGTGATGTGTGTGTGAACTGTGAATTTTATACCTGAAAAATATTTTTGTATTTCTATCGTAAACCCAAATATTTTTGTTGGTGTTATCAATGATTTTGTTTGGTGTGTATGTGTGTAGGCATTCATAGCCCAACCAAACATACAAAAATATTTCTCATCATTACTTGAAATGTTGTTTCAATATAGTTTTAAACGTATCCAAATAATATAATAATAATAATTGAATATATATTTTATTGAAAAATCACAAATAATTAATTCATTTTTTAATCTCATTGTGTCTGTGTATGTCATTATGATATTATTATTATACTGTCGATTAAGTCGATTGATTGATTGGTTTTGATTTATTATATGATTAATTTAAATGCCATATGAATTAGTAGTTATTTTTTTCAACAATTATTGTGTAATTTGTTAAGTCAACCCAAAAAAAATCAAATCAACATTTTTTTGACATAAATTCTTGTGATTATATATTAATATATTTATGATATATATTTATAGAGTATGTATAAAGCAATTAAATAAATTGACAAAAAATAATAAATTGACAAAAAAATAAATATGTATTGTTTGTCGGATAACAGCAACAAGTGTTAAGAATCAAATTAAATCAAAATTATTATTATAATAGTTATAATAATAATAAGTGATGACAAATAATAATAAGTTGTGATAATTAATACAATTTCAATTAATCAAAAAAATATTTATATATATATATTTAAAAATGTTAAGACAATATCGACAATGTATATCCAAAATGTCAAACACAATATGTTTGCTAGTGTTGGCCAAACTGTTGGCGGCGATTGTTGGCGTCAAATATGTTGACTGTTGGTCTATACAGGACGGCGGCGGTATTGCCGCTGCCCTACAATCGGATCAGATTGAACTAAATTTTTCGGTACTCGAGGGCGTACCCAATGGTACGCTAATAGGTGTTATCCGATCGCCCAATTCATCGGTTAATATACAGCCACCCTATCTGATAGTACCCGTACCGGGCGGTTCGCACAAATCAAACACATCCACGTCGTCCAATCACATGTTATCGTCGGCGTCCGGCAATACCGGTCGTCGTGGGGGTACCGCAGGCGGCGGCAGCAGCGGTAGTGTCGATACAGATCTATCTATCGATCAGACAACTGGCGAGATAAGGACAGCCGTGCCATTAGATCGGGAAGAGCGCAGCTATTATTCATTTATTGCATTACCAATAAGTGGTGCCGTTATTAAAGTCACGATTGTGAGTCCAATTATTATATAATAAACTATAATATTACTCTTTTTATATATATATTTAGTATTTAATGACTTTTTTAATATAATTTTCTTGAATAACAACAAAATAATAATAAAATACTTAATCTTTTATTACAATTATTGTCTGTTTGCAGACTATTGAAGATATTAATGATAATTCACCAAAATTTCCAACAAAAGTTATCGATCTGGAGTTTCCTGAAAATAGTAAACCCAATAACGTTAAGCGCACACTACCACCAGCCAGGGATCTGGACTTAGGTCGGTATCAATTATATTGTATAATATACCCACTAATTATTATCCATATTACTAGTAATAGTAGTGATACCACAACTAGTAATTTAAAATAATTATTTTGCTAACTCTTTGAATTATTTCAGGCAAATTTGGTACACAAAAGTACCGAATAGTTTCGGGTAATATTGGCAATGCTTTTCGTTTGCTAAGTCATCGGGAAAAAGATGATGTACTATATCTGGATCTTCAAGTTAATGGACCACTTGATAGGGAAACCATTTCAAACTATACGCTGGTTATCGAAGCCCTTGATGGCGGACAGCCACAGCTCAGGGATGAGATGACCGTTAGGATTGCAATTGTATGACTCAAATCATTAAAATATTTTTAAAGTGCTATAAATAATTAATTTTGATTTTATAATTGATTAGTTGGATCACAACGACTGCGAACCAGTATTCAGCGAAAGTCATTATTACGGAACAGTTGCTGAAAACGTTACAATTGGCAGTCCATTGTTGAGAGTAGTGGCCACCGATAGTGACCAAGGAGACAATGGACTGGTCACCTATTCGTTACATAGTAAACCACTATCGGGTTTATCACCTTATTTCGAGATCGACAAACACAACGGCTGGATATTTGTGGTCAAAGCCTTGGACTTTGAGACCAAAGAGATACACGAATTGGTTGTCATTGCCAGAGATTCTGGCGCTCAGCCACTCGAGACATCGGCATTGGTGTCCATACGGATTACGGATGTCAACGACAATCAGCCGACATTTAGTCTGCTATTTTTGACCGAAAATGCCAGACCAGAGATACCGGAAAATGCCAAAATCGGCGATCTGGTGGCCAGAGTTTCGGTCAACGATGCCGACTCCAGTGACTTTTCAGTCAATTCGCAAACTAACGACCAAATGAATAGGTTGTCAGTTTCGCTGACGGGAAATGATCACAGTTTTGGTTTGACCACTCAGGACAATGTTATTTATATGATTGTAGTTACCGGTCCACTGGATCGCCAACTGAAAGCCAAATACAATCTGACAGTCATTGTTACCGATCAGGGAAGTCCACCGTTGAATAAGACATCGAGTTTTGAATTGGAAATAATGGAAATCAGCGACACACCAAGTCATCCGCATATTGATCCGCATAATTCACGGGAGACAATACACCATACGATACAATCGGGCGGCGGCAACGACAATGACCACAACAACTATCCGAGTACACTGACCACTGATCATCGTATGGCATCAAATCCAACATCATATTCAAGATCACCACATTTGACGCATACATATAACACAACGCTTATGTCATCGGAAACTACACCACCATTGGATCTACCGGTTCTCGGAGCGTCCAATTCGACACAATTGATTGGGCTATCATCAAACAACACGACAGTACAATCGGGTACATCATATTTGGGTGTATCAACCAGTTCGCCATCACTGCCCGGTTGGATACTGTTTCTGATAGTACTGCTAATGTTGACCACTATTGTACTGATGGCTAGCATTGTGGTTATCTGTCTGAATCAACATCAACAACAACAGCAAATCATGTCGGATCACATCCGTAATATAGGACCGCATAATGTTGGCTCATTTCTCCAGAAGATCGGACCAATTGGTTCGCCCAATCACAGCGATCTGACCTATCATTCACATCATACGTCAAGCTATGGTACGACACCTCAGGCACCGCCACCCTGTTATAATGATCTAACATTGCAATCGTCGGCAGTGTTGGCGGCCACTGCCGAAGGACATTCTGCCTCAAGCGGACGCGGTTCGGCTGAAGACGACGTCGAGGCGGACATCGAAGATGTAGACGAAGAAATTCGAATGATTAACGAAAGCGGAAACTATTATACCGATGAAGAAGACCGAGATGTGACCACAACGGCTGAATACTTGGCCCGACTCGGAGTTATCAATCATCACGAAGAAGAACGCGAAGAGTCGTCCATAGCTGTTGAAGACGAAGAAGAAGGAGTTATTTTGGATCAAATGAATAATATAATCGATAGTTCGTTAAGTATTAATAATATCAATACTAAAGGCCAGTCCTCCTCCAGCAGACATCACATGTCCAGTGGTAGCCAGTCTTGCGGTTCGATGAGTTCGATATTGCATTCGGAAGAAGAACTCAGTGGTTCCTATAATTGGGATTATCTGCAAAATTGGGGACCAAAATATCTGCCACTGTCGTCAGTATTTGCAGAAATTGCTAGACTTAAAGCAAATTCAAATAATGCTGACCAACATCAGCAGCAACACCAACAACAACTACAGTTTCAGCTACAACTACAACAACATCTTCAACAACAACAACACCAACAACAAGATATGATGCAAACCATTGAACCTCAGATGATAAGAGTTGTGGAGAATGCGTCCATCAGGAGTAGCTCATCGACTACATCGTCATCTCATAATAGACACCAATTACAGCAACAACAACAACAACAGCAGCAGCAGACAGCTGTAGTGAATAGCAATCATCATCAGATGATACCGTCATCACTGGTACATCAATTACATATCAACGGAAGCAGCGGTGGCGGCGGCTTTCAGCCGATGCAGTCATCATCAGTGAATTGTTCGCCAAATATTGACAATAATAGTAGTAGTGGTGACACAAATCCCGATACAAACAATGCAATGTCTATGGATCAAGAAATTACCATTTGATCCATAATAAAGTTATCATTTTTTTGGCCATTCATTCAAAGAGTTCCTTCAGAGAAACACAACAAACAAACAAATCTAATGATTAGATTCGAGTTATGTTTAAAAAAAAAAAAATCGAGAAATTAATAATTTATATAATTATTTGTGTGTGTAATGTGTGTATGTATATAGTGTTCATTAATTTAATTAATTTTTTTTAAAAAAAAGATATTTTTTTGATGATAAAAACAAAGTTTAAATGTTATATAAAATAAATAAATAAAAATATTAAATTTAATTAATAAAATAAAATAAAATTTATAAATAAATTAATAAATTATTTAAGTATAAATACCAATTAAATATTTTTTTAAATGTATAAATTAATAATTTATCAAGGTTAATTTGAAAGTCAAAAATAAGTTATTCAAAATTTTTTTTTATAGATAAATTGATAAGTTAATAAGTAAATGATATATACAGTATACGAAAAAAAATTTATATTGATTAGTTTGATAATTTAGTGTCTAATTTAATAGTTTACTGTATTAAAAAAAAATTATACTGTATTATACAGTACAGTAAAATGTTATATCAATATAAAGTTCAAATATGTTAATCGATTTTTAATAATCAATAATTTCCAAAAAACTATTCCAATAATTCCAATAATTATCAATTAAAAACAACAAAATATTATAAAATTATACTAAAATTAAATATTAAAATAAGTTTAAATTATTACTTTACATGACTGAATATTTATACCGTATATTGAATAATACGTACAATAAATAAAATTTTAAACATGAATATGTTATATTATAAACAGTAGTATCAAATAAATTTATATTACTTATGAAATAAATAAATAAAATAATTTAATCATTTCTAGATCTTAGTTAAATTTTAGTTAATACTGTAGTAGTACTCTATGTAATACATACTAAATTACATGTATATTGAATTTTATCTACTAATTAAATAAAATAGTTTTTATAAGTTAGAATATATCATGTATATTATACAGTATTTCAAAAAATTATATATATATATATACAGTATATGTAAAGTATAAATACATTATATTAGAAAATACTTTATATTTGAGATATATTTCACTTAAATGGGTAATAATTTAATTATCAAATAGACTTAAATTTAACATTTTTGCCATTTATAAGAAATTATTCACTTTCTATAAGTTTATTACTTTTTTTCAAATAACTGCCGACTATTTTATGGGTCAATCTATTGACGTACCGGTAAATCCCTATATAAGGTATAGCACCTGACAATACCTTTTATGCTCCGATATGCCAGTGTTTCACACGACTGCAATATATTAACTACAAATGAATAAAATTATATATATATAAACTCTATATAATAGTTATATTTAATTAACAAATACACTAATTTTAAATGAAATATAAATTCAGTACAATTAGTACTTTAAAAAAAACTATAGTCAACAACAAAAATATCATTTATGTGTAATTTACAGTACATATGGTTAGTTATTATTTACATACCCGTCCTTTCTATAATATTTCAATTTGAAATTTATAAAAAAAATTGCTGACCAATTGACCGGGAAAACAAAATATCCCGGGTTTTTTTCGGGGGCTCAAAATAAGTAGTAGAAATTTACAATAAACATACAAAACAAGTTTTAAACAACAATTTAAAAATAATTTATATATAATTTTTTTTGTTTAGTTTAAAATTTAAAAGTTATATACAATTTATAAAATTATTTTTTAGATATAATTTGTGTGTGTTTTTGTTTTGTGTGTATTTTTTGTAGTTGTTTTGTAATAAATTGAAATAACAAAAATTTTGTGTTTGTTTATACTATATATATATATAATGTGTAAGTATAATAAACTTTATAATATCTTTATGTAATAATAATGATTCACAAATGATTCACAATAATATAAAAAATGATTCAATCAATTAAATTAAAGGACAAAAATATTTTTTTTAAGTATATATTTTCAATAGTCATCAGAAAATTGTTTGATTGATTTTTTTTGTTAGAAAAAAAATATTATAATCATAAATTCATTTAAATCATTTCAATAATGATTTAAAAATTTTATATAATATTAATTAATTATATATAATATAATTTTAATATACAGTATATATATATAACAATGTTTGTCACACACAATAGAGAGCACAAAAAATTTGTATTATAATTAATTTAAAAATAATCATATTTTTTGTATTTATGGGTAAATTTTGTGTAATAATATAAAAGTTTTCAAATGGCAGTTCTTGTTTGACATATATAATAATTATAATAATAATAATAAGTATATTAATTAACTATTAAATATACATATAATTTATAATAATAATAATAATATATAAGAAATAAAAATACAAAACAAAAAAAACTATTACTATATAATATATATATAAATATAATATAAACACCAGTTATATGTTTGGCACAGAGAGATAGAGAGTGTCAGAGAGATAGAGATAACAATTAATAATTAATTATATAATATAATTCAGATTATTTTAATTATAATAATAATAATAAGCGTCAAAATATACAAAAATCAAAGTATAGTTTCCAATTGGTTAGCGTTGGGCTCATTGGCACCGGTTTTGTCTTCATCTTTGTCTTTGTCATCATTGTCGTCGTCGTCGTTATCGGTGGCGACCATCGATGGTTTGATGTCGTCGTTAAATTGAATTTCCGGTGCCTTATACCAGACAATGGCGTCGACAATGAAGGCGGCAAACATAATCAGTGCAGTGACCCCGTGAAATACCCGGCGAAACTTTACCGGATCGTAGATACGACAGGCGCCACGTTTGCCGCAATCGCCCTCCCAGAACAAACAGGCACTGTCCACTACGGCACCGTATATGATCGGACAGGGAACGTTACCTATACATATATATGTACAAACAAATTAATTAGTAATACTGTTCCCAATTATAAAATAATTGTCAATTAATATGTCATATATATATATATATAGTATATACTACTAACCAAAGAGCCCGATGGCAAACGATATGAGACCCAATGCCATGGCTTTATCCTGAGGGTCGACACATCTATGAGTAAATCGCAAAAATCAATTAAATTATACACCAATAGAAAAATTATTAATGGTTATGATTATTATTACACACACACACACACACACACATACCTGAGCGTAAGCAACATTGATCCCACTTCGGATGTCGAGTGTATTAAGACAAACAACGAAAATATAATGATATACCAGACGAGGTTATTGCACTCCAGAGGACACGAGCCATTCTTGGCCGTCACGTTTGGCTCAAGGCATCGACAGTTTGAATATACAAACTGTTTATATATATGAATTGTGCGATACATTCAATGAAAAAAAAACGGTAAGGTTTTATATATAGTATATATTACGGGGGTTAGGTATTTAATAACTAATTTAATAATAATATTTTCAATAGATATATATGTATGTATTGATATATTGATGTAATTACCTCATCGTTTATGGATAAGTTAACCGATTGACAGCCGGCCAAACAGGGAGATATGTATGTAATACCGGTGCTCGTACATATTGGCGAGTATTGGCCAGTTGGACACGAACACTCCAGGGAACAGCTGCCGGCCATCGATGTATTTTCATATTGTTCACTAAAAAAAATAATTTTACAAATAATTAGTAACAAACAAAAAGTTAGTAAATAATTTTTTTTATATATAAAAATGTTGTCAACAAACCTGTTAACATTTAGACCGACAAAGTTGTTTAGTGGACAGCCTAAAAACATTAGTATAACCATACCGATAGCGTATAGTAATGCTGCCAATGCTATCCATCGGGCAACAAATCGGGCATTTGGCTTATACTTTCTCATAAAGGAACCGCTAGCAAATATGCCGATTCCCATAACAAAAATACCGGCCATACCGGCTATCATATTGGCTTTGGTAGCTGTCAACTGAAACTGACTTTCCAGATATTTCGGTAGAAACGTATACAAACCGGCGATCGGCAGTATATGCAAAACGCTTGAAGCCGTCCGACACAATAGTATCTTATTTTTCAGTAACCGTTTCATGGCTTTCGGAAAGTCCTTAAGACTAGGTTTTTGGTTTTTCTTGTTCTGCTTCATCATCAGCATCACTGCCAACTCATTGTCCATTTGGTCCGACAATTGTTTATCAATTGTTACGTTTGTTGAGTCGCCGCCGGTTGTAGTTAACGATTTGTTGCCATTTGTTGTGGCCATCAGTAGCTTCTGGTGTTCTAATAGGCTGTTCTGTTGCTGTATGTGACAGTAGGAGCTGGGATCGGGTTGAGGTAGTCGTCTGGGAAACACCATCATCGGCAATGAGGTAAGTGCCAGCGATATGCCAATAATAAATACGCCTAACCACCTATGATACACACAAAAATTTAGTTAATTAATTTAATTGCTAATATATTAAAAGTTATCAAGATAGTTTTATTTATATATAAATGAGAGGACAGGTAGATACTAACCATGCGCCTATCCATTGTGGATCGTTAGGTGTCAAAGTTGATGATGCTAACAAAAATATAATAAATTTGGTGCGACCAAAAAAAATTAATTACCGTATAATAAGGGGTAAATTATTTATCATTAATGTTTTATGTGAGAAAATAAATATATGAATAAAAAAATAATTAATATTTTAAAACTATTAGCAAAAAACTATTTTAACTAAACTATTGAATGTTAAGCTTTGTTTCAATTAAAAAAAATTTTATAATATAGTTTATAATTAAATCACATGAATAACTTAATCTACATAAACACATGTTTCAAATTTATAAGTAGTAGTAGTAGTAGTATATCAAGAGATAATCAGTGCATTTGTGAATCACCTAAAAGTAGGACAGTGCTGAGTGTGTGTGTGTGTGTGTGACTAAAGAGGTTATATACTGGTATATCATAGTATAAAGTGGTAAAAGTGTTGGACATAACTGGAGAGAGAGAGAGAGAGAGAGAGAGAGAGAAACGGGGTCTGAGATGGTATTTCTAGTTGTTGAGTATTTTCCTAACTGTTGCCAACCGGGTAGGGGATACACATGTGTTGGTATGTATGAACTAATACTGATCCCATCAGCTGTTTTATTAAGTAACAGTGTCAACAATACATACCAAACTTGTATGCAAAGTGTGTGTATGTTTTTTGTTGTTGGTTATTTGGTATGACTTACCGAACGGGAATTCCACAGAAACACTGGTACAGATAGATCCCAATAAAAATCCACAAACCGGACCAAAGATACGGACTCCTATTGTAATACCTGTTGGGGTTTTGTTGTTGTTGTTGTTGGAGATTATGTAAAGAGATTATTATTGTTAGTGTTTTATATATATATATATAATTTACTAATTTTTATGCAATATTATATAATTATCAAAACAACAAAAATATTGGTCACATTTTTTTGTTGGTTAAATCTTGTGATTGTTTATATTAACAAACAAAAAATGAGATAATTATTATCTAAGTTATTAAAGAGAATATATATACAGTATATATATTGAGAAAATCGTTATTATATTATATAATAAACTATTTTTTAATAGACTGTATTGAATATTTTATTTTTTTAATTAGGTTCATTTAGTTAAACAAAAAATTGTTATGTTGACATAATAGCATTTTTTCAACAACAAAATTATTATTATTAAAAATTTATTTAATTGATAAAATTCCTGTTTACAAACAAGCATTATAATTTTTAGTTATAAATATTATATAATTTATAGTGGAAAAAGATATTTGTTTAAAAATATTGATTATATAATAAACTTTTTCCCCATTATATTGAATAATGTTTTTTTCCTAGGTACATTAGCTAATTAACAAATTGTTGACAATATATATATATATATACTGTATATTGTTTTTGTCAATAGCAACAACAAAAACAATATTATTATAATAATCATTAAAAATTTATTTAATTAATAAAACGCCTGTCACAAACAAGTATTATATAAAATTATAAATTCATTTATATATATATATATATATATATATATTACAGTAAATTTTAATGATTATATCTAAAAATATCTCAGGTATCGATTAAAACTTTTTTTTATAAATATTTTATAATATATATAAGCGAAATAAATTACTGTTAAATAACCTAACATGTATATCTTAAATGTAAAAAATACTATAGCCAGGATAATTGACATTTAATTTCAAATATATAAACTAAACAGTGTATTAATATATTAGCAAAAATATTTATAATAATAATACTAATAATAAAAATAGATTTGACGTTTAAAATAAAGAGGGCTAAAAATAAATACTCAATTATATTAATATAAATAACACATGTATTAATATATAATATACTGTATATATATATTGAATATATAAATAAATTGAGAAACAATACCGAAATAGAGGGGCGATTCCTTTGGGGCCACATTGTCGTCAATATAGGGAATGCCTAAAGTGTTGACAGCTGTGGCACCGATACCTATTAATAGTAGACTTAGGAAAAATATGCTCAACACGGTATCGGTTAGCCGAGACTTATTGATTTGTGTTTCTTTATGGTCACACTTTGGATCACTAAACTTTGATCCCAAATTAGCTGATAATTTATGATTGTTTGTTGTTGACGTAGAAGTAGATTCAATTGATGAGTGGGTGAGTGACGACGATGATGATGATGGCACACTTGATGATAACCAATGAGCTAATGATGATGATGACGATGATGGTGATGATGATGACGATGATAGTAGTGGACACAGTTTCGCATTGTATTCGCGAAGTTTTAAACTGTTTATGGTCTCACCGCTGGCGGCTAGCGATGATGGATCAATGTTGAGTAACGATGAGCTACCGGTGCCGCCGATTTGACTGCCGAACAGATAGTGAGGAGTCGAACATAGTATGGATGCCAATGCAAAGATCAACATTCCGCAGGCAATCCATTTGGGCCGATGGCCGTGTCCGCCATAGTAGGTTAGCAACAGTGCGCCACCAATTTGGCCAAATTCGGTTGCGGACATTATCATACCGGTTGTCTTTGATTGGATTTGATATAACTTTTCGATTGTGGTCAGTACGCTGACAAAGTAGGTATAATACATACCTTGTAAGACACTTGTCAGGCAAAAAATGGCCAAAAATGTCTGTTTGTTTGCAAACTTTTGCATCCATTTTGGTCTAAACGAACATAAGCCGCAAGAATATTCTTTATCGTCGCTGACCATTGTTGTCAACAATAATTCGTCGGCTGTGGCAGTATTGTTGGCACCACCACTACCACCACCACTGTTGTTGTTATTGTTGACTAAATGGTTGTCACTGGTGGGGGTCTTATAATGTTGTTGTTGATGATGATGATGATTATTATTATCATTACCACCGCAAGTCAAACGATTATTTCTATTATGAACATCACTGCCATTTAGGCCATTGCCGATTCCTCCGACATCACAGTGCGCTTGTATATCACTCATCACAGTTGCTGTACCGTTAATGATGGCACTACCACTATCGGTATTATCACCGCCGACACCACCACCACCAGCACCTGTCCTAATGTTGTTGTTGTCTGTGGCTGTAATACCGGAGATGGTTGGCTGCGAGTCGATTGGTTTGCTTGTTGTCATTGTTTGTTGTATTCTTATGGCTTTTTCAATCATTTACTGAATATATGTCTTAATTATGGGAATCTCTCTCTCTCTCTCTCACTCATGGAATCTTCTCTCTCAATACATATACAACAACAACAACAAAATAATTGTTGAAATATATATTTTTTTTCCAAAGATTGAGAGAGAGTTTACTATTACTACTACTACTACTACTTTAAATGAAGAGTTGTATGTTGTTGTTGTTGTGATTACAAGAAGTGGACGAAATAAAAACAACAAACAGTTGTGTTGAAGAAAACAAGTTTTTTGTTTCAATGAAAATGAAGAAATATATTTTTTTGAGAGAGAGAGAAATAGAGTGAATATATATTTTTCAAAATATATGTATATAAATATATTTATTTATATACATATATACGGTGTATTTGTGTGTATATATATATATATATATCATATATATAAACCATTATAATGAATGCGACGGATCCTGATATTCAACATATCTGTGCTGTGTTTGTATTCATGACATTCATGACTCTGTGTGCTATTCATGCGCACCACTGGATCACCAGCACCAGCAGCAACAACAACACTATACATACATACACACCACCACTACTACTATTGATATCACTGTACAAAACTAAATGTCCACAAATATATTTGGTATATCTATCTATAGATACTATATATATATATATATGTGAATATATATTATACATACATAGAGATCCACTTCATAGGGGATGATGACGGAGACTAATGTGTTGGTTATAGCCTATGGTTTAGTAAAAATAAAATTAAAAAAAAGAAAACTTTATGTTTAGTAATAGTTTGGTGTTATATATACTTTATATATACTGTATATATAATTGTTACATATTTTTTTCATTAATATTATATAATAACACTAAACATAGATGTATATAATATATACAGTATTATTAATAGTAGTAGTAGTAGTAGTAGTAGTAGTAGTAGTAGTAGTAGTAGTAATAGTAGTAGTAGTAATAGTAATAGTAGTATTATTAAATAAATAAAATCAGTTTGAGATAAAGTTTTATTTTGTATGGATATGTATTGCCTCACAAAAAACAGGTCATTTCACTGATATACTCACTTAGATTCTCTATAATATATTATATAATGATATATATATATATATATATATATATATATCAGTGATATATATCCTAAAAAGACAATTATCTGCTTATAAAAAAATTATATTTATAAAGATAAAAAAATAAACTAATTTAATCAATTTAATTCAATTTTGTTTAAAATAAATATTCCAATTAATTGCTCTAAATTAATATTAAATAAAAAAAGATTAGTTTCATAAAAGTTAATCTGAAATATAAAATTTATTATAAATTTTAAAAATATAAAATATAAATTGTCGGTTTGTTGTGTTGTGTGAACTCATTTACTGATAATGTAAATACATGCATATAAATGATAAAAGTGATTAATAATTTTGTTTAAAAATTACTACAAAAAAATTATATATAAATATAATATAATAAATAATAATAATGATACATGTAATTTTCCAAATATATATATAATTTTAAAAAATTTACACCAAAATTTTCAGTCTTAAAACAAAATACACATATTAATACACATACAGTACATACAAATAACCATAGAGTAAAGTTATCCATTTAGTTTAGTAGTCTCTCTCTCTCTCTCTCTCTCTCTCTCTCTACGATATATACTGTATAAAAACTACATGTACTGTATATACAGTATATTGAATATATTCAATAAGCAATTGTAGGGTACAGTTATAGTTATATACAGTATAAAATATATAATACTATAAGTAGAAAACTAGCTTAGCTTAAACATCAGGGTCACCACTACCATCAGACACCCACTGTAAAACACACACACATACATATATACATAAACATTACGTGAAGTGCCAATATTGGCATTTTGGTTGCTTTAGATTTTAGATATTTTTTTTGCTTTAGAGGCCAACAATAACTTATAATATATATATATATATATAGTATTAGTGGTGTCTTTTGAAAGCAAAAATTTTGTGACGGAATCCTAAATGAAGGTCACAATCAATTCAAATACATATACCGTATATACAGTATATATATATATATATATATATATATATATATATATATATATATATATATATATATATATATATATATATATATATATATATATATAATATATCTGTATAATATAGTATATAATATATACTATATATATATATTCTATGGGTTTCACTACTGAAATTTAATCAATGTATATGTACAGTAAGTTTATTGTACATTAAATAATATTAAATTATTTGTAAAGTTATTAAGGTTTTTAGTATTATGTATAAAAGTATATATATAATAAATTATACTGGTATTAAACGCAATAACAAGAAATAACAAGTATTAAAAATATATATATATTTACTGTATATGTTATGTTTAATAAATACAATGTTATTAATAATAACTTATTATACTGTATAAAAAATCATTTTTACGTAAATAGCATTGAGCTTATTAATCATTATAACATTTATTATAATATTATTATTATATAACATTAAACGATAAAACATTGATATTATATTGGAGATGAAAAACAGTCGCCAAATTAAAAAAATTGTTTAATCATTTAATTTAATTTATTAATAATTATATGCAGTATATATACAATGTATTAGTTTAATCATAAATATGTGTATTTATATTAATAACAAATAGCGTTATCAATATACAGTATATATCATTTTGACTACTCATTTATTGATAATTATATGTCATAAAAAATCTGATAAAATAAAACTATCAACTAATACAGTATATAATAATATGATAATAATATAAATAATAAATTTACTGTACTTATCAATACTGTATAATCAATTTATTAATAATAATTTTGTTTATAGTCTATATTAAATAAAGTGATACAATTTATACTGTATAATATATACAACTTATAAAAAATACAACCTAGTTACACACACACACACACTTAGATTTATACAGTGTATTTTTAGTGTATTTTAATTTAGCTTAATCATTTTCCAGCTAAATGATTTTTTTGACAATTTAATATTGCGCTTATAAAAATAAATAAATATATATTAGAGAAAAAAATCGTAGTTACGCGCGATTATATTTTTTAATTAAATTTAAGCACAGGTGCACACAAATAAAAATTATTTGTTGAGAGAGTGAGTGTTTTTAGGAGAGAGAGAGAGAGAGAGAGAGAGAGAGAGAGAGAGAGAGAGAGAGAGTCTAGTTTGATAGCTAGTTTGGGGCTAATAAAAATATATATACACTTTATATACTGTATATATATATATATATATTGAGTTTAACCAACAACAACAAAATAAAAATGATCATGTTTGTTTAAGTTCATGGTCATCCCTATCACCACCACCACCATCACTGCCCCCTCACTATGTGGTCTTCAAAAAAAATAAATAAAAATCAAACACTGGTTGGTCTCTCCTATTATATGTATGTCTGTGTGTGTCTATGTTTGGCTAACTTTTTTTATAAACAGTTTTTTACTACTACTACTACTAAATTGTTTACTAACTAATTAACTTAGTATCTACTGTAGTATTATAGTGTAGTTATTTTATGGCACACTTTTTTTGTAATAAAGTGAGATTATCTATAGTATAGATTCTATACAGTATATATATATAATAATAATAATAATACTTTATAAATATAAATAGTAATATACTAGTTCACTAAATATATATATATTTAAAAATATAGTAATTTAACAATTTTCAATTAAGTTTCAACAATTTCAATCAAAATCACTATCAAAAAAATAACTTTAAATAATAATTTTAAATATATAATATAATAATTATAATAAAATAATAATTTTATAACAATTTGTTTTTTTATGGGAAAAGCATTTTTTGGGGGTTCATGTGCTGTCACAACATCCCAATTGATTGAACTAAATTGTTGACCACTTTGAACACTTAATACATTATTTTAATTTTAGAAAAAAGTAGTATTAAATAAATCCCACTTATTTTATATATATATATATAAATATATACTGTATAAATACACTTAAAATAAAATTATATTTTAATAAATTCATAAAATACACTTACAATTGAAAATTTGCTAACACGTTATGTTAATGAAATTATATTATAAGAAAATCAATGTTTTTTTTATTAATAATATACTATATATTAAATTTATAAAAACTATAAGCATAACTATATAATAATATTATTATATAATTTATACAGATTTATATAATACACACATAATTTTCAAATGTAAAACTCGACACTTATTATTATTATTATTATTATTATTATTATTATTATTATTATTATTATTATTATTATTAGTTGTTGGGATGTCCTTAACATTGGCTTCAATTCAATGAGAAATTCGGTCACAAAAACTGATTTAAATTATTTATATTTAAAAAAAACTCAATTTCTGAGAAAAAAAACTCAATTTAGCTTTCATTTACATTGGAAAATGGTTTTTCAAAAAAAAACTAAATAAATATAAAAAAGTTTTTATTTAAAAATTTCGTGAATAATTATTAAATCAAGAAAAAACAGCAACTATTTTAAGCTTAGAAATTGGTTGCTCTCTTGAATGATAATATATATATATATATCATATACTGTATATATATATAATTAAAATAAATGATTTAAACACTGATAACATAGTTTTGTGTGTTGAACACAATTCATTGAAATATTATTATTTTATTTTTTGAAAGAAAAAAAGCACTCAAAACAAACTTATACACACATATAAGTTATAGAAAGAAAAAAATTTATAACACATATACACAAAGTTTTTGTTGTTGTTATCTATTTAATTGTTAACTCTATTATAACACTATTATTGCAACAACAAGATTTATACACAAAAAAAAATTAATTATCAACTTTTCATTATTATTATTATATATATATAACTAAAATGTTATCATTATATATATATATATATATACCTTATTTATTATACATTGGTTGGTTGGTTGGTTGACTGGAACAGTGTGTATATACTGGGCACTGTCTGGTGATTATATGATATACAAGAGTAGATTGTATACTAGATTATCACATTGTAATATATATATATATACAAGTGCTATGCAATGTGTGTGTGTAAACTGTGTGTGATGGCAATGGTGCTGAAGGCAAGTGGTCCACCAAAAAAAACAACCATCAAATCCAGTCCTACTATATATATATATGATATATACTTTATATACTGTATATATAACTTATTGATAATCTCAAAGTGAAAAAATATACATAAAATGATTGTCGTGTGAATGGTTTGCACTAACAAAATGTTTAGTAAGTTTAGTAAAATGTACGCAAGTCTGCGAAACTCTCTTTGAAAATATTATATATATATATATATATATATCTTATATAAGTATATCTGACTTTGAAAAGACATCTCTCTCTCTCTCTCTCTCTCTCTCTCTCTCTCTCTCTCTCTCTCTTTTTACTCACTTACTCTCTCACAGGTAAACATAGCTAAATGTAATCACCTTTGGCTTATGGACCTACTCTTTAGCTTAAAAACCCTCTGAGAATACTATACATAGATTTATATAATAGTGAATGCATTTCGATGAGAGAGAGAGAGAGAGAGAGAGAGAGAGAGAGAGAGACAGGTATGCAATGTTTGTAATGTAAGTTATAAGGAGTGCTATTAATTGTTTGCAACCGAAAAGTATATATATATATATAAAAGTTTAATGTCTCGTTTGCACGAATCGATTGGAGAGAAATTGAGAAAAACAACAAAATTAAAAAATAAAACGAAAAACTAAATAACATTTTTGTTGATAGCATTCACTGCCAGTCTCTCTCTCTCTCTCTCTCTYTCTCTCTCTCTCTCTCTCTCTCTCTCTCTCTCTCTCTCTCTCTCTCTCTCTTTACTCACACTTTACTCTCACATTTCAAACTCAAAAATATTTATTTATTTAAATTTTGTTTAAAAACAATTTTAGAGTTCAATTCCCATCCAATAATAATTTTCTTTCGTTACAATTATTAAATTTTTATTTTCCCGAATATTTATTATGAATTATTTTCAAATCCAACCAATAAATTAATAAAATAGTAGACAATTTCAATTTTTTAAACGTCTATTTTTTAATATATATATAATTTTAAATTAATAATTTTTTTTCATAAATATTTTGTTATTTTTCAAAATAATTTATAAATCAATTTTAACAATAATGATAATTTCATTTGATTATTATCAACACAAAAAAATTTTGTTTCAATTTTTAAGTTTTTGTACAATCGATTCTATCTTTTTTTGTTGTTGTTATGCTTAAACAAATATATTTGTTCAAAAAATTATTAAAATTTTGAATTAAAATATAATAATAATAATAATAATAATAAATGATAAAATGTATATTTATATTACAATTAAAAACCGACTAAAAAAGAGCTGTCAAATAATTAAACTTATGATTATAAACTTAAATATATATATATAGAAGTAATTACAATAATTGTAAAATTAAAATATGACAAAAAACACATTCAATATGCTATAATAATAATTTAACTTAAATTGTAAATTAAAACTTATAATATAAATTATTAAAAATTATTTTAAGTTATACATTTATAAGTTATAAACATTGTATTTTGTCTAATGCTTACGTAATATCAATTGATGTATTGTTGTATAAACTAAACTAAATTTTTTTTTAGTACATTTTCAGTTACGATAATAATAATTTCAATTTGAATGTCAATTTCAGTGTTCAATATCACAGTATAAAATAAAAAAAAATCAAATCCTATCTCATTGTGTGTGTATATATATAACTATTGATTTGTTTACAGTATATATATATTACTGTATTTGATTTGAGGGGGAAAAATAAACTGTTCTTAACTTTGTTACCGTAATTATATATACAGTATAGATATTTTGTGTGTATTTTTCCAAAAAAATATATTTGTCTTAATTGAACAAAAATTATTTTTAAAAAAAACTTAAATAAAATCATAATTATTATAATTATAATTAAACTCTTGAGTGTCCATATTTGTTGGTATCGTTTTCGTATAAACAATAGGTATATTCATCGCCATCACGTTTATCCTCCTCTTGTTCATCCATATCGTTAGCGCTGTTATAATCTATTGATATTAAAAAAAAATTAAAACAAAATAATTAATAAATTAAATTTATATTTAAAATAAATAATTTTTTAATAATCCATTACCAGAATCAGGTCCTAATGGCTGTTCTTCGTCTTCGCGAATCTCTGTATTCCAGGCAAACACCGACAGTCTATCTAAGGATATAATGGAAGAAACAATTTCTCCGACCGATAGCTGTTGTGGTTTGTCTAACTCTTTCTTGTGTCGCCAACATATTAGCAACCAATCCATAAAAAATAGGAGTCCGGCGGCAACTTTGAGACCACTGCATACTCCGACATACCTAATGAAAGAGAGAGAGAGATAGAATAAAGTCATTTATAATTACAGGTAAGATATATTTTTTAATTTGTTGGCTCTGAGAGTAGACATACCTGAGCCGAAATTGTTCGATATTGTAGAGCAAACAGAAGCCTCCCTGTTGTCCGCAATGGGCTTTCCATACGATACAAGTCGAGTCGATTACGTTACCAAATATTATCGGCGACGGTATGTAACCAAACAATCGGAAGATAACAAATTGCATTCCCAGTGCCAATGATCGCTCTTCCTCTTCAACGGATCTAATAGTTTATGAGATACCGAAACGAGAAAACATTTTAACAGTAAAAACCAAATATATCAATCAAATTGTTTGTTTTTCATACCTTAACGTAATCATTAGTAATGGCATTTGTGTTATTGAAACGACTAATGTTATAACAAATAATAAAACCATAAATGGTATCATTGCCTGACACAGTTGAGGACAGGGACCAGCCGTGGCCAATGGAATGGCGGTCACCTCCTGGTTGCTTGAATAGGACATGTTCAATGATATGCAAGCACAGTTACTGTAGTTTTGGGTCTATAAAAATTTAGGACAGTATGAATCATCAGATTAGATAACATCCCTTTCCCATGGACTTACACTTCGTGGTCCTTCAGCCGACTTACAACCAGCAAAACAGGGCGAATAGTAACTGATTTTATTTTGTAGATCGCATACCGGCTCTAATTCATTAGGCGAGCACCGGCAGCCCATATTGCATTCGGCGGTCAAATTGACTTGAAATGCATCAAATCGTGAACTAATAATAATAATAGAAAATTAAAAACATTAATAAATCAAATATTTGACTCAAATATAATAACTTTTGAATTACTTGTTAGCGTAAGGAAGTGTAGTACCGGCCATACGGACGTTATCACATCCAAGAAAGTACAGTGCAGTGTATAGACCCATACAGACTAAGTTAAAGAATAAGACAAACTGAATGGCGCCTTTAGGTTTCATTTGAAACCTTTTCAATACATAGCCGCCTAAGAATATTCCCACACACGCTCCGGGAATGGCTATACCACCGGCAAACAGGTTAGCCTCGGATTTGCCTAAACTAAACTGTGTTTCCAAATATTTTGGCAAAAATACTAGAAAACCGCTGACTATGGCCAACTCCATACAGGAGCCCAAACAGGTACACATGTAAACAGGATTGGTTAGCAATCGCCACATACAGGCAGGAATCTCTTTGATTTTGCGGCCATATTCTGGTCTATTATTATTATGATTTGGACTATGCGATCGACTTAACGAATTATTCTTTGCCGATTCAAGAGTCATATGTTTGGTTTTATGAAACTGATGGTCATCCGTATCGATGGCGGGAAGTAATCGAAAATTTTTGTCATTTTTGTTCTTTGGTTTCAGACTTTTTGGAAATGCAAAAAATGGTATCGATATCTGTGTGTTGGATATTAAGAAAAATTTAATTATCGATAAAATAATTATAAATTAAGGGGTGGATGGATGGTAATTACCAAAATGAGTAGTATGCCAAGCATAATAAACCCGGCCCACCATGCACCGATCCATTTGGGATGACCCGGATAAATATCAATTGGCACTGAACCCGAACCGAAAGAATTTTCGTGAACACCGATGAAAAAACCGCCCAAAAGAAAACCGCAAACCAAACCAAATGCCACCATTGAGTACATACAGCCTTTTAATAGTAGAAGTAATAATAATAATAATAATACCGGTAATTATAAATACATTTGTTTAGACAACCAAAATATCGGTAATACCTATATACATGGATGAGCTCTCTTTTTTGACGTGATCGTCAATATAAGTAGTGCCCAATGTAAATATCGGAGTACCGCCGCAGCCAATTAAAATCATGGCCAACATAAATATTATGATATGCGGTGCATTATAAGTGGCGTCCTCAGCACAAGTGGGATCGCCATTGGGTGGAACAGGATTTATAAAATGACTAATTATATTAAAACAAAAATCAATTAAAAACAATTATTGATAATTTAAATATATTAGTTTCATCAATATTAGGGTTTAGTATGTGGGAGGATGGATGGATGTATGTATGTATGTGTGGGGGTGTTAAGCACATATACCTTGCTTTTTGAAGTACTGTTGAACTTAAAACTGGTGTTGGGATACGACATGTATTGTCAGATAATGGACCAGATACGTTAACATTATCTAATTATCAATTTAAAAATTAATAAATTACTTATTGACAGTTATTTATACCAGTAATTAAATTGTGGGCATTTTTTAATAAAAAAATACTAACCCAATGGATTGTGTATATGCATGAAGTGTGGTATGGCAAACACAATTGAACCAATACCAGTGATAAGTATGCCTTTACCAATCCATTGAGGAATGTGTCTATAAGTGCCAAAATAGCTAACAAATATGATTGTCAGCAGATTTCCCAATTCAAATGTACTGACTATAGCACCGGTAACACTACTTGGAAAGTCAAACCGTTTTTCGATAGTAGTTATGACACTATATATAATATAAATGACAATTAAAAATTACTATAAGATATAAGACCACACCATTACAGTAGCGATTAGTACTAACCTATTGAAGTATCCCGAAGACAATGCTTGCTGTAGTGTAACCAAAACGCAACAAAAGAAGACAAAAGCCTGAATTGTGGCAAATCTTTGCAGACATGTTGGACGGAAAAACATAAAACCGCAATCGGCTGACTGTTCATCTGATTGTGTAGCTGTTGAAAAAGACAGACACAAATAATATTAATAATAAAGAAATAAATTAATTCATTTGATATGATATGATATATCTACCAATTTGTTGATCGACGGCAACAGGAGATCCCAATATATTGTTGTCGACATCAGTGCGAATGCGATTGGAGGCCAACAGATGATAAATATTAAGTTCAGAGTAAGTCTTGACAGGAATATTAGTCGATGAATGGTTTAATCGGAAATCATTTGATCGGTTTCTTCGATGGTGAGCATAGAGGCCGGTAGCCGTGTATAAAGACGACGACTCGTTGCGAAGACTATTATTACCGGCACTTTTTGTTCGTTTATGGCCACGAATACGATGGCTTAGAGTACTTGGGTTGGCGGCCGCTGTCGACGACAGTGCCATTGTCATCGATCGGGGATACTCTATGGACATAGAGTTATTATTTGGCATAACGGTGTCGATGGCAGCAACAGTAGCAGTGGTCGGGACTCCGACGGCAGCCGTGGCGGCAGCGGTAGTATTCACATCCACTATATGGCGATCGACGCCATCGACAACACGATTGTCACCGATATTGTGACTGCGATTCATCTTTTTTTTAGTTGAGTAGTTATGAGTAGTTATTTTGTTGAGTATATAATAAATATGTCTTAACTTTTTTGTTTTGTTTTATGACTTCAGTTTTTTTTGATAATATTATAATAGATTAGTAGTTATTATCCTTTTTTCTTCTAATCATTTGATATCCATCTAAACACACAAATGAAATGAAATGAGATTTTTAAAACTTTTTTTTAGTTTTTTTAATACAAAAAGTATTATGTTTTAAAACAATAGGAGAAAAACAAAATCAAAAATAACAATTCATTTTTAAATATTACATTTTCTTTCTCGCTCTCTCTCTCTCTCTCTCTCTCTCTCTTTCGAAATAAAAATTAAAAACTCAATTATAATACTTTTGATTATTATTTTAGATATATTATTAACTTATTATAATAATAATAATAATAACATTTCCGAGTAATGTATATAAAAGAGTCTGAGAGACAAATAAACTCATTTACAGGCTTTTGAACCATTCATGAGATGATAATTCATATCTCTTTTTCTTGAAATTTATTTATTATTATTTTTATAATTAGATACCACAACAACAACAACAACTATACAATAAATTTTTGTGTGTGATATTTATTTTAACACAAGTTGATTGTATTATTATTATTAGTTAGAGAAATGATAAATAAGATAATTATATAATTAACAACAAAACCAAAAAATAAAAATCTGAAGCAAAACAAATAATTTAAGTCAATTTTTGACACATTTTTTTTACATAAATAGTATATAAAAATTTGATTGAAATTATATATAAACTACAATTACCCAGGCAACCAACAATAATTTTAATAAATTTTCAAAAAATATATATATTTAATAAAAAAAATATCAAATTATTAAATGGATCGGAAATTATAAAACATATAAAAATTTAATAACAAAAACACATAACAAAATAAAATATAAAAATACATTAAAACAAATAATACACACAAATAAAGATATTTACGGTACAAAAAAAATCTATAGCAATATAATGTATATAAAAATAATTTATTATAATGATCATATATATAATAATCAATTTAAGCTAAATTAAGAGCAAAAGTATATTTTTAATTTTATTTTTCAATATTATACAGTTATATAGTATAACTAATAAATGTGTATAAATATTATTGCAATAAAATAAAATAATCTTAATGTAGAAAACATATTTACTAAAAATACATTATTAATGCTTATCCCCAAATATATATACTGATATATATATACATGTATATCTATAAATTTATATATATTTATATTATATATATACTAAATGCATAATTTAAAAGTAACTTGTTTTTTAGATTACTGGAACAAACAAAAAATTATTTAATACCATTATTATTATGTTTATTCAATAAAACATTTATTTTAAAAATATTTTATTACAATACCAATTTATTATATTTTATATATTCAAAAAACATTAAAATTAATGCATTATTTTTAAATAATAAAAACCTAATAATATAATATAAATTATATCAATAAATTAATTGTTGTGTGTGTGTGTGTGAATATATAAATTTATATATATATATACAGTAACTTATTACCTGCATAACAAAATAAAACAAATCGATTTTTTTTGTGTTACTAATAATATTGATAAAATAATTATATTAAAACACAAAAAAATTGTTACATAAATTCCAATTGTATGTAATTATAATAATTAATAATAAGTGTTTGGAAAATATAACCAAGACAATATGTAATTTTTTATATATTCAATTTTTAAAATATATATATATATATATATATAATAAATATTTATATGATAATCAATGTATTTTTCATGAACAATCCTAGCAATTAAACCTTGCAATATAACCGGCATTTATTTTATTGGCAAATTTATTTTATTGAATACTATAATACAGTACCACTAAACTAAAGATTTTTTTCTAACACTTAGTTATGATTAAAAAAAATTTACATATAAAATATATTTATTATAAATTTATTAAAATGTCTAGGTTACTTTTTGCTTATGAAATTAGTAAACAACAATAATAATAAAAAAATCGTTGAATTTATTCAATGCAAATAATCTCAAACCCTAATACAACTACACTAATGCTTAAGTATATACACATAAGGTTATATCAAACAGACAACAAATAAAATATCATATCATATACTGTATTATTATTATGCTAATAAAATTATACTTAAATTTTTTATTTTTTTTATTACTACCTAAATATACTTAAATATACCTAAAAAAAACAACAATAAATATACATAAATATAAATCACATATATATACTACATATTCTTCGAGTTCATTAAAACAAATTGCAAACTAACTATAGCTTTAAGGGAGAAAAAGTAAATTTTCTCAAAAAATAAAAAAAATAAAATAATATTTTTATTGAATTTATTTATTTTAAGTTAAGTTCATGTGTCGTATGTCAAATTGTTTTGCCAAAAAAAGTACTGTATTTTGTTGTTGTTGTAATCAATTATCATTTATTTATTTTTTTGGGGTAAATATTTGCATTATTTTTATTTATTTTTTTTAAAAAGCAAAAGTCAAGTTGTTTGCAGTTTGAACTAACACGCGGGTCATTCATATAAAGTACACACAAATGATAAAAAAACAATTTGATTATTAAAATATAAAAATAAATATAATAATAATAAAAGTAAATAGTAAATGAAATGTCATTTAATATAATACACACATAAAACTACACTTTCATCACATCAACTAAATTAATGATTTTATTCAACAAAAAAATGCATTAAATAAATAATAATTTATATGCACTTTATTTATTTATTTATATTTTATTCATTAATGTTAATTCAATATGTTTTATTTTTCATTGACAAAAATAAAGGGCATTTAAAATCTTTTTTAAAAAATTATTGATTAAACAAAAATAGAAAAATTTTATTTAAAATATATTCACAATAAAAATCTTTATAATTTTTATTTTTAAAAATAATAATCTAAAAACGGATATTGATTTTACAAATCATAGCAAAAATAATAAATTGATATATACTATACTAATGATATATAAATATAGTAAATATGATATAATAATATGATATATGGTATCCAATAATTTGTGTGTTGAAAGCAATTTTTCTTTTAAAAAAACTAAAAAAAACTAATAATAATTTACTGCGAGTTTGCAAAAATAAAATTTCCTTCAAAAATATTTTTTAAAAATCCATAGCGACTAATAATAATAAAACGAAAAGGAAATCTGCAATTATTATCCAACAAACAAAAATGCATTACTTTTTTTTAAAAAATTTGAGAGATACTAAAAAATGTTTAACAAAAATATTTTCATACACTTAAATGACACTAAATTTTTTGTATCACATTTTTCTATCTCTCTCTCTCTCTCTCTCTCTCTCTCTCGGATACATAAGTGTATTACACACACACGTAGACACACATATGATAGAGAAAAATAACTAAATTTATATCTCAATAATAATGAATTGGCGACCTCTAAAAAAACTAAAATGTGAGGCCAATAAACCTGAGCTGCTTTTAGATTTTTCACACACACACACACACACACATACATATAAGGGGCACATACCCTCCCCCTCTCTCTCACTATCTATAGAGCTAAGGAAAGGGGTCTAATACCTAACCATCTAAACAGATCAGATGCAGAAACAAACCAACGGGTTTTTTCTTATATGATCTCTCTCTCTCTCTCTCTCTCTTATATAAGGATTGTGATATAATAATAACAACAAAAAAACTCATTGTATTTGTTACCGATTTTTTTGTTGTTTAATGAATTGTTATATACAATAGGATAGATATATAGCCAGAGGACAGGCATGTGTTTCACTTACTAAGAGATTGAGTTCTTGCAACAAAAAAATTAGTATAAAGCGATCACTTTTTGGATAAGCAATTCATGTTTTATATATCAGTCATAAAAAAGCCAAAGCACTTGGCATATAATTTTTTACTGAAAGGTAAAGGTATACACATTAACACACACTCACAGCACAGGTATGGGTGGCTAACCTTAAAACCTACTTTCGATTAGCAGGTAATATGTATATGAAAGTATATATTATAGATATATATAATATAATACATAATTAATTATTCAATACATAATATGTATAGTGAAATCCAATGGCTTTTTTGGGCATAATTTTTGTTTATTTTTTATTTTATGATTCAATTTATTTAATTATATTGACTGCAAGTTATAATAATAACAATAATCATAATAATAAGCAAACATTTAAAATACTATTACTATTACCGGAGAGAAATAAAGAGATAAAAAAAATCTACTTTCAATACTTTCATTTTGATTGACTTAATAATAATAATAGCAATGTATTTATTTATGATAATCACAACACATTAATAATAATAAAAATATATTTTTATATATAATAATTTCACGCTTATTAAACACTGTGTGTATGTGTAGAGTAAGTAGTATTGTATATAACTTATAAAATAAAATATAAGTTATATATTATAATTTATATTATAATCACAACGTAGTTATAATTTTTTTTTTAAATATTAAAACTTATCATATAATTTATATCAATGGCCTGCAAATTATGATAGATTATTATTATTATAATTTTTATCTCATATATACATAGATATATAATATCATGATGATAAAACATACTATACAATAATATATATATATATATATATATTTGAAAAAATTTATATATCATATATCAAAAAATCAAATTAATATATCTATCAAATATAGTATAAAAATTAACCACTTTTTGCCATCTCTGCCAATATAATCATCAATTTGTTAATAAAATTAACACTTTTGTTTCATATGTCAATATATATATATAAATTTATATATGAATTGATATCACATATAAAATAAATACATATATCATAAATAGAAATATATGATATATGAGATCATACTTATAAATCATTTATAAATTAAATTAATATTACTATACATAGCATATATGATCAATAAATAATTACTAATATATACAAAAACAATACAATATATTTATAGTTAATGATAATAATTATAATAATGAAATTTGACTTACATTTGGTATATGTTGTAATATTTATAATAATAATATAATATGATATATAGATTGTTATATATAATAATAATAATAAATTATTAATAATATTAGTGTAAATCAGTGACAATATGTTATATATATATATTCAATATATTGTCAAACAATTTGATAGCAAAAAATTAATCAAAAATATTTATATCATATTATAAAATATAAATAAAAAGATTTTTGATATTTCAATCTATGAAAGTCAATGTATTTAAGGAATTGTGTTAATAAGGAATGGATTTATAAAACAATTAATTATTTGTTAATTTGATAATCAATTTTTGTGATTAATATCTCATTAGAGAGCTATTTATATGGTCTCTCAAATGTAATCATCAATTTAATGCCAATTATTATCACAATAACACAATTGTGTCACAATTAAGACTACCTCTGGTTAACAATATTAAGAACGTAAACAATAGTTATTTTAAAAAATTATTAAAATTAAATTAACAAATAATTAATTAATTTTTAATTTTTTTAATACATAGTATATATCAATAAATAGATTAATTGAGAAAACAATGACTATTATTATGGTTTTGATTTACTTTTTAATTATTTAGTCATTTGATTACTAAAATTTAATTAAGGAATGGATAACAAAACGATTGAATGACAAGTTATTAGCCATAAATTATGACAAAAAATAATAAATTATTTTCAAATTGTTAAATACCTTAATACATCACATTAATGACCTTTTATATAACAATAACACTTTACAATATAATAATACCGTCTTACCAAAAATAATACCGACTTACCAAAAATAATACCGACTTACCAAAAATAATACCGACTTACCAAAAATAATACCGACTTACCAAAAATAATACCGACTTACCAAAAATAATACCGACTTACCAAAAATAATACCGACTTACCAAAAATAATACCGACTTACCAAAAATAATACCGACTTACCAAAAATAATACCGACTTACCAAAACTAATACCGACTTTTATATCGAAATACCATGTTCCCCATAGAAATATTGTTTTAATTACCGTGTTCCCATAATTTTTTTTTCATTATAATTAAGATAATTTTAGGTACAAGGTATAATATAATTAATAATGTAACACGGTACTTATTTAAAAAACTATTTGCTGGGAAGACGGTATTAATTTTAAAAAATATTTTATGGGAAGACGGTACTTATTTAAAAAAACTATTTTTATGGGAATACGGTACTTATTTTTGAAAAAACCTATTTTTATGGGAAGATGATACTAATTTAAAAAAAACTGGGAAGACGGTACTAATTTTAAAAAATATTTTATGGGAAGACGGTACTTATTTAAAAAAACTATTTTTATGGGAATACGGTACTAATTTAAAATACATTTGTATGGGAACACTGATTATTTAAATATTAATATATATTGAATATTGAATATTGATATATATATATATATATGTACTAATAGTATGGTTTTTATTTAGTCTTACGGTATAATGTTATAAATTTATAATCATTATATTTATTGACATTATTGATGTCCATTTTTGTTGTTATTAGTATTTTATATACTTTATATTAAAATAAATTCATTCTTTAAATGCATTACTTATCATATATATCAATTGATAGACAATAGGTGTCATCAACCAAATGGTCGGTCGGTATTGTCCTCAAACCGACTGTTGTTGTTATTGTTGTTATAATGACCTGACTGTCCGTTTTAATGGTCAATCATATTAGTCGGTCGGTGTGTGTGTGCGGTTGACGGACAGACACACCGAAAACCATCTGATTTTTTTAGACCACTATTGAAGACAAAGACATATACAAAGGTTTTTTGTTGTCGTCTTCTCTAATGTTGTGTTGATATACAATACATAAGCAGATGACGACCTTTGCCTTCAATACAACACAAATCAATGTCTACTACAGTACTACACAACTAATAATAATAATAATAAACATACAGTCAGTCAGTATATAAACACAAACAGCTTTTTGCTTTGCTTTGCTGTATAAGCGAGTGAACCACCACTTGAGTCAACACAACAACATACCAGTGCTCACTACAGTATACAGTGTTTTTTAAAACACACTCTCAGTCAGTGTATAAGTATAACTCAATATAACACATACAATATGTATGGACTGTATACTAAAAACTACTAATAAAAATGTATTGACAATACTGTATGAAAAAGAGAGAGAGAGAGAGCCCTCCCATTCATGGCATACGAAAGCCATACGTCAGTATGTATGGGCACTGGTAGTAGTTGTGGTGATCATAGGGTTGTATAGTATTTTTGTTCACTACTGACCTAAAGTACCAGATGGTTGACCCACTCATTATTGTGATCATCCGAAACTGGGTCTGGTCTCTGGTGACACCCGACACAATGGTTTCACCCGATAACTGCCGGTCCATATGTTTAGAAACCAGAAATTGATTTTCAACCCTTTGATTGTTTATTTGATTTTTTTTTTTGTTATCCCTTTCCCTTAAAATTTGATAACAAAAAAAAAATTGTGCTAAACTTCACACATTTTTTTCGATATGAAATTATTTGAGTATAAAATAACATATCAAATGTTATATCAAATTTCATTGACAAATAAATGATGATTACTATTAAAATTTATTATTTTTTTTAAAAAAAAACTTTATAAACAAAATTTATAGATTATATGTTTAAAAAAAACTTAAAATTGTAATAAAAACTATAGTAGAGTATAATATATATATAATAATAATAATGTCTATTAACTAGAAAATAATTACAGTATTGTATAAAAAAAAGTATTAGTGATAAAGTAGTTGTCATTGATGTCAATCAATCATAAAATATTAATAATAAAATAATATAAATCGATATATCGATACAAAAAATATTATGGTTATATTGTAGCAGGGTTATAATAAAAATTATTCTAATATATACCGGCATAAAAGTATCATTATATAGAAAATTTAATAAAGTAGTTATTTTTTGTATATAATTTTTTATCTCACTGTATTACTATTTATTTTTAAAAATTTTTAATATGATAAATGATAAAAAAAATGTTATCTTTACAAACAAAAATCATAAATGGAAAATTTCAATTTAAATTAAAATACCATTTTTTTCGAAATGCTATTTTGCAATATTGCCAAAATGTATATTCAATTTTTTCTATTTAGCCGATTTACAAACAAAAAATAAATAAATATCTAACCAAGGTTGATTTATTAGTTTTTAATAATGGATAATAATATGGGGCGAGAAATACAACATTAATTTATATTACAAAAAAAAACAATACTAATCGTAATAACTAACTGACCTTATAATTGTAAAGTTTTTATGTTTTTAAAAAAAAAAGTTTTTTCTTGAATATTAATTTTTTAAACTATTCGGAAAAAATGTCATTTATTTATCTATAACTTTATTATTATTAAATTTTTTTTAATATGTTATAATATATAAGTTTAGATAACTTTTTTTATTAATTGGCAAACACACGCGTTACGTGCGTAGTGATAGAAAAAAAACAATTAATTTAAATATCAAATTCAATTACAACACACGTATTGTTTTAATAATAATTATATAACATTTAATAATTAAATACAATTAAAATGTATGTGTAATACATAAAGTGTTGCGTAATTTGTTTCTAAAACAAAAAAAATGTATTATATTTTTAAAGTGCACTTCAAAAATGCAATGCCATCTGATTGGTGAACAATATACACAAACAACGTTACTAATTTATTGTGTTAATTGCAACCCCCAGCCCCTCCTTGTAATATAATATATATATATATTGTATTTGAAAACAACTACTTGAATACCTTCTCCCTTTAAATACATGTAACGATATATATTTATTAATATATATATATACTGTAAATACAGTACAATATTATTGATATTAATGTTACGAAAAAAAAGTTGTTTTTGTTGTTTAGTGTTGTGTTTAGTGTACTATAAAAACCTAAATAACTTATTAAAAACATTTCAATACAATACTGTTGGCAATAATCCGTATGGCATTAAAATATATATATTATTTACTGTAGACTGTATTAGTTTGAACTAATTGAACGTTTAGTTTAGTTAGACTACCGGTTCGTTATACTACTAATACCTGAACAGTCAGACAGACAGACAGTCAGTCAATTGAATCAATTGAATGATTAGTTTATTTGATTTAATTTAATAATAATAATAATAAATGATATCATAATATACTGTTCATAATATCTCTCTCTTATATTCATAACTATTATATACATATATATACAGTATATTTGGGTCGACTAGTGATTTGCCGATTGATTTGTTATTTTTTTTTTTTAATTATTATAGTTTTATAATTTATTTTTCTTATTAAAAACAAATTTATTAATAATATATTTATCATAAAATAATAATATATTGTTTGATAAAAATAATGAGCAAATATGTGGATACAGTTCAACACTTGAAGAAAAAGCTGGACAAAGGAGTCTCCTATGATAAGGTAGGGATCAGTTGTTATCTGTTTCCCGGATCTATTAGTAGTGACTTATTTATCTTTGATTTGTTTTTTTTTGTTGGTACAGACATTACACATCTTGCATAAGCTCCAGAAGATTCCCGTAACGATCGACTTATTAGCTGTAAGTCTTATAAGAGTGTGTCCGCTGGCGGACAACAACTCTCGGAAGTGACACAACATCTGCCAAAACCAGTGATTGGAAATAATAATAATAATAACCGGTTTGTTTGTCTGTTTATTTTTTTTTATAGCAAACAGGTATCGGCAAAACTGTACGGACACTGAGCAAAGAGCACAGCGGCGGCGACAACGATATCGGCAAAACAGCCAAACTTTTGTGCTACACGTGGAAGGCGGCCGTCAAAGAGGAACAACACCGGGAACAGCAGTCATCCGGTGGTGAAGATGATGATAATAATGATGAAGAAGAAGAAGAAGACGACGACGATGAAGACGCCCGCAGCGATCGCTACGACAATGATGTCGTGGGCGATGACGTCAAGGATGATGATATTATTGATACTAATAACTATGACGATGACGACGACGATGATGATGAAGAAGATCGCAGGAGTCCTCCGCCACCAACGCCGTCGCCGCCACCACCAGAAACTACCTCAAAGTCGTCATCGAAATCAAAGCGCAGTCATAGCGACGATAGAAATAGTGAAAGAAAACGTAAGAAACATAAGTCGTCGTCCAGTCATCGTAAAAGTGAATCAAATGATAGGTCGAAAACCGAATTTGAGACACTGTTGGGTCTTAACGATGAGATTAGTATCAGAAATCATAAGAAAAGTCGAAAATCAGATTCAAGTGATCACCATAAACAACATAACCATAAAAGTCATCACAACAACAACAAACATATCAAACGTGAAGTCATTGACGAAACGGTTAGCAGTCCAGTAAAGAATGGCCGGACAAAAGATTACTATTCGCCGGTTAAGGTAAAACATGAACGCAAATCAATGGATTCGATGGACATAATATCGAGTCTACCGGTGGCCGACTATAAGCCATTGCCTAATAAACAAGTTATCGATGAACGAGTTGAGGCCAACCGGCGCAACCATAACAAACAATCGCCAGTTAAGGCAAACACTGGCAATCCATTGAGTTATAACGTGTCGAGCAAAAAGGGTCGGACGGCTGTGTTTGCCGGTAACGCCCGAACTAAAATCATTACACATGTGGCCACTTTGGAGAATCTTTGTGTCGATGTCTTAAGTGATAATTACGATCACATTTATGATATGCCTGTTATTGAGACAAAATTATTGCAAAAATTGTTGAAGAAGTGTACGGTTAGACAATTGTCTCGACTCGAGAGACTCAATCCAGTAATTGACAGTTTCAGTGATAATCTGTAAATCTAAATACTAATTGTATTGATTTTGATTACCAGCACATAATGGATGAAACCGATGGCTTTTGGAAAGAAATTTGCAAAAAAGAGTTCAAAGGATGCGAACGGCGGTCGTCGCGGGAGAGTTGGCGTGACTTATATATCAGGTGTGGCGAAGAACGGGAGACTAAGCTGAAGAATATTACTAAATTTATATCACGAAAACAGGAAAAAGCAGTACCAGGTATGGCTGCCCCCCAAACAAATAGATAGGTACCGGTTGACTGACCCTTATAATTGTGTCGAATAATAGTTAGACAAACACAGTTCTCGGAGAATGTTAAGACTCCGCGTGAAATACTACGCAAACAAGAAAAATCAGGTTTTGTTCGTCCCATTGCCGGATCAAGTGGTGGTGGCGGCGGTGGTAGCAGTGGTGGTGGTTATTCATCCAATCATCTCGTCAAGATTGTTCCCGAAAGTAATTACCATTTAAATTATAAATCTTTATATATTTGTTATTATTTTAATTCAATTACCTATTGATTGTTTAAATAATTAATCTTCTTCTACAGAGCCTAAAGTGGCACCACTGATGAAGAAAGTACTTCAAATGTCAAGAGCAAGAGTCAGGAGATAACCGTATATTTAGGGGAAAAAACATATAAATATAATTTTTGTTTATTTTTATTTTTTAATTAGTTAATGTTTTTAATTAATGGTTTGAATTATTATTAATAATTATCTTCTAAATGATAATGTGAAGAATAATTTATAAAAAAAACTGAATCAATGAATGAATTATTTTAACAAATAAATTAAAAAGATATAATATTTTACTAAAGGAGGAATAACAACAATGAATGAATGAATGATTGATTGATTGATTGGGATCAACTAAATTTTCATTTAAATTGTTTTACCAATTGTTAACAACAAATTTCTTGGCATAAATTGCGAGTAAATCACATTTGCATTGATATTATATGTCATGAATTGATCGGAATCGACATTAGATCTGATAAACGATAAAAACCATAATTATTATATAAAATTAAAAACATAACAATCGACTTATAGATATGGTGTTTATTTTAAAAGAAATTGAAAAATAAATACGTGTTATTGTTGTGTATCGACGTGTTGTCGGCTGATTCAGATGCCGATGTCTTGAGATTTGGCGGCACATTATTATTATTACCGGTAGTAATGTTTTTCAAGTTCCACAGTCTAAGGGTCTGATCGGCACCGGATGACGACAACAGTGTATTGTTGTGATCAAAGCAGACCGTATAGACTGAATTCAAATGGCCGGTCAATTCTTTAAGTGCTTTACCCGAATTGATATCCCAGACAATTACTTTGCGATCTTCGCCCGCCGATGCCATATATTGGCCACAAAACGAAAACGATAGACAATGAACGGGTGCTTCGTGTCCGACATAGGTTCTGACTTCTTGTGCTCGTTCCGTATCCCAGAGGACAATATCTTTTTCGGCAAAAGCAATGTACTTGCAATTGGGATGAAATTTTAGACAATGAATTGCCGTAAAATTGGTGACAAACATCCTGATGGGTTGCGACCGTTCCAATGACCACATATAGGCTACACATTCGTCACCGGCAGTACAGAATTGGTTGCCAATTAGACCGGCATCTATGGCCCAAACAGATGATTGATGACAATTGTAGACAGATATGTTATGACCGGATACGACATCCCAGGCCCGTACGGTTGTATCCTTAGAACAGGACAACAGTATATCACTACGCGGACAAAATGCCAGTCCGTAAACTGATCCGCAATGGCCACGAAGCGTACGACATGAAGTTTCACTGTCCACGACGTCGTCACCATTCATATCACAAATATTTGTTAATGAACTTTGGTTTTCATTATCATCATCGTCGTCGTCATTATTATTATTATTATCGATATATAGATCCTCGACATTGTAGTCGACAAGATTGAACTCCATCTTCGAGTTATCTCTTTTGAGTTCGAAACGCGGGTCACTCGTGAATTGTTGTCCAAATCTTTTCAAATAAATACGTGAATCGCCGAACCCAAGAGCCAAAGCACTCATATCGTCGTTAACTGTGGCGCACAACAGATCTTCATCGTCAACAATATATCGGCGAATTGGTGGCTGACACGGAGGACTGTTACGCAATTTGTCGATACACTGGAGAAAATCGTGGACATCTTTACCCTGAGTCTGACTTAATTGAACATCAGATACGGACAACGATTCTGTATCCATATATTGTGAACACTTTTCCAGTTTTTTTTCACTCACTTCCAACTGGTTTTGATTATGTGTTGAATGGATATTGAATTCAAATGATTTGTTGAGAATCTGAATAACTATGAGATCATTGGTTTCCTTTAAAGAGGAAGAAGAATATTAGAGAAATAATTAATACAACTATTGTTTACAACAGAAAACAAAAAAATAATAAATACTTTGAAATGTTTTCTCATTTGTTCCAAACATTTATCGGATATTTTAATCAAATATTTACTGGTCTTAAACCTGTGAAGACTGGTCTCGAATAGCATAGTATTCAACGATTTGTTCATTGAGTCGATTGTTTGCAATTCTGTCGACTCTTTGAACCGATTTTTATGTTCGCGAAAGAAACGACGGGCTATTTGTTTAAGTGAAGTACAGAAAAAAAATCAATCAATCAGTCAATCAGTCAATTATCACCACAATTGGTCAACAATACCAATAACAACAACACATACCCGACACTTTGTGTCCGCACTCGAACAGCTCGATAAAAATGTAGAGAAATAGCGGAAATTCTAACTGAGATAACTGGTCAAAGAAGCGGATCTTTGTCCGATATTGTTGGACAAAGTCGAGAAAGTGTTTGTAAGCCGATTCGGCCGATGCAGTCATTTCGCCGGTCCAATGGGCCAGCGATACAGTATCGGCATCGCTGGTCACGTTAACCAATGCACCGTTGAGTGCAATCTCTTCCAGGCTTTCCTTACACTTGACATCAGCCGATCGTTGTTTGTTATGACCGCCGCCACCACCGCCGCCGCTGCCGACAATGTTTGGTCTATGTTTGTTGTTGGCCGTCGACGACGGCTTTATCATATGGTCCTATAGAGTGGGAGAAAGTATCGGTAAATTAAATATCGCGGGTCAGCAACAATATCGGTGGTCACTTACCGTATAATTTCTTCGTCTGAGAAATTGGTTGACAAATAAGGAGATTTGGTCGCCGTTTATGCGTTTCATTACTTTTTTTATTATTATTAATTCAAAATCAAATCAATTGATCCATCAATTGATTGACACAAACAAACAATTTAAAAATACAACAAAATTTTTTTATTTCAAAATAATAATATATTATAATAATTATTATTTTTAAATAAAAAACAATTTAATTAATTAATTAATTCAATTACTATTGATTTGCATTTTTTGTGTTTGTTTTGTTTGTTTAGTTGTAAACAAGTTTAAGTAATAATAATAATAATAATAATAATAATGAATAAAATATATTGTAATAATAAATATATTAAATAATAATAAATAACTCAATTGATTGTTGACAACAAAAACGTGACTATTTTTTTGTGTTGTATTTACAGTATTTATTATATGTCAATACCATTGAAAAATTGTATTATAACTTGTAATTTAAATATACAGTGAGTTTATTGCAAACATTTCAAACAAACTATGTTAAGGTAGAGGTCTCTATGTATGTGAATATCTCTACCTCTATGTATAATTTTTGTACATGTTGAAAAATTCTTGCATATTTTATTAAATAAAATTATTAAATAAAAAAAAAGTTTAAAATTATTTAAAAAACAAATTTGTTGTACTTGTTTACAACAAAATAGGTAAAAATTTTTTAATATTATTATTTTTTAAAAAATTGTATATTTCATATATTATAAATTTTTAGCTTGATTATAATTGATTTGCAAAAAAAAATTAAGTAGGTCAAATTTTGTAAATATAAACAATTTATTATATTTATCGCTTTAATAATATGTATATATAATTTGTATTTAAATTTTTTTTTATAATACTTTAACATAAACTAGTTTTTTTCAATAAATTAAATTACTGTTAAAATATTAATAACTTGTTTTTATTAAATAAATATAATGTACTTATAGACTGATTTTTTTCCTAACATATTATTAATATAATTAATATTATTGATAATTATTTTTTTTTAATATTTATATATCATATATACATTCACATTGAATTCAATGTCATATTTCCTATTCATTATTATTATTATTATTATTATTACTGTATTAACTAATCAATCGATGTTTAGCTGATATCATACCAAACTTTTTTTTGTACTTAAAAAATATATATAATTTTTACAATATTATTATTATTATTATATTCATTATTACAAGTCATTACTGCAAAATAAATACTCAGAAGAGATGGTAAATGCGTGGTATATGAATGATAATGACGCCGAAGATCAACGAAGTGAACGCCATTTGTCGCCCAAAGAGTTTGTATCGTTGGATGAGTTGAAACAAAAGACTGGAGTCTTATATTTTGAGGTAAAAAAATTGAATTTTTAAAATAAATATATTTTTAAAATTTATTTATTCATAACTTGTTTGTTCTGATGATAAATATGGGATCAGATCGATGCCGACAATTACGAAACGGAAGGAAAGTTGTCTAAAATACGTACGGATAGAGGCTATACATACTCAGATCAGTTGGAAGTGTCACCGAAAACTTTGGACAACTATTTAGCAAAAATCAAGTCATTCTTTACGGAACACATCCATTCGGACGAAGAAATTCGTTTCATTTTGAATGGCAGCGGATATTTCGATGTCAGAGACAATCGTGACAAATGGATCCGCATTTTGGTCCAAAAGGGTGATCTACTGATACTTCCGGCCGGTATTTACCATCGATTCACACTCGACCATAACGTATGTTTTAAATTTAAATTATAACATTTCATAATTATTATAATTATTACCCGTATTTTAAGGATTATATAAAAGTGATCCGTTTGTTTGTTGGCGAACCCGTTTGGACACCAATTAACCGACCGGCCGACGAACATCCGGCACGAGTGGACTTTCTGAAACAATACCCGATTGAGGCCTAAAAAGTTTTATAAATTATCACAAGTTTTTCAACAGTTTTTTTTTTTAAATAGACTTTTAGTTAGGTTTTGAACCGTATTTTTCTCAAAAGAAATTTTTTTGTTGTTGAGCTCAACGTTTTAACAAAAAATAAAATAAAAGATCATTTGTATATCACTTGTAATTGATTATCATTTTTATGTTTAAATAATAATAATAAAAAAAAAGTTTTCAATTCAAATACGGTTTTTTATTGTTGTTGTTAAAAGACATGACATAAATTGATTGCTATATTAGTGAAGTTTTTTATTATTTGTATCTCAATATAATGTATACAAAGTATAATACACTTATTGTATATGAGATCTAAGAAATGACATTAAAGTACTGTACGGTATATATATATATAATATTAGATACGGTTATATAAGTTATATAATATAACATTACATAACTTTAATGACATTTCTCACTCAACAGTTGTCATATATTGTTGAGCACAGGGATTGAGTGGTTGACTCTCTCCTATCCATTAAGACTCTCTATCGGGTCTATTCACTAAATGGTCATTAAAGTCCATAAAAGCCAAGTTATTCATAACCATAAGGACTGGTAGTTTGTACGGTATATATATATAGTGTTTATTGTCATATGGCTATTGTCCCTGAAATAGCCTTATTTGTATACCTATACATACATATATATATATATATATATATATATATATATATATATAAAGAGCCAGTCAAATGATCTTGAGCCGCGTATTTTTTGAATAACTTTTAAACGGTTAGAGATAATTTAATTCTGTAAAATACATTTAAGAATATCATATCGACCACACTTAATATACACACAATCACAAAACTAGGATGACCAGATATACAAAATATCGGGACCAACGAAAGACACTATGCTACAGGTCAAACTAAAATTGATAAATTTATTATGATTATGAAAATTTGTAGTTAAGAAATAATAGTTTAATATAAAAAAAGAATCATCTAAATCGGATTGGTAGTTTTGTTTTTATGGCTTATTAAGTTTGTCATAAATCATATTATATAAAATAGTCTAAAATAAAAATGACGTTATTTATGAATATTATATATTTTTTAGATGATATTTGAAAATATATTACTAATTCTGAAAACAAAATTTTAATAACTCGACTCGTTTTCGAAAGAATCGAATTTCAATATAAATTATAATATCAAATTACAATAATGTGATTTATATTAAAATTCGAATATTTCGAAAACTAGTCGACATATTAAAATTTAGTTTTTAGAATTAGTAATATGTTTGAAAATATCATCTAATAAACATATAATATTCATAAATTACGTCATTTTTATTTTACACTATTTTATATAATACGATTTATGACAAACTTAACAAGTCATAAAAACAAAACTAGCAATTCGATTTTGATGATTTTTTTTTATATAAAACTATTATTTATTGACTACAAATTTTGCCTGTCATAATAAATTTATCAATTTTAGTTTGACCTGTAGCATAGTGTCTTTCGTTGGTCCCGATATTTTGTATATCTGGTCATCCTAGTTTTGTGATTGTGTGTATATTAAGTGTGGTCGATATGATATTCTTAAATGTATTTTACAGAATTAAATTATCTTTAACCATTAAAAAGTTATTCAAAAAATACGCGGCTCAAGATCATTTGACTGGCTCTTTATATATAACTGGCACCCATACAGGCCGTCCACCCAAACCACACAACCAAACAGTACTCTCTCTTGACATTACCATTACATTTAAGTATCTCTTTTTTTTCTTTTCCTCTTTTGACTTATTCAACACAATGTTATAAACTTTTTTTATACGCTTTTTATAGTATTAGTATTATTTGCCAAACAAATGACAAATCATTTACTTACCATTTTGTGTGTGTAATATATTTTTTATTGTATTATTTTTTATTACAGAAAAAAAGTATTATTACCAATCATATTATATTATTTTATAGTTACTGTACAATTTGTTTTTTTTGTTACAAAGTGTGTCCGATAAGTTAGTTAACAATGATATATATTTATATATAATAATATCATAGTTAACTAAATATTGCACACATATACTTGATATTTATTATATACACTGTTATCATCGACATGTTGTTATCATCCAATTTTATTTATAATAACAAACATTATTATTTTTATTATTATTTTAGTATTAATTAGAAATTTATTTTATTTGTTTTATAATTTAATTATATATAAAGAGTTGTTTTGTCAGTATATTTTAATGTCTCTTAGATTTATTTTATTTCAAATAAGATTTTTTAAATATATATATATATATATGTTATATCAAACATTAACCTTAGATTTGTTGTCGACAAACATATACACAAAAAAACTTATATAATATAACACACAGTAGTTAGTTATCTATTATTATTTTTTTTATAAAACTTATATATTTTTTGTTTTTTGTTGGTTATGTGTTGTGCAAAAAAACTCTTATATAACTTGTTTTTCACTTAATTTTTTTCGCCACAATTTTCTACAAACAAACAAAACAGACACACAATATAAACAACAAAAAAACAGTTTTTTAAAGACAAAATTGAGTCCAATTTTTGCTGGTGTTATCAAAAAAACATTGGCTATCATTATATATATATACAGTATATATCAACAAACGTATGTCATTTCAATTGCTATATTATATGGCAACAATTTTATTAATTATTTAATATTTATTTAATTATTATAATGCAAAATATCTACAAAATAGAGTATTATTATTATTAAGTTAAATAAGTATTAATAAATTTTTCAAAAATTTATAATATGAAATTTGTACTCGTGATAGAAATTGTAATAATAATAATAAATATTTATACATATAAACTACTATTAATTTAATAATAATTTTGTTTTGTTTTGTATATTCAATAATTTTAGATAATACCTATGGATTGTTATTTATTTCAAGTATCGTTATTATTTTTTAATATAAATATTAATACAGGTATTATACAATTTTTTTCATATAATTTATTTAATAATTTTATATTATTTATCCTTTAAATAACATAGTTAATCATAAAAATTATTATTAAATATATTGATGTAATGAAATTAAGTGTCAAAAAATACACAGTACTATGTAAAACAAATATTATTAATGTAAACTAAATTTTTAGTTACTATTATTAATTTTGTTGTTGTTTATAAATATAATATTTTATACATTAAGAAAATTTTTGATATTTCAAAAAAAAGTTTATAAGTAAAATTCAAATCCTATTTTTGAATCCAAACTATAAAACATTATAACTGTAAATATTAAACATAAAACAAGTGAGTAATAATAATTGGTATATATTTGATATAATTTATAAATTTATATTCAATATTTAGTATTTGCCAAAATAAAATTTGTCTGAAATCCCATGGTCTACAAACGTGTGTAGACTCCTATAAATGTATTTTTTTATTTTGCTGACTATGTCTGTGTTTATATAATAGTTGGTCATATGGTTTAGTAAGTGATCAAAGAAAGTGTTTGTCCCGAAAATAGGCCGACCGACATATCTCTTCCTCTCTCTCTCTCTCTCTCTCTCTCTCTCTCTCTCTCTCCTTATCCTTCTCTATCCCTATTCCTCTCTTTCTCTCACAGATTGTAGGCTTTCCTTTCATTTCTGTCTCCCTTTACTTTTAATATAATATATCAAACTTTTTTTTTTATTTTATTTTATTTCTTATACTTTTTTACGGAAATACCTTTACATTTGAACAATAAAACACACATTTGAAACTGAAAGGGCCCTACAATGCTGTATATATATACAGTACACTATATACAGTATATATATACAGTATTATACATATAAACTAATCCCCCTATTAATTCCCCCTAAAAGGTGTATTTAGAGGTGAAATATTTGATATTCAAAAGCGCGTCCCATATATTAATAATACTAATGTACTGAATATTTATTTGTCACATAAAATATATATATCTTGAGAAAGTTTTCTAATAAAAAAACATTAGCACAACATTTTGTCGTTTATATAACATGTTTTATATATATATAAAAATTTTGTTATATATATACAGGTCATTTTTAATTAATATTAGACTATATGATACAAATTTTGTAATTTTATTGTATATATATATTAGGGAAATGGATGCGAAATCATAAAAAATGTTGGTTTTATTTTCTTAATCATGAGCTATGGTATTGAGTTTCTTACTGTAATTTATAAAACACCGGTAGGAACTTAATACCATGCTCTTGATGGCCAACCAAATACAACCATACTGTCCAAGATATATATACACCATTTATCATAATCAATATAAAATATATATAAATATTATAAATACGAATTCATTGATTTTGTAATTTTAATTGTAATATAATATTTAAAAGGGAAAACATTTTTGAACACTAAATATTTACACAATTTTATTGTATAATAAATTTTGTATTATAATTTTTTGTATAAATTGTATTATTATATATTTTTTGTAATATTGTATTATATTATTTTTGTTGTTGTTGTTGTTGTTGTTGAATCAATAAAATTTAATTTTGCAAAAAACTAAAAATATATATAAATATAGTTCAATAATTATAAACCTAAAAAATTATTATTTTTATTATATACCTATAAATTAGTTAGTTATTAATCTAACTTATCATATATATTAATAAAGTGAGATCCGATTAATTGAAAGCATTTCTACAATAATTATTTTGATGCAATCATCCATTGATTTATTTTAATAATACCAGTATATATATATATAACATATTATAAAATAAAAAATTATTGTTAGCAAAAAAATAATCTTAAATATATTACATATTTTACATTAGTTTAAAAAAATTATGTGAAGCCAACCCAATGTTAAATAATATGTAAAATTTAAATTAATTAAACCCTTATTTTTATTAATAATAAAAAAATATTATTATTTTCACTCTAAACAAAAATTAGAGCAGATTTTATTCATATTATATATCTTTTTATGTGTATTTATATTTAATATATAACAATCTAAATATACATGTAAAATATATTGTATTATATTATATGCAATATTAAAAAAAAAATTATTGTTATTATCTAAGGTAAAAAAATTTATTTAATTCACCTGAGAATAACTGAATCACTAATTAAACACATTATTAGTCAACCGATATTATGTGATATGACTGTGCATTTTGAAGACAACAAAAATATTATATAAAATTTATAAATGTATGATACAAATGAATTTCTTTAAAAAAAACAAAACAATGACAATAAAAAATTGAAAGCCAACCAAATCGGTGGTGAAGACAACAACAATAATAATAATAATAATCCCCAACAAAGAGACGACAACCCTATGATCTCCTATGTCTTCTTGCATGCCATCGATGCACCTGAATGTGAGAGTCACGCAAAAAATCATGATTTAATTATATATATATAACAAATAACTAATATATATATATATTTATTTATAAAAAAAATATAATATATTCATTGAAAAACATTTTTGAAAGCATTTCTTAAAAAAAGAAAAAATTCAATAAAAAAAAAGTTTAGAGAAAATATTATTTTTTAGTCGTCCTAATCTGATAATAGTAATACATAATAATAATAATTATTATTATTTTATAAATAAAAATTGAAATATTAATGCAATTATTTTGTTTTGTTTTTTTGTTGTTGTTGGTAAAAGTAACATATAATTATCGTTGAATATATTGTTGGTTTACAAATCCTAATAGTTATATTAATAATATATTAAAATTTGATGTTATTATTTGTAAACTTCTCATTGATTTTTTTTAAATATAAAAAACTTTAACCTTAATTACTTTTTAAAAAAATTTATAAAATAAAAATCTGATAAATTAGTTGTTAATAAAAAAAACAAAATAAATCATACTCTTGATGTATGCAAATTTGGCTCATTTGTTGGTGACCCCGATGATCCTGGTGGTGGTACTGGCACTGGTACTGGTGGTGGTGGTGGCGTAGCCGATATTATGTGACTTATTGATGGTCTAAAAGGCTTTCTATACATTACAAACAGTGATGCACCTATCAATCAATCAATCAATCAATCAATCATTCAACCAACAAAATAATATATTAACATAAAAACTATATAAAAAAATTATTAGATAATTATAATATACAATAATAATAGTAATAATACCGGCCAACAGTACAATAGAGACCATAGAGCCGATAACTATGCCGGCAATGGCAGCCCCGCTGAGCCCTCCTCCCGATTGACTGCCCCGAGAGCTGCTCTTGTTATAGATAGGTATCGGTCGATGAGTAGTCGATGTCTTCATCTTCTTTCTTAATCTTCTAGTATTATATTCTGACGCCAATTCAATTGGTAATGATGTTGTTATTGTCGTTGTTGTTGGTGGTGGACGTGTGGTTGTTGTTACTGTCGGTTCAATAGTCCAGACCATAGTTATCGGTTCTATTTGTCTGCTCCACAAGATTTGTTTTGTTGGCGTTGTTGTCGGTTGTCTAGTTGTTGTGGTAAAGCTGTTATATTTTGCCGACATTGCCGTATTGATAGCCTGCGATGATGGCGATGATGATGATGATGGTGGCAATGATGTCAATTCTGGTCCGTAAGAATTGCCACCAGTATTTCGGAAATGAGTTGTCATATGCCGAGTAATAATTGACGGATCTGTTGTAATCGGTATCAAAGTTGGTGTCACTACTGGCGATAGAAATGTCGGTATTACTGGTGTCAGTGGATGTGTTAGTATTGGTGGCGGCGGTGGTGGTGGTGGTGATGATGGCAGTGATGGCGGTATTGTTGGAAACGGCTGTCTGAACGGATTGTTTGCCACATCGTAGAGCATTTCGGTGACCTGAGTAACGGCACCGTCGGGTGACTGTACATCATAGCTGGTAATCTCGATCGGAATGTTATTATTATTATTCATATTATTGTTTTTTACATTAATATTAGTTTTTTCCATATTCTGTGAACTATTTTCATATAAATCATTAACAGTTTTCTGATTATTATTATTATTATTATTATTATTGATATTATTATCATTATCACTGTTTTCACTTTTATTTCGTCGGTAATTATTGTCTTCATCGAAGACAACTTTTTTTGTCGATATCTGATCCAATTTATCGTTGACTGAATTGGGTATATTGTTGTTCAGATTGTTGCCAGACTTAAGACGACTATTACTATGGATGACATTATACCTACGCGGAGGCTGACCATTAGCGGGTGAATTGTTATTATTATTATTATTATTGTTATTAGTTGACTGAATCTCTTCATAATTGACTTCACTATTATAGGTGTTATCAACACTGGACGTCGTCTCAGTCGACGAGTCAATCGGTTTTTGACTTTTCATACGTTTACGATATCTATACTTTGATTCGCGGACTCTCATTATTGGCTGCTGCGGTTCCCGTGCGCTATATCTGGTCGAAAACTCACGAGTAATCCCCAAATCGTAACGATTGTCGTCGTAGAGTCTCTCACGGGATGGCCTCTCCCGTAAAGGTCTCTCAGCCGAGTAAAGCATTTGCGGTGGCATTGAATAAAACAGATTCTGGTTTATGGGCTGAAAAGCACCCGAAGTTTGGGATGCCATATGTGTGAGTCCGCGATCAATATGAGGACCATGACTTACACGTATATAGTGATCTTCAAACATATGCAACGGTGGCATCGGCGGTATCGGTGGCGGGGCTAGCGGTGGTTGGGGTAACGGCGGCGCTTGGAATGGCCAGCAACCGACCACCGATATTGCCAACCATTTGACGATCAAAACTCTGGCTATTTTCCATTTCATTTTCAATTTTGTGATTACAAACAACAGTTTTTTTAAATTTATACAACAAAAAGTTTACATTTTTTCAAATACACAAAATTATTTGTCCCGAAATAAAAAAATAAAAATTAAATTAATTAATGATTTTTTATTTGTGATTTTATTTATTGGAAAATCTGATTTTTTTAAATTAAAAAAATATATAATAAATTTTTAAAGTAAGTAATATATAATGCATAACAAACAAACACTATTAACATAAAATTAAAAGCCAAATGTCTGACACAATTGTCTTTTTTAAAAAAGTTATGTCAACTATCACTTAGAAATAACTTATTTCAAGTGACACTTTTTTTAAGAGACAACCGCAATATTATTGTGATATTTATTTTGAAAATCTCTGAACCGTAATATTAGAGAGAGAATTAAGAGAGAATTAAGAGAGAGAGAGAGAGAGAGAGAGAGAGAGAGAGAGAGAGAGAGAGAGAGAGAGAGAGAGAGAGAGAGAGAGAGAGAGAATTAAGAGAGAGAGAGAGAGAGAGAGATATTATAATAGACTAACACAACATATGCTATAAAATTGAAATTTCATACAACAAATCATTTATAATTTTATTATTATTTTGTTATTTTGTTTGTTTGTTTGAATGAATATAATATTGAGGTTGAAATATCTGGTTATATAGATATTACTCTCAAAAAAAAAAAGATTGTCGTTTGTTTTTTTGGCACATAATTTTTAGCTTAATCTTACATAACATATAATATCATATAATATACAATAAATTTATAAATGTTGTGTTTATACAGTATATTAATTAATTTATATATAAAAAAAATTCTTATAAATTGAATGTAAAAACATTGTTTCCTTACCTGAATCTACATATTATTTATTTTATTTATTATTATTAATATTATTTGTTGATTAATAAATATTATTTGTTTGAATTATTATTATTATTTTGTAATTCATGTTAATTAGCAGTGCATAGCGTGTAATTTTTGTTACCAAATAATATATTAAATATATATTTTTTATAATAAATATTATTAAAATAAAAACAATAGATATATAGTAGATAAATATTTAAAAGTTTATGAAAGTTATTTAAATTATTAATATTTTTTTAGTTAAAATAATATTAAGTAGAACTTATAATATTTTATTATTTTATTTTATATAAACTATAGTTTTAAAATATTTTTTTAATAGTATTTAATCATTTTTATACTGTATCTAATAATATAACTAACTTATAAACTAATTAGACAAACAAAATGTTAATGAATTTTTATAATTTATTAATTAACAAAAAAATATAAAATAATTAAATTTATTAAAATTATTAAATAATAATAATAGTTTTAACATGCTAACCTATTCATACTATAGTCTATTTCAATAATTCATAAGTAAGTAATTAAATATTAAGTTTATTTAATGTTTTTATTTATTAATATAGAGTTTAATAATGTTTATGTTAAATGTGTTATCCATGTGAACTCTACTAACATTTAGATAATAATAATAATAATATTTTGCAAATTATAATTATTAAAATTAAAGTCTATTATCATTATTATCATTAGAAAAAAACACAAAGTTTACTGTTAATAACAATAAGCACCAAAAAAAATCATATAAAACATCAATTTGGTAATAATGATACACTGAACTTATACACCTATGTTAATGATTTAAATGACATTTAAAAAACTAAGTCATATATTATAAATCAATAAACTTTATGCAAATGAATAGGAAATGAGTTTTTCTGTGTCTAAGTTATAACAATAATATTTATTTATTAGTTTAAAAACTTATTAGTAATGATTTATTTTAAAAACAATTGTTTAACATTTTTAAAAATAAATTACTATAAATTATATTAAATTTATTTGAATTTTATGTATATTATTGTCTAAAGTCTATAATATACATAAAATTCAAATAAATTTAATGATTTGTAATGTCTTTATTGGTTTATATTTTAATACATTTATATTTAAAGAATTAGACTGTTTTTAAAAATGATTTAAATTTAATTTTACTGTAAATTATATTATTATTTACAATAAAATAACATATATTAAAACATAAATAGAAATTATTTAAAATAATAATATTTTTGTACCATTATATGTATATAAATAAATAAAATTAATTTACTTAATAATCATTATAACTTAGTGTTAAATTTATTAATTAACTAATTTTTTAATTAATTTATGTTCACAATTAGAAAATTATAATTTATATGAATTATATAAAAAAATTATGTAAATTCTTTTTAAAATGTTTTAAATAACATAAATATTATATATTATAATTATAATAGTTACTTAAATTAGATTATTTAAAATAACAGCAACAAAAACAAATATAATGATGTGATAAATATATAAATATATATATAAATGTGTAATAAAAGTTTTAAATGTGATTAATAAAATAAAAAAATAATTTATGTTTAATACTGGCTTTCACTGGTTTCTTATGAATATTTTTATTTACCGTATAATGAATATTGAATTTTTTTTTATAATATACTATATATGTTAAACATTTATCATATATCGTATGAAAATATTTAGTTTTTTTAAATAAAAAAAATCAAAATTTTTAAAATAATTAGAGCAAAGCGTGAGAAACAAATGATTTTTCTTTTTTAAAAAAGTTATGTTTATTATTCACTAAATTTATTGTATAATAATCTAAATAAAAAAAATGTTTTTATTTTCGCAATTTATTGTGCATTAATAGCGTTATTTTAATCTCCATACAAAATTAAATATACATTAATTTACTATTAGAAATAAATATTATAAGTATTTAATACTATTGTGATGACTACATAAATAAATAATAATATTTTAAGATAATTATAATAAAAATCTAATATATTTTTATATAATTTATATTAAAGTAATATTTATGTGTTTGTATCTATTTTTTAAATAAAATTATAATATCTAAGTAATTTTTCTTGATTAAAAAATAAATTAAATTATAAGTACAATACTATAAAATAAAAAAATAAATAAAAATAGTTAAATATTAGTTTTATTGTTTTTTTGCCACAAAATACAAACATTACAATAGTTAATACAAATTGCATAATACAAAAAAAATTATAATAAATTACATAATAATGAATTTATAATGCGGTCATTTATGCTTTAAGTATAATGTTTTTTATAGTTATTATTATTTTAAGTTTAATTTAGTTTAATAAACTTATGGCTAATTTGTTTATTATTAGTATTATTACTGTATTTATTGTTTTTCATTATGTGAATTGTAAATTGCAATTATTGTATTCAATGTCAATTAAAAATTGTTTTGAATATATAATTTATGTCAGAAATTTATTTTAAACTATTAAATATATTTTTTGTTGTTGATATAAATAAAAATAAAACAAAACATTATATATAAAAAATTTATTTATAGTATCAAGTGTTGACATTTAGCTAAAATAAATACCAAATCATTAATGTGTCTAAAAGTTTGTAATGTATTGTTGCAATTATGTAATATTTATAACCAATTAATGTCTAAAATGTTACTAAAATAAAAGTTTAGTGACATTAAATATTCATTTTTTAAGTATCGCTATTTTTTGTTGTTTAAATTATAATTTATTATAATTAAAAAACAAAAAAAAATATCATTATAAATACTGTATTTAATATTATAGTAAACAAAAAAAATATACAGCAAATTTAAAGTAAACTATAATTTAGTATATATATATATTATTGATACTATATTTGATAATATTTATACTGATTGTATGAAATTAAATTTAGTATCAATATAACATAACATAAACTATTTTTATATAATAATTAATTCATATAAACAAAATATCTATAAACATTGTTAGACATATGAAAACATTAATTACAAAATATTTAAAAACATTTTGATATATTGATTAGATTTTATAAAAACTTTTATTTTTTATTTTTTTGAAAGTACATGAATTTATTGTTCAATTGTTTATATTACATTATATGTCTATAATATATATTTATAATTAAATATATAAATTATTTATTAGTATATATACTACTACAGTATAAATATTGTAAAAAAACAATTCACCTAGCTCATTATAAATTAAAAACAAGTAATCGAGTAAAGTAAATATAAATTTTATAATTTTCATTATTATAAAATCAAATACAGTTAGAGATGTTAGACAAAATAAATATTTATCATGGCAATTATTTAAAAAATAAATACAAACCAGTTGAGAATGCTTTAAAAGCATTTCCACACGAATTCCTTAACTTAAAAAGGAAAAAAATTTTAAAAAAATAAAAAAAACAGTTGAGAATGCTTCAAAAGCATTCCCATACGATCTCCTTAACTTAAAAAAGAAAAAAACCAAAAAAAATCAAAAAAAAATTTGTAGCGGAGCCTGGATTCGAACCTATGTCCTCGTGGGACAGACAGACGGACAGACGGACAGACTTTTAGAATGCATATACGTATTCCTTTCAGGAATTCGTGAAAAAGCTATTTAATAAATTAGATTTTTTATACTAGTTTTTAAAAAACCCATTTATTAAAATTATGACTTTAAAAATATAACAGTTTTTTTATATTTAAAAAAATACTATTTCATAAAATTATTTTTTTTCAAATATAATTTTATAGTCAATAATATGATATTTATTAAATAATAGATATTTGCAATTTAGCATTACTTTTGTTTCAGTATTTTTATAAAAAATAAATATTTTGCTTATATTAATTTAATGTATTTCTAGAAAACACTTTATAATTATGCACTAAATAAAGTTATACTGTATATGATATTTTATGTGTTTTCTAGAAATACATTACATTTATAATAATAAAAATTTTATAATATATATATATTTTTTGTATTTTATTTGACACTTTGCACACAAACATACATGAGTCCAGTGACTGACTTCAGACATCAACAAAAAAATTATATGATATTAAACTCAATTATTTATTGATAGATAGATTGATAAACTTTAAGTCAACATAACATTAAAATTGAGTGTAAAGTTCATAACCAATTTAGTTATAATAATAATAATCATTGTTAGTATTTTTGTTGCAAATAATAATTTACATTATAATTTAATTTATAACATTAATGATATTATTGATCAATACAAAAAAATTTTTTTACTGGAAATTACTAAATATTTTCCTATAAAATACTATAATAATAATAATACAGTAGTGATAAACATGATTAACAGTATAACAAAAATTATGATTTACTCTATTTTAAAATCAAATTAATAGTACAGTAGAAAAATTACATTCAATTACTTATAAATTATAATCAAAACATAATAATAATAATAATAATGGAAATGTATTAAAATTTATTTATTATATATCTTTTTTGTTTGCATTTAATGTTGAAATGTTAGATTAGTATTTTGGGATAAATAATGTCAATTTAATTACGATTTTATAAGGAATTAGTAGTATTTTTTTGCAGTAAACTTTTTTTTTGCTATACAGTAGCAAATTTAATATTAAAAGTTTTTTATCTAATATTATTTAAGTGTTGTATTTTAAAGATAATTACAACTTTATTAAATAAATATTATTATTATTATCATTGAATTATAGCTCAATCAACAACAACAACAACAAAAATCACATAAATTGTACCTGGGCATAATATTTCCAATTGAATTGGAAACTTGTTTATTATAAAAGTAAAATAATATATATATATATACTATCATATCCAGTACAGTTTCTTAAAACAACATTCATATAATATAATAATATTATTGCAAAAACATATGTTTGTATTGCAATTTACTAAGAAATTTAATATAAAACTTTTATCTAATAATTTATACTTGTATTTACTAAACAAATTGATTATCTTGTCGTATATATATAGAGAGCTGATTAAACATATGCTCGCTTAGACTATTTGTTGGAAAAATTTATTATTATTTTTTGTTGTGGAAAAAAATTTCAAAATTTAATTCATAATTCAAAAAAATAATAATAATATTCATAAACTTTTTCAACTCTCAAACACATTAAAACATTAATCAGCAAAAAAAAGTAAAAGCAAATAAAAAGACTTACCGTTTAATTTGTTAATTATTTCATATTATTAATAATAGTGTATAAAGTTATGTAAAAAATTAAAAATATTTATTTAAAAAAAGTTTTATCCAAAACATGGAATCAAAGATTCATTCGTTCAGCTGTTCCACTGAAGTAAACAAAATACTGTCACAACACAGCCATCAGTCGGCCATCAGTGACAAACAATGCCAAAAGTACTGTCAGTGTTGCGATTGCGAAGTCCCGCAAACCATCCAAGAGTCTGATTCAGCCACAAGTGATGATTCAAATAACACTGGTCTTCATCCTCGTCGTCGGAGATATCAAACCAAACAGATACTGATACTCATACTACTGGCTTACGGCAACTTCTGGGTGGCCGCCTGTGTATCACTTCAGGCCCCGTTTTTCCCCAAAGAAGCTGAATCTAAAGGTATTATTATTGATAAAATTAATTAATTTATAAAAAATATTTATATATATCTCTAATAACTAAACTAAAAAATGTATATTTTAAATATAATGTACCCCTACCCCTACCCTCCAGGTGCTACACCCACACAATATGGACTGATATTTGGTATTTACGAACTATGTATAGCCATCACATCGCCATTGTTTGGCAAAATGATTGCATCAGTCAATCCGATATTACTGTCCGAAATCGGACTGTTTATTGCCGGCCTGAGTACCGTTATATTCGGACTATTGGATCAATTGCCAGCCGGTACGCCATTCATTACAGCCTGTTTTGCTGTACGTATTGTCGAAGGTATATCGGCCGCCGCTTTCATGACCGCTTCATATGTAATAATGGCCAAAGAGTTTTGCGACCGAATTGCCACAACATTTTCACTACTGGAAACCTGTTTCGGTTTGGGTCTCATATTGGGACCGACACTCGGCGGCGCTTTCTACCAATTGGGCGGCTTTTTGTTGCCATTTGTCATATTAGGCTCATTCCTGCTGTTGGGCGGTGTCTTTACATTCATATTAATGCCCAAAACCGTTGAAGTATCGCAACAAAAATCGGGTAATCTCTGGAAATTTATATCCGATCCGGGAATACTATTGGACGCACTGGCCATCACTACATCACTTAATTTCATCGGTTTTAATGCGGCAACACTTGAACCACATCTGAGAAGATTTAAGTAAGAATTTTTGGATTAATATAAACAACTAATTAATAAATTATATATTAATTTTTAAAAATCAATTAATTTTTTTGCAATTTTCTAGTTTATCGCCAATCATTATGGGATGTATTTTTGTCATTTCTGGCGGCATTTACGCTATAACTACACCCATTTGGGGACGACTTTGTGATAAAGGGGTTTGTAATCAAAATTAATTTGTTTTAACTATTTTATTTAATTGATGACAACTAAAACAACAATTTGATTATTAATTAAAAATTTTATACAAACAAACATATATATAGTTTAATCCAAAAAAGTTATGTCTGTTTGGATCAATACTTTCATTAGTCGGCTTCACATTCATCGGACCGTTAGATTTCATCGCCATTGAACCGTAAGATTATATAAATTAATTTGCATAACAATTGAAATGATAAAACAAAATAAATATTTTATTTGCTATTATATATATATAGACAACTATGGCTTGTAATTACATCATTGGTATTCATCGGTTTGGGTATTGCCTCCAAACTGGTCACTGCATTCATCAGTGCATTACACGACTCTATCCATCGCCGAGGCTTTCCCGATGACATATCGACCTATGGTCTGGTGTCGGCCATGTTTTTTTGTGCCTGTTCTATAGGGTATGTGTATATTGGATGTACCACTAGTTATCACTATTACTCATCATGGGATCAGATAATCAGACAATAATAATTTGTTTTGTATTTTGCAGTGCATTCATTGGGCCCACTTTAGGCGGCTTTTTGTTGGAAACCATAGGCTACCGAAAGTCTACTCTAGTTATTCTTGTTATTGACATTATTCTGGTATTAATTATTATACATTTTTGATTGATAATTATTTTTAATAATTTATTTATTTTTCTAATTGACAGATAATTTTGTTAACAATTTATCTAATTGTTAGACGAGTTAATAACAGCAATAGTATTGAAAGACAACCATTATTAGTATCATCGCATCAGCAAAATAGTTGTCATAATTGATAATATTATGTGATATATTATTATTATTTAAATAATTAAAAAAATTACTTTTTGTATTAATTTTTTTTAGTGTATACGAATTATATATATATTTTTATTATAGACAATTTTTTTGTGTGTATTTTTTATGGATTTAATTTCTTTTAATTTATTTAACTTGTTTGTTTTCAACAAAAAACAACAAAAAAATGTAAAACAAATCAATGTATTTTTTTAATAATAATCAATTACAAATCGATTGTATAAATAACTAATTTATATACAAAATTATTTTTTTATGTGCAAACAATGTCAACGATTGTAATGATTGAATTTATAAAACAAATAAAAAATAATATTATTTATGTATAACTACTGTAGACAATGTTTTTTTTAAACTAAACAAATATTTGTGTAATAATTTACAAATTATATGTATTTATTATATACTGCATAATACAGAATATTCTGTAATAAAAATTTGGATCAATTTGTAACTAAAATTTATTTAAATTAGACAATAAAAAACAATACTAATTTAATATAAATTTATATATATATAATACTTAATAGTTAATAATAATTTTTTAAAAACTTTATTAAATATATATAATGTAATCATGGTTAATTAAAATTATGTATTTACAAAATAAATTAATATAACATACAGTACAGTACCGGTACTAATACACACACACACAACGCATGCGCACTCATATAGTGGTTATAATAGTTGCGATCATTTATTGGCGCAAAACTGTAAACAATATATAAATAATTGTTTTTAAGTTATTATTAGTTTATTATTTGTTTCGGTGATTACGATGAGTGCTATTAAACGGCGAACAAACGGTAGCGGCGGTGGCCAAAAGGGATGTCGGGCTATGGCACTCATTTCGGTGGCCAACGATTGCCTGAACCCACTGTCAAAGATTGTTGACCAGACGTTGTTGTCGTACCGCGAGAATCAACTGAATCTCGATCTTGAGTGTCATCGATGGCCAGAAATGGACGACCAATGCCAGCAATGGATCATACAATTGACTGAAGATAATATGAAGACCTATTACGATGAAAGTTCAAACGGTTGGTCCAGAAGTAACAAACTGAAAGAATTTCGCCATAAAACCAGTCGGCATCTGGTCTTAAGGTGTGCGGACACCCGACGATTGATAGCTTTTGTTCACTTTCGGTTCGAGGTCGGCGGTACCGATTCCGAATCAGCGGTCTACTGTTACGAATTGCAAGTAGTGGCCAGTCATCAACGGTTAGGTATTGGTCGCTATCTCATGTCGTGTCTCTATGCCATTGGCCGGGCATTCAATATGCATAAAGTTATGCTAACTGTTTTCAAACACAACACCATTGCCATGGATTTCTATGCGAAGACATTGAAGTACCGAATAGATAGGTCGTCGCCGAGTCGGTGCCAAATGAACGCCGACTATGAAATACTTTGTCTAACTGTTGATAAAAAGGGTCCGCAAATTGATAAATAATATCAACAACTGTTTTGAACAATAATATCTTGTAATTGTTTCCAATAATTGACATAAAATTTTTTTAACTGATTTTTTATATATATAAACAATTATACATATAATCAATTTCAATACAAATTTTTTTATAAAATATTATTTTATTTTAATAAAATTTCATTATTAATATTAAAAATCTAATCATCCATATCGTCGTCGTCATCATTGTCTTCATCAGACATTTCTTGATTATCGTCGCCTTCATTATCGGACATTTGTTCCACTTTTGTCTTCTTCTTTTGTCCTCTTTTTTGCTTATTTTTCTTCATCCTAACCGTTGTTTTATCGTTAGTAACTTCGGGCTTAACTAGAGGTACAAACTCTTCATAGTAACCATCGGACTCCCAAATGGCTTCCAATGTTATCTTGAATTCAGACATTTGATTGCCTAATAATTTCTGTTAAATAATAATAAACCAAACAAACAATTCAATAAATAAATCATTTTTACGGATATATCGGGGATTTATATATACTGACCAGAATCCTGGCCTGTTGTGAGGTTAGTTCGACACCTTCGCGACAAACTTCAAAATCCTGTAGCAAATGGACAACACTTTTCTGTAAGGTTGTCGGCATTCCCAGCGATCGCAGATGCGGTTCCATTGAATGGGCAAACTCTTCCAGTGGGCCGGCATCTAATGTAACAGTTTCAGTGGCCACCGAACCGGTTCGGGCATAATCAGAGTCACCGTATTCGTCAAACCATCTAATTATTTAGTTGAAAATCAAAGAATTAGGTTAATAATAATAATAATAATAATCAATAGTATATTTGTTGTGAAATAAAAAATTAATTATAAAATAATTAATATATAGAAAAATACAAGATTATCTGCTAAATGATTATTGACTATATGTATCATTAAAGCAATAAAATCATTAAAATAGCAATTAAATATGAGTCCTATCACACACATAACATAAAATAATAATATTATTATTATTATAGTATACTGTATTAGATATTGAATAGATTTTCATCATCAATAATATAAAAACATAGTGCTATTAAACAATACATAACCTAATAATCAATTCAGAGAGAGAGAGAGAGAGAGAGAGAGAGAGAGAGAGAGAGAGAGAGAGAGCTCAATTGGTAAAAAGCAAACAATTTGAAAAAAGACAAACAACTCTATTGTATTATTATTATGTATAGTTAAGACTATTTTGTTAAACTAACAAAATATACTGTATTTATAGATATATATAGTGCTAAAAAAATTTTCATTAGAATTTTTCTATTAAAAAAAATATAATTAAGTTTTTTTTAATGACATTTACAAAACACTTAGTGTAGTGTTATTTACTATATATAAAATATAAATCACAAGATATCTCTCCAACAACTATTCTGATATAAAATTCAGACTAAAAAATAGATAAAAATAACCAATTTATGAATATATAATAATTTAAATTGAAATAAATTATTAACAAATAAAAATTCATGTAATTATAGAAATTTAATCAAACATTTTTGCATTGATAATAAATAATACCATATATATTGAGAAAAAAAACTTAATTTCCGCAAATATATTGACTATTTTGAGAGTGAAAAAAACAAATCAATTTATGAACAAATATAAAATATTATTAAAATATCGACATTATTTTTTTTATATAAACTATATGTTTTAGTTAATTATATATATTTTTTAAATTCACTAATAAATCTACAGGTAATACTATTATCTCAAATAAAGTAAAATTAATAATCTTATTTTTTTTAAAAAATATCTTATTTAATATAAACACCATTAAAATAAAACATCTATTCAACTAAACATTTTCAATAATAATAATACATTGAAAATAATACTTGAATAATAAATGATCATAAATAATCTTAATAAATTATATGAGCCAATTATAAATGATATATGGCATAAAATTATAATATCATGAATATAAAAATTTGTAATCTCCTTAATAATAATATTAAATGAACAAGTTACAATTTCTACTAAAACCTATTTAAATATATATTAGATTAATACTGTATTATATAGAGTCTATAGTTGAAAAATAAATATATACAGTATTATTATATATGTTGATTTTATCTGAAAAATATAAATTAAAAACTAATCTATATATAAGATATAATCTATAGACTGTATATTGTTAACTCGTATATAATTTATTTGCTTAATAAATGAAATCATATTATTAAACTATTCATAATAATAATTCATTTAATAATAATGACAATAATATACCTATACCTACAACTAGAATATTATTATATAATGTAATAATCTATAAAAATTATATAATAATATATGTAAAACTGTAATAAACTTATTCAGTTGTTATCATGAAATTCTGTCAAATTTTTTTTAAATATATACATATATTTATATTTCCAAATGAATTGAGTTATGTAAACAAAATGCAAAATTTTTGTATCATTTTATACTACAATAATAGATCACTAATTCTATATATTAAATGCCTTCTAGTAGTGAATAGACTATGTGTTGTGTTTGTGTGTTAGCAAACATTGTCAATACATTTCAATATTTATTTATTTTTTTTTTGAAAACTCATCAAATATTACCCATTAAACTAAGAGAGCTTTTATTACAACTATACTACTATTAGATTCTTGTATTATATTTTTATATATTTTAAACAAATCATTTGTCGACATAATGCAGGTATATATATATATAAATATAGTTCACATTATATATAAAATTTATTTATATTAACACTGATTTAAATATCTAAATAAATATTAAGAGTATATAAATATAACTTTTATATAGAAATTATTATACAATATATATATATAAATTCATTACTATATTTATATAAAATACATTCAAGATTTTTTTGTCACACATTTAAAATCTTTAATAAAGAATATTATTTTCATAAACTATAAATGCAAACAATTTCATCAAAAAAAAAATAAATAAATTAAAAATGAATGTCTTATATATATATTTATACCCAAAAATAACATATCTTTAATAATAAAGCGCAAACACTAACTCATGTGATGATAAATGTCTACCTATTTTTTGCCAATTATTTCGTCAAAATTATATACAGTATATATATAGTGACATTTAATTTACGTAATTAGCATTTCCATAATTATAATATTTAAAAATGTCATTCAAATATTATTTTTATTTTATAAATTTTATCTAATAATAATTATATAAGAAATAATTGCCAATAAAATTTTATTATATTATTGTACTAATAAAAATAATTACCATAAGTAAAATAATTCATTAAATAATAATATTAAACAGCAATTATATAAAAATTACATAATAATCTAATATATTGTATAAACTAGCTAAATTATACTAGACTATTAAATTATTTTTATAACCATAGACAATAATTATAGTGAAAACTAAATGGAAACTATATGCGCGGGAATATGACACATACATACAGTAGTTTTTATATGGGTATCAGTGCTATGAATAGGATAAGCAAATAAATTGCATCATTGACTGTCATTAATGACATTACAGATAACTCATCCAACATATGATTTTTTAAAAATGCATTAAACATCATAAAAATCAATACTCACTTTAACACCTCATGTTTGGGTCGGTTAGTAAAGAGTAGTCCGCACTGACCATAGAGACGATCACTTAGTTTATGTAAATTATGTTTATATTCAGTTTCTTTAGTCTTTCCCAAACTGATTGTCATCACTTTGTTTTTGCCGAAATAAAACCTAAATTATAAAAAAATAGGACATCCCGTCAATCATAATTAATAGATAGATCACCTAATCTGGTCTCATGGATAGAGAGTACAGACACACATACATACCGACTGTCTTTCCACTGATTGCGGACATCCTTGAGCTTTGCGTTTCTCATATTTTGTACGGAAAATATAAATACACGGCTGTAGTCATCACACGATTGTCTAACCTATTGATGTAGGAGTGGGTGGATGTCGTGAGTTAGGGAAAAAAATGGTCAGTTTATAGCTCTGGGATTGAATCAAATTGGATCAAACAAACAAACAAGTCTTACATCGTTAACCAATTTGACTTTGATGTCGGAAAACGACTTCTTCTGTGTGGCCGTCAGTGATACTGAAAGAGAGAGACAAAAATATGATAGTTGTGGTTAACATTATGGTCATCACATCATTACCTAATCGATTCCTCTTGGATTTCGGCATTTTTTAGTCAACAAAAAAATAAATGTCTTCTAAATGTTCCAATTAGATCCACACAAAACAAAAAAGTCAAGTCAAGTATGTGTTTTGATAGCAACTACAGTATACTATAACCACACGTGTGTTGTTGTCGTCAAATAATAGGAGACATGCTTTTCATTAGCAGTAAAAGGCTTTTAAATTAAATATACAGCACTTGTATTACATTATAATAATAAAAAAAATACAGACCTCTCTCTCTCTCTCTCTATGTGTAGTCAATAGCAACACATGAGACACACACACACACACAGCACAGGGAGCTGCTGACGTTATTGACGTATGTACTATATTAAACACATACCAGTGCTTCACAGAAACGCCGAAGCGCTAGACACACACACACACACATAGACTGTATTAATATATCTGCAATAATCTGGTTATTTTGCCCATAAATACAGGCGCTCTACCAACTATGACTTCCCCCCTCTCTAAACCCCCACTCCCGGAGCCTCTCCGGCAAAGCATTTGCAAAGTGCAACTCCGATGGCGGCGGCGGTGACGATGCGACCACTCGTTTACCGATAATTTTGTTGTGTGACATAATATTTGTTAACAAAAATAATTTTTTTTATTTAAAAAATAAATTTTTCTATCATTTGTTTCAATTAATTTCATTTATATATATATATATGTCATATAAAAAACATGTGTGAAAAATGTATTTAAAAAAAAGTTTTCCAAATGCTATATAGAAAATATCATATAATATTCATGTATTATATTCCATAATATATAAACTCTGTATATAATCATTCAAAATACACACATATTTTTCTGGGATTCATATAAATTATATAAAGTAAAGTTTATATATATAAGATAAATGACTGTATGGTATCAATCAATAGGTTCTGAGCACTGGTTGAAACCCCCTCTCCTCCATCCCTGAGCTCTCTCTCTCTCTCTCTCTCTCTCTCTCTTATGATTCATACATTCACTGCACGCTTATCCCATTGAATGTGGGAATATATTATGTGTGAGAGTGAATCCCAATGTCTAGAATATTCTGTATATTTAGTATATACAATGTATATGTATATATTATATTATACAATATGTAATTGTTTGGATAATAATTTAATTTTAATAAAATAAAAATATTATTATTATTATTATTATTTACCAATTAATAATAATAACATATTTATTATTAAAATTAATTGCTAATAAAATTTACACAAAAATACTGTATACTAAAATATTAAGGGAAACATTGTTGGGAATATAAATATACAAATATATTATATACAAATAATAGGGAATATATTATCAGGCAATTAGTTAGTATTCGAACGCTAAATGAGTGAAATAGTATAGCAGATAATTGATGGCTTGAAACACATTCAATGAATGAGTGAGTGAGTGATTAAGTACATTGAAAGGCTATATAGCAATGAGCGATATATGGCTTATATATATATATACTGTATATATATATATATACCTATAGGAGTATAGCCAATGGTAGAGCTTTTATAATACTCATACACACAGACTATATGTAATACACTGTTGTCTACACTAATACTAATGCCGTAACCTATAGGCGCTGCTGTGTATGTATTGTATGTATGTATATATGAAGTATAGTGTTGAGCGCATAACTGGTGGCACAGCTCACAGCACTTGCTATAGATATTACACACACACACAGTATAAGCACTGATATATACAGTGAGTGAGTGAGAGAGTCATACATAGAGAGAGCCATACATTTTGGTGACACAAACCGGCAAAACCTACTATTTTTCTCTACAATATATATCTATAAGTCCATCGATTTGGTCATCCGATACTGTGGTCTATCATATTTTGGGTAAGTGTTGTCCGCAGACTATATTGAATTTGTTTTCAAACAGTTATGTGTAAAGTGTGTGAACAGTTTTGGTCATAAAGTATCAGTCGGGGGAACGGTATGAACGGGTGTACGGAATGGAGCTGAAGAAGTGTATAGTAGTGTGTCGTTACTGTTGACGCCTTTGCCCTTAAACTGCATTACACACACACTATATGTGTGTGTGTGTGTGTGTTGCGACTGATTGGCAGCCATTTTACTGATCCCTATGCTATACACACATACACAGCACTGGTATCTCTCACTTTTAAAAGCACTGGTACTAACCAACTCGTGTCTGTTAGTGTATTTGGATTTGATTGTCAACAGTGTATGTAATAATAATCAATTGATTGGATCAATAGTGTCGTCATTTGTTAATACCGTACTAATTAATTGGTAGTGCCATTCATACCGTACCCGGAGATTATACACACCCGCTCTCTCACTTAAAACACACATAACTGTGCGGTTAAACCATTGTATTGATTACTTCATTACTAATTGTTTTTTTGTTGGTTTTATACCACGATTTTTTTTATTTATAGATAATCACTCATTCATTTTATTCATATATATATACACACATATATATACAATCACCGGATCTGATCCACACATACACGCATACATAAGCACTTGCGGGAGTCACTGAAACCCAGAAAATAATCGGTGAATCACTTAAAAACACATCTAATCGCCAAAAGAAGACAAGAAAATAATATATATATATAATCATCTAATAATAATACTACTACTAAACTCTTGAAGAATATCATCACAAGAATAATCTAAGAAAAAAAATGGAGAATAAGGACGAGTTAGTACAGAGAGCTAAATTGGCCGAACAGGCCGAGCGATACGATGATATGGCTGCCGCCATGAAACAGGTTACCGAAACCGGTGTCGAGTTGTCTAACGAAGAACGAAATCTATTGTCTGTGGCCTACAAGAATGTTGTCGGCGCCCGAAGAAGTTCGTGGAGAGTCATATCGAGTATCGAACAAAAAACTGAAGGATCAGAACGTAAACAACAGATGGCCAGAGAGTACAGAGAAAAAGTCGAAAAAGAGTTGCGGGAAATCTGTTACGATGTGCTCGTATGTGTCATTCAATTATTATTATTATTGTCTTTTTAATTATAGTTTTGTATTTATTTATCGGTAATGCCTTTCAAAAAGGTGACAGTTGTCTCTTAATAATAATAATTACTACTAAATTGTTTGGTTAGTTAGTCCAATCCCCTTATAATTGTCACCATTTCAGGCATTAGCACCATTACATCAGAGAGAGAGAGGATAGTAGTCTCTAACTCCCTGTATATCTGTCTGTGTGTGTGTGTCTGCACTTACATAATATCTCAGTGGGTGTGGCCTCAAGTCATGTGAAAATGTGACTCAAATCCTAGGCATACATACACTACTTCACTAACACATACATACAGTACTGTACTGTAGACTACTTTTTTTTAAAGCTCTTATAGTTTTTAATAATACATTAATTATTACACAACACATATATATTAGATATTATTATTATACAACTGATTCACCACTCATTTACTATTAGTTTTAGTTTTTTATTTTGTTTCTAAAAAAAATGAGAATATCTTTACGTATTTTTTAAGGAAATGCACATAAAATTATTATTATTATACATGAAATTAATGGTTTATTTTTTTGTATATTTTTATTTATTTTTTCTGCATATTTGTATCTATTAGGGACTTCTCGACAAATTTTTGATCCCTAAGGCCAGTAATGCCGAAAGTAAAGTGTTTTATCTGAAGATGAAAGGCGATTACTACCGATACCTGGCCGAAGTGGCCACTGGTGACCAAAGAAATAGTAAGTTGTTTTTTGTTGTTATTGGTATTAATGATAAATGATTTATCGATTTTTACGAGTATCTCACGACACGTACGCCAAACACTCACACAATATCAATGATTAATAATGTATGACCTGATTGTGTGTACATAAAGTGATTTCATAAGTTTCGGGTGATTTTGTTGCTACGGGTTAATCCCGATAGTAATTTTGTTAGATGTTTAACTTAAAAAAAAAAAATGTTAAAATTATTATATGATTGAGCTATAATGTGTTATATATAACTTATATTAATAATTGAGGTGTTGTTGATGAGTCGCAAAAGGCCTATCAGGAGGCGTTCGATATTTCAAAGAGCAAAATGCAACCGACACATCCAATACGACTGGGTCTGGCCCTTAACTTCTCGGTATTTTATTACGAGATTCTCAATTCGCCAGACAAAGCGTGTCAACTCGCCAAACAGGTATAGAAGCTCGAGCACCGACCTTACTGACCGCTCTCTTTTTTTTCTCTTTTTTCATACCATATTCCTTATCCCTTTCCTTATCTCTATCATACGTGCAAAACTCGATAATGTCATAATAAGGTGTTGTCGATGACGCCCATAAGTCATATCAGGAGGCGTTCGATATAAGCAAAAGCAAACTACAGCCCACACACCCGATCCGTTTGGGTCTCGCACTCAACTTTTCCGTATTTTATTACGAAATTCTAACCGCTGCCGATCGCGCCTGTCATTTGGCAAAGCAGGTAAATGGCAATTAACAAACAATTAAAAAAAAATATTGCCATTTCAATTTGGTGCCAATTGCTGCATACATGCCTGGCTTGCGCTGAACCTCCATTACCTACCAATCCATCCCTACCCGCCCCATCAGATTAGATTAATGATAAACTAACTGTCCATTTGCTTTAATCGGAGAGCTTTAGTGTTTGTATTATTAATGCTTTCGTCACCTTATTATGAATGAGTTTTGCTATAATTTTTTTTATTGTTTCAATTGTCTTTTTTTTTGTTAAAAAAGTAATACTAATTGTTTTGTTATTTGAAACGACATCTCTCTCTCAAAAACAACATAACAGGCCTTTGATGACGCGATAGCTGAGTTGGACACTCTGAACGAAGATTCCTATAAAGATAGTACGCTCATAATGCAGCTGCTCAGAGATAATCTTACGGTAAGCTACCTGTCCCTCACTGACCACCAAATACATACCTATCCTTTTTTTGTTGATGACATGATGTAATGTTTTGTTGTTTATTTCTCTATTAGCTCTGGACGTCAGACACACAGGGAGATGGAGAGGATCAACAAGAGGGCGGCGATAATTGATATCAAGCGTTGTAATCCCCGTTCTCTGCATTCCCCATCAAATCAATCTAATAATTATTATTAATAAAACAACAACAAAACGCATCTATTCAACAACAACTTCAAAAAAAGACATCCCTTTCCTTTTTACCCACGTTTTTATTATCAGTTTAGTTTTCAGGGACGTCAAAAACCCCTCTCAAAAAACGACAAAAAAAATTATTATTTTTAACTAAAAACTTGCCTCAAAATCAGTGATCGGTTACCGCACCACCAGTTTTAATGGATAATAATAATAACAATAATACATTGTAGTATTTATATATTATATTATTATATATATATATAATTTATTTAATTATTTAAGATGAGAAATTTTTTTAGATATTATTATTATTGAAAAACAAAATGTCCAAAACATATATATATATAAAAAATACGATTTTTAACTAAAAAAATATTTTAACAAGATTTACACTTAGATATTATTGATATTATCAATGAATGTTTGATTATTACTCTATTATCTATCTATATCTTTCTCAGCCTTTTTCTCAGTGTTTTTATAATTATATATAAGATTTGCTTTTTTTTAAATAAGAAAAAAATAATTGTAATGATTTGTTTAGATAATTGTCAAATTTTAATTCAATTTGTTTTGTTTGTTTTTTTTTGTAAAATTATTTCTGAATTACCATCATTTTTTTAGTTATTATTATTATTATTCTCGATATATATATATATGAAAAAATTATTAAACATTAAACATCTTATAATACATGTAATAATATTTTTTATTTTGGACAATAATATAATTTATAATACAGTTAAGGAAAAAACAAACAAAAATAACTAATGTTTTGTGAAATTTTTAGTGTAAAACATGTGTTGAAATAATGCCCTTAAAAATTGATATATAATTTTAACGAAAATTAAGCGTTTTTTAGTCTTAACATTAAAAATCGATAAAAACAAAATCATTTTTTTTAAATAAATAAATATAATAATAAATTAATCGATCAGTGGATTTGAGTTTTATTTTTGATGTTATAATTATTATTATTTATTAATTGATTTAAGAAAAGAAAACTATACCATATATTTCATTATTAAAAAAATCATTGAATTTTTTCAATTATATAAAATTTAAACAATCGATTCACACATTAATAAATAAATTAATTAAAAAAACATTATTATTATACACACACACACACCATATGATTAGTGGCTTATTAAGTTGAAAGCAAAACAAAAAGTTTTTTAATTTATAAAAAAATAATAAGAAAAGGGCCGAACCATTGATTTTCACTCTTATATATGAAAAAATTATATATATATATAAATATATGACTTCCTCTCGACATTTCCATCAATTTTTGGTACGATATTATTATTATTAATTGATTAATAATTAGTGTAATAATCTATTTAATTAAAGAAAAAATTAATACAAATAAGAAAAATTATGATTAAGTTTTTTTGTGGCTATTTTATGTTTGTTTGTTTGTTTTATTACTAAAAAATTATTTATATTATTATTATTATTAATTATCAGTTGTTTTTATTGAATTAGTAATTAATTAATTATATATTTTAACACACAATAACTTAAAAAAAACAAAAACAATTTTAAGTGCATCGATAATTATATATAATTTTAACAATTCATATATATATTTCATTTTAATGTCTTTTAAAAATAATAAAAAAATTAATTAATTTAAAATAAAATTAATTTAAAAACTTTTAACATAACAACAAAAACAAAAATAATAAGTTAAATTAATCAAATCAAATTTAAGGTGTAATAATATTTTTGAAATTTTATTTATTTATTATTATAATTATTAATTTTAAGATTTTTAATTTATATTATTATTAGATTTATTATATAATTTTTGTATTGCCAAAGTGTGCTTAGAATTTACTTATTTTTATTTTGTTAAAAACTTTATTATAATATTATTATTATTATTATTAGTGATAATCATTTTTTGTGTACTTAATAATAATTTTGAAACTCTTTTAAAACAAAACACACACACAAACATTGTTTTATAATATTATTTTTAAAAATAGAGTTAAACTTGATATATGATTTTTAAAACAAAAAATTATATTTATTATAATTATTAAAAATCCCTTTTTACGTGAAAACAACAACATTTTCAATATATATAAAAATATATATATAAGAGTGTATTATTAAGATATTTAATGGAAAATTAAAATACTTGATAAACCAGAGACTTATAATTATTATTAATAATTTATTATTATTGATTTATTTATTGAAAAAATTAATTTATTGTTAACCAAAAAAAATTAACAATTTTTTAATATGTAATCAATTTTTGTTTGTTATGTTTCTATGATTTAACTGGACCTACGATTAATAATAGTATTAATTTAAATTATAAATTAGTTTGCAATTGATATTTTATGGGTGACATCAATGGTGACAGTGATACAGTACAGTATCGGTTATTATCGGATGATAAGGATATATGAATTATATACAACTATCCCAACTATTGGTGTGGCCTCTCATTTGACATCATATGATATTATATGACATATATATCATAGAATATTGTTTTGTAATTGTTTTTTTTTAATAATAATTATCATTTTCAACAATATATTGATTTATTAAATATTGATTTATTTTTTTGTTTTGTTTTATTCCATTGTAAGCTCATATAAATTTTTAAAAAACAATATTATAATTATTGAATTATTTTGTTGTTATTGTAGAATATTATTTTCCCCAGGAATTTGTATTTACATTATATACAGTATATATAAAATTATTGAATTATTTATACATTTTTTTAGTGTATTTGTACTCTACATATATATATATAAAACAAAAAACAATTTGAATATTTTGTTTTTGTTATATATTTCTAAAAAAATATATATAGTATATATATAGTATACAGTTTTAAAAAATCATTGCAAATTGAGATTAATGTGTCGCCAATTATACTGTATATAAAAAATATTTATAAAAATATATTTTGATTTTGTAGGCGTTTAGTTATTTTTAGTTTTTTTTATACAAACAAATTCAGCAAAAAATATTTACAAAAGAATAGCAACTTTTGTTGTGTTTTGTTTTGTTTTCAGTTTTAATAATAATTTTGTGTAAAAAATATTTGTTGTAAACGTTTTAAATGCTTATAATGAATAATTAAATTTTAGTATAAATATTTAAAATACTAAATGTTTAGCAAAATTGGGTTATAATTTAGTTTAAGAATAATTAATTTTATTTTTAATATACAGTATAATTATGTGTTAAAATAATTATTTAATTAAATAAAAGTTATAAACAATTTACATAACAGGATATTTTGGGTGAAACTATTATAACATTATTTATTTTTGTTAATACAAAGAAAATATTACTAAATTTTTATTGTAATATAATTTAATTTTTAAAAGAGTGTATTTAATAGTTTTATAAACATGGTAAAAAATATTTAACACATTAGTATGACATAGTTTAATTTAATTAGTAAACATTCATATTTAAATTATCAAAAAATAGTTTTAGTAAAACTAAAATATTAATTTATTTTAGATACAATGTATATCACTATTATAGTAATTTATTGTATTGTTAAGTAAGGAATTTTTAACATTTTATATAAAATTAATTATGAAATTTTTTATCAGTAATAATAGCTAAACAGTTATATAACACAATGTATCTTATAATATAATATTTTGATATTAACAATTAGATTTGACATTTATAACTACAGTACTATTTTACTTAATTATATTAATATTAACTCATAATTACTGTACATACAAATGCAGTTTTTATAAATTAAGTATTATTTTATTATATTTATCAATTATAAATAAAGTTAATGTTACTAGATTAGTTTATCGAAATTTTTTAAAAATATCGTTTTTCATACTTAATTTTTTTTAAAGAATTATTAATTATTAATTACTATTAATTACTATTACTTAATTACTTATTACTTATTAATTGACTTAATTATTAATTATTTTATTGTATTTATTTTTAATGCTATTATTATATTTTTCAAATAGTTTTTTATTTAGTGTGCATACATTATATATAAATAATATTTTATTTATATATATATATTTGAGATTTTTATCATTGTTTTTTCCTGATTGACAAATTAGCCACTAATTAGCTATTAATTACTGTTATATTATTATTATATTATGTGTAAAAAGTAAAAATAATATGTGTTATATTTATATAATATATATTTGCACAAAATATATTGTATATAACTGAATAATACTGTATATTATATTATTTAGAATCTATATTATAGATAATAATAAATAATATATATTCAAAATTAATATAATTTACTTAAATTTGCATCAAAGTTGAAATAGCATTTAATTTTGACATCACTTTTATGTAAAGTATATATATTCATAATTTCATAATTCTTTAATAAATAATATAAATATTTAATTAAAAAAATAATAGTTTTATATACCAAACAAACAAACAGTAGTGTATCAAAAAATTATACTTTAAATTTAATAACAAATAGTTTTTAATTTTAGTATTTGAAAAAATGACTAAATTTTATACTCATCTCTAGAAATTATTTATTTTATTTAAATACAATTCTAATTTGTATAAAAATAAATAAATAAAATTATTTGGGAAACTTATTGGCAAATTATTTAGTACAACAATTAACTAACTAATAAACAAAATCTTAAGTAAATGCTTAAAAACTTTGTTAATAATATTATTAATATGTAAATAATGGTTTGTAAATCGCGTGCATAATTAAAATCAAAAAGTTTTTTGAAAAAAAAAATTCAATTTGAATCTATTAATACATTTTGTTTGTTTGTATGATTATAATTGATATTTAATTGTCAATATGTCATCCAGAAGTACACAAATTATTATCAATCCAACGACATTATCTATTTTATTGATATTAATACTAATTATAATTGTTGTGATAATAGTTGTTTGTTGTTATTATTGTCGACAGTTTGCCTATAGCCAGCCTCCTATCGACCAAAAGTTTCGGGCATTTCAGACTACCGGCAGAGCCACCGATATTGATGTGATTAAACAGTTGTCGCCGCCGCGGCCAACAACAACAAAAGTAATGGCTAACAAACGTGTCGCCGATGACGGCCATCACAACAATATCAACACCAATGTCATCGACAACTTTCAATCGGTTGATCCGCAAACAGTTAGATATGATTCAAACTCATTGGAAAGTTTGACCGAAGAAACAACAAACTCGAAGACAACTACTGGAGCAGAGGTTTCGGAAAATACTGATCACAAAAAAACTGACAATAATTTATAATTTTTTTTTTACAAATATAGTATA